AATTTGGTTTCGTTGATATAGGTGGTGTTTTTCATAGGGGGAAGGGATGATTATCAATGATTTCCCACGATTAAAGCTCCATAAATCGTGGGATTTCCCGGCCATGACGAGTCGCGATTTTTCGTTCCAGGAGCTTCTGCAGGAGCTTTTGGCCGAGAGCTCCGAGATCAGTGCCAAGCTGGACGGTCCAAATTTCGGGCGCTTTTTGGGCTGAAAAGTGGGAGGTGGAAACCATATCTATTTTGAGGTTGGTTATATACATGTATTTGTAGATTTGTAGTATAATTATTTTGGATATAGTTCTGCGTAAATTATAACGACCTCACTGTTCTCCCTCACTGGAATCATGGTTAATGAGGGGAATCATCCCCTAATGGCCTTAATTCAGGTTGGTGAAATATCATAATTTACCCAGAAATGTATTTGTAGTATAATTGTTTTGTATGTAGTTTATATGTTTAATGCTAGGAACGTTGGAAGCCTGCAAATATATGTGGTAAATAGAATATCCTGGAAATATGTTTTTTACCCAAAAATGAGAGTGAAGCGGCAAAAGGGTATAATGACGGCAACCTTGGATACGGAAACAGTTTCAACAAATTAATGGCTTTTAACCAAAAGACATGGAGGGGATAAAAAGTTAACCGACAAGAATGCTGGTTTAACCAAGAAAAACGAACATTTGGTTGGTGGTTTGGAACATGTTTTTTTCCATATATTGGGAACAATAATCCCAACTGACTCATATTTTTTCAGAGGGGCGGGTATACCACCAACCAGACATAGGTCAACAAGACGTTGCCAGAAAATGATTGCATGACTGCGATTGTTTCACGATGATTGCTGTGGACAAAATACCTATATTGTTATTCCCCGACATTGTCGAATAAGAACGAATGTCATTATAATTCCATTATCTATCATTTATCCCAAATTCGGTCCTAATCCATCACTAGTGCTATTAAATTAAGATAAAGGTTCTTTCCACCTTGATCCCATTGCCCTTATACTGTAAGTCCATCATTCTTATTGTTAATATTCCGTGATGATTATATATTGTTCTACAAGGTTGCCCCACAGCTATGAGTTGCTTTAGAATCCCCCATCAACTATAGTTGCTACCATGACAGTGACCCTAGTGAGCTAAACCAACTGAGCAAAACCTGGGGAGCAATCCATCTCCGATCCAAAGCTTGAAGTAGCCTCAGGAGCAACACCACCAACGGCTATTGCTTCATTTAGGCGCGGGATCTCACCAGCTGACCCAAGACGACTCAGCGGTGTAGCCTGGGTTGTACTTGGCACCAGCCCGCCCTGTAGTTGGTTTCATCACCGTGGCATACCCCCTGAAAACTTGTGAAGCACTAAAACTGATCATATCCAATAAAAGCTCGGTTTCATGCGCCTCATTTGTTTGGATTCCATATGTTTTTTAGCACTGGATTCTCTAGGTTTCTCATTTTAATGTTCTCATTGCTCATTGTATATCCATGCCCTGGGCTTTTCTAGATCAAATATCAACATATCCACAGATAGACTTTGAACCTTAAGCCGGGGATCAGAAAACCATCCAAGCACTGTGTTGATCATTACATCCCATTATTGTCAATTACTTATGTCCTGTGATGTCCCATTATGTCCCACTACTATATCGCATGATCTCCCATCGGATCTCATTATCCTAATATCTCTAACAACATCCCGTTATCCCATTATGGTCTCATTATGTCCCATTCTTTTCCCACTAGACTATATCCCAAAGGTTTATTCACATATATATATAATTATATATAATATATATATATTCATATCATTATGACAATAATATCACCATGTGCTGCCAAAACCTTACGGTCTTTAGCGATTTTTACGCACGTCCCACCACTTTGGCCCTGCTGGTTAAAACTCCACACGATATCCCCATCAAATCCCACCACACCCTGATAAGATCTCAGGTGTTTGTTGGTGAAGTTAGATTAGTGGCTTTGTTTGTCCAGTATCTCCAGTATATCTCCAGTAGATATTCCCATAGTTGGTGAATCTCCCATCTCATGATATATTCATTTCATGAACATCAATTAATCATTGAAATATTTCATGAGTTATCTCATTGAGACATTATGTCCACAATGTGGCCCCCCCCAGTTATAAGTTGGTTTATAAGCCCCAGTAACTATAGTTATAAGTACCATAAACCATAGTTATTGGAGTTATAAACCAACTAAGCTATCGTGGCCGGGGGCCTCACATTGCATGATGTGTCCATGATATGTCCATTATTTTTAACCTTCTGGTAAACATACAAAAAGCTATGGAAAACCACCATCTTTAATAGGTAATTCATTCATAAATGGTCCATTTTCGCTTTTTGTTAGTTTACCAGGCCGGGTAAACCTCCATTTTCCTATGGATTTCCTATGGTTTCCCATGGTTTTCCCATTAAAACCTCCATTTTCCTATGGGTTTTCCACCAGACCCAGGGCAGCGGACTTTGCTCTTGGAGAAGGGCCTGGAGACCTCAGACCACAAGTTCCTCGTTCGCTCACCGTTCGGACTTCCGCGGAGGGCGGGCGGAAACGGAAAAGAACTGGAAAACCATAGGAAAAGCCTCTGGTTATGACTAACAGTTAGCGAACTGGACAGATCCACCATTTTTAAGAACGGTAAACCATCTATTTCTATGGGTTATCTATACCATGGCGAACTGTTAGTCATAACCAGTGGGTAACCATTATTATTAACCAATATTAACCATTATTAGCTTATTAACCACTAACATAGTTTGAATTAGTTATCAACATTTTCAACCAATTGGGGGGGTACTCTTGTGGTTGTTACGTGATGTTCATGGTTAAATCATGGTGAAAAATAACTCACAATATGTCACTGTCAGGGCCTTTTCCCTTGGGATGTCCATGATGGTCGTTCTGTTCTTGCTAAAACCATCCAAAATAGAATGAGCAAGACATATGGTTAATGGTGGTTAATACTGGTTAATAGTGGTTTACGATGGTTAATGATGGCTAATGATGGTTAATAATGGTTAATAGTGGTTTATGATGGTTAATGATGGTTAATAGTGGTTAATACTGGTTAATGAGATATATATCTGGTTGGTGGTGACTGGAACATGAATGGATGATGACTTTCCATAGATTTGGGAATTGAATCCCAACTGACGAAGTCCATCATTTTTCAGAGGGGTAGGTATACCACCAACCAGTCATAATTAACCAATAATTAACCACTATTAACCACTATTAACCATTATTAACCACTATTGACCACTATTAACCATTATTAACCATTAACCTATAACGTTTTATAACATTCTAGAAACTGTTGAGGTTCAGACGCCCACATGGACGATCCTTAAGCGACGACTGTTTCATTGGAGTTTCCTTTCGTTGAGATTTTTCAATTCGGAACTAAAGTGAGGATTTGATCTACAGTCAGGGATTTAAACAAGACAGATGAAGGAATTCACTGATAAAAGTAGGATTAATGGTCCAAGAACAGCATTATAAGTCGAAGACTAGGCGATTGATTCTTGGGGCGATTCCAATATGTTCTTTCAAAGTAGCAGTTGTCATTTGAGTCAGCCAAACTTTGTTTATACGAGTCAATGACCGCTGTTTGTTTGTTTGTGTGTGTTTTTTTCTCTGGGAGGAGCGCACCTCCCAAACATTTGGTCTACATGAAACTGGAGATATAATTCCCATAATGCCAGAATGCACCGGCTGCTCATTTAATATATTCCTGCAACTTGCCTACCTCAGGGATAGTCGGAGTAAACTGAGTAAACTCCCCATCCAGCAAAGCAATGTGTACATGGATGGAAATATGGTATTAAAGACATGTTCCAAGCCAGTTGAGGGCGGTAAACCCGATAGAAAACCCATGAAAACCTCTTTTTGGCGATCATTGGTATTCAACCAGACCCGGCTCAAAGATGGATGGTTGTTGTGGTGCTTGTGGTTGTTGTGGTTGTTGCGGTTGTTGTGGTTGTTGTGGTTGTGGTGGTTGTGGTGGTTGTGGTGGTTGTGGCCGTGGTGGTGGTGCTTGTGTTTGTGATTGTGCTTGTGTTTGTGCTTCTTGTTCTTGTTCTTGTTGTTCTTGTTGTTGTTGACATTGTTGACATTGTTGACGATAATGTGAAGCCTTGGTGGGGGCTGGCTGAATCCGGTTACACCATCAGTCCCCTTGTTTGATTCCTGGTTCCACTATATTGCTATTATTGTATAACCGTTGAATCACTCCAAATTACTGTTTTCATGTCAAGTTGGTAATTGATTATATTTGCTTGGTTATACCCCATCAACCCCCTCGTAAAGATAACGATTATTATTAATAATCGTTATCTTATTATCACCCTTATATCACCAGAATCAATTATTCCCACTACATTTCAAATTCTGATAGTTGTTCCTAGCATCTTCCCACTAGTCCCCGTCTACTTTTGTTGCTAAAGTCCCCCATGTTGGAGAAAAAATCTTCGAGGCCTTTGGTCTTCGAAACCATTCCGCAGCTGAAAAAAAACAACGGGGGTCTGCGTGCAGGGTGGTGTTTTTTCAGGCAAACAGCCAGTCTGAAAAATATGTGTTTGACCGAGGACTCCGAGGACCATCTATACATGCGATACAATGCGATACATTACTGTGACAAACATTTAATTATATATTACAGTCTATCATGCAACTATATATGTGCATATGATTGTATATATATATATATCCATTGCGTATGTGTAGCCAGTTCATTCAGGTTGTTTGACCGATATACACCACACATTTCAGGGTCCGCTGGCCAGCACAGATTGAAGCATCGAACCTTCGTTGCAACAACGGAAGGGCCATGGGGCCATGGAGAACCAAGGTAACCGGTCGACCAAACCATCAAACATCAGAAGTCAGATCTGAAAACATCAAAACCATACTGATCAAGCATCCAGAATTTCATGAAGCCATCCATTTTTTTCTCTCAATTTTCCCACAGCGCGTTCCGCGCGGTGGCACAGCCATGACGTCCTGTTGGAGCGGCTGTTTGAATTTCCTGAATGGACAAAGCTCCAAGCATGGGCAAGTCGTGGAGGACAGGGATCAACCCAGTGCTGTGATTCAATAGTGGTTTATGATGGTTAATGATGGTTAATAGTGGTTAATAATATAATGGTTAATGATGGTAGTTAATGGTGGTTAATGAAATATATATCTGGTTGGTGGTTTGGAGCATGTTTTTTTTGACTTTCCATATTAATTGGGAATGTCATCATCCCAACTGACGAACTCATATTTTTCAGAGGGGTAGGTATACCACCAACAAGTTTTTTTTTTAATAAGCCCCATGACTATACATGAATACTAGTTTGAGATATTTACCATAAATATCCATAGTTATGAGGAATATATCCCAACTTAGCGCTTCCATACTGGGGGCACCACCTTGTAAGAAGGATGTGTTTCATCAAAACAACCAGCTCGACACGGCTCGACCTGGCTCAAAAATGGCCCATGTTTTGACAGAGTCGTGTTCCAACTCAGAAACCTGTGGGGGGGTTCCACAAATGGGGGTAGCCCAATAGCTGGACGGTTTGTAATTGGAAAAAACCTATGAAAATGGATGATGAACAGGTACCGTACCCCCATTTATGGAAACAAAATCGGTGATTTTGAAGCACCGATGAAGACTATCTACCATTTTGTGAGTGGATCAAAGACCTTGCCCCGTTTTGCACTGAGAGATCTAGGGCGCCACTCCCCTCCCGAAGGGTCAGTCCTCTTTTCGAAGGAAATGGACCTCTGCCGTGAGGATTTCGAGGTGTAGATTGGGAATGGATGGGACTGGCACAAAAAGAGGTGATATTATTATGGATTATTCACAGGATTTTTCATTTTTGAATACTGAGTAGTGATATGTTTTGCGTTTTTTGTTTACCAGCAAAGAGCCCATGATGAGCTGGTGCTTCAATTTTTGTGAGTGTTTCTTGCCCAAAATGCTTCTTTCATGGAATCGTTCATGAAATGTCCTGAAAATCCTTCAAACCTTTATTATCATGGGTTCTATAATCAATCCACCCTACCTAATCACTGTTTTTTTTCCCGCTTCCCTATCAATCTACCTCCGCTCCATCTTCCAGCTCTCGGACGACCCCAGGAGATTGTGACTTTTCTGACGTCCGTGCCCCTTTTCAAGAACCAACTCCCACGCTCTGAACTGCCGAAGGTCTGCAACGATGGCTTGAAGACCTAGCAATTTTGGGGGAGATTGAACTGATTGAACCATGAAAAATTGCTGGGATTTTACCATCCAGATGATTTAACTATAACAACAAGTGGGATTTGACCATCATAGATCAAGAAGTTGGGATTTGACTAAAAGCAATTGGTGATTCTATCAGAAAGAATGGATAAATAGTTTGGAGAACTGGAAACTGGGCTCATGGTTTCAAACTTACTTTTCCTACTATTTTGTTTGGCCGTGTGTATGGACTGTCATGGGAAGCTCATTGGATCAGAATAAAAACAATCATACATAAAAAATACCATGATTGCCTCATGAAATTACCAATTATTATCCATTATGATAAATGCCTTGTTATAATTATTCTAATACTATGATCGGAGGAAGTTTAGAGGTCAAACTTCCGACAATATGGACAGATGAAGAGCAGAGATGGGAAGAGTCAGAGAAGAGAACAGAAGAAGTAAGAAAATCAAGAGAAGAGAAGAAGAAAGAAGATGAAAAAAGAGAAAGTCTCAGACGAAAGAAGATCCAAGTGTGCGAAAAGGTAGGAAAGTCGCGAAACACTGTGTTTTTTTCAATGATTTGTGGCTCTGGAGGGTCGAAAAGTAGGCTCGCTAAAGCGGCGGGTGCGGAGCCATGTGGCCAGATGATTGATTAAAAATTGCACGCCGTTGTGGCGCAAAGCACATTTCGAAGCCAAAGTGAAAAAAAAACACGGGTTCAGAGCACTTTTGGAAGTTGAGATGTCGAAAAAGTGCACGCCGTTGTGGCGCGAAGCACATTTCGAAGTCAAAAGTGCAAGAAATTGTTGGGTACGGAGCGCTTTTGGAAGTTCAGACATGCTTTCGCGTGGCAGGCGCAAGGGATTGTGCACCTTGTCAAAAGTGAGCAAAACGTGAGGGTTTTGTAGCATTTCCAAGAATGATGGCAGGCATGGGACATTTGAAGAGGATCTGCAAAGATTTATTTCCGTGGCAGGCGCAGTACAAAAGACATGTTCATGATAGATGTTAGGAGGTCAGGGCGCTGATTTCCTGAGAGGGGTTGCATTTTGGAGTATCAGATATGCAGGTTTGCTAAGATGATTTTGCGTGACAGGTGCAGCACTTCGTATGACCTGGCATTAATTTTCCGTGTCAGGCGCAGTACTTTAGACAGGTGTCGTGGAAAAATCGCAAAACGCATTGGTACGAGTCTGTCAGCTCTGGACTCAACTTTCCATTTTTGAACGAAGTCTCGCAGAATTGTTTCGTTTTTGATGTTGTCAAGTTCAAAAATTGAGGAAATCTCGCAGAATTGCTGCATTTTTTGGTTGTCAAGTTCAAAAATTGAGGAAGTCTCGCAAAATAGCTGCGTTTTCAAGCTTGCAGATAGACAGATAGATAGAGAGACAACTACAGCTGCAACTACAGCTACAAGTACCACTACACTACACTACAGCTACAAGTACAAAAAAACACGCTGCATTACACAACACTAATTACACTACGCTACACTAACTACATCTAATTACGCTACACCACAACTACTACAGCAGCAACTACTACAACAGCAACTACTACAACTACTACAACTACTACAACTACTACAACAGCTGCTGCTGCTACTACTACTACTGCTACTACTACTACTACTACCACCACTACTACTACTACTACTGCTTCTACTACTACTACTACTACTACTACCACTACCACGACCACCACCACCGCCACCGCCACCGCCACACCGCCACCACCGCCACCACCACCACCACCACCACCACCACCACCACCACGACCACGACCACGACCGAGACCACGACCACGACCACTACCACTACCACCACCACTACCACGACGACGACTACGACTACCACTACCACTACTACTTCTACAACAACAAGTACTACTACGACTACTACGACTTCGACTACGACTACGACTACGACTACTACCACCACCACCACAGCTACAACTACATTTACAGCTACACTACATTGCACTACAACACACTAAACTGCAATACATTACAGCCACAAATACAACTACAACTACAACTACACTACATTACACAACACAACACTACACTAATTACACTACATTACACTACAACTGCAACTACCACTGCGTTGCACTACACGACACTTCACCACAACTACAACTACACTACTTCACACTACAGTACACTAGACTACACTACACTATACCGCGGTACAGTCCACAACACTACAGTGCACTACAATACACTACACTAATTACACCACACCACAACCACAACTGCAAGTGCAACTACACTACACTAATTACACTATTTTATAATTACAACTACACCTACAAATACAACTACAACTACAACTGCGCTACACCACACTACATCCAGCAGTTGTGGTGAGGTGACCACTGCAACCATTGCAGCCACTCCAGAAAACACAACTCCAACCATCTTTCGGTCCATCAGTGGATTCGCTCTGCCACCCGTGATTCACCACAACCAACCTCTCCTACAGGTTTACTATTTTTGAAACTTCCGCCGCCGCCTTGTGCGGTACTACTGGTATCTGATATTTTGGTGGCTGATTAAAACATTGTACTTCATTATACTTCTTGATATTGTACATATTAACTGTTCATTGTAACTGATTATAACCATGATATTATGTATCAAAAATATCTGCTCATGGTATCAAATCTGCAGGTGGCCATGAAGCTGAAACGCAAGGAGTGGCGCCCAGGGCAGGAGATCGTCAAGCAGGGCGACGTAGGCGCGGCCCGCGGCGGAACATGTGTTCGCAAAGTGGGAAATGTTCACGAATTCAATTGTAAATGGACTATAATTAGATATAGATAGGATATGTATATATATATATAATATATATATAATATATATTTTTTCAAAAAATAGGAACGGATCACAATAAGGCCTGGGATTTTGTGATTTTTAGGGAATATTGGATATCAAGGTCAAGATGCAATATTTGGTGCAGTGTACGCGCACAAGGGTCGCACAAAAAAAACTTAAGCGTCATGGTTTGCACGAGTTTGCACTGGATCAGCCTTCCATAAATGGAATTGGTCCAATTAATCGTTCAGAAAAAATGAAACGGGCGGAAACGGTCGGAAACGGTCGGAAACATGATCAGGCCAAAACTTGTCCAACCCGCATTTCTTTAAAAAAAACATTTCCGCGCAACGCAGTTTTTTTTTGAAGGTCCAAAGGTGTCCAAGGGGAAACGGTTGGAAACAGTCGGAGATCGCACCTTCGCTCGGCAAAAAAGTAGTTGTTTTGTAGCATATGTTCATGAAACATGTTTGAAAATTATGTAAAAACATGTCTTTTTTGCCGAGCGAAGGTGCGATCTCCGACTGTTTCCAACCGTTTCCCCTTGGACACCTTTGGACCTTCAAAAAAAAACTGCGTTGCGCGGAAATGTTTTTTTTAAAGAAATGCGGGTTGGACAAGTTTTGGCCTGATCATGTTTCCGACCGTTTCCGACCGTTTCCGACCGTTTCCGACCGTTTCATTTTTTCTGAACGATTAATTGGACCAATTCCATTTATGGAAGGCTGATCCAGTGCAAACCCGTGCAAACCATGACGCTTAAGTTTTTTTTGTGCGACCCTTGTGCGCGTACACTGCACCAAAATTGCATCTTGACCTTGATATCCAATATTCCCTAAAAATCACAAAATCCCAGGAGCTCGTGAAATTTAATATTATCCATTCTTCAGGGTTTTGTATGACCCAGGAATCGTTTATCCCGTGGCCCATACAAAGTTGTTGGCCTTTTTTGATTGGACACTTGTAGCGTTACATGATATTTTGTGATGGTCAGTTGGATTCAAAGGACTATCGCCCCTAAATCTGGCAATTTTTGTGTAATGTTTGGACCATTTCTATGGGAAACATCGGGAATCGCCAGCTAGAGATATCGTATATGAACTGATCCATGCCGCATGCGCTTTTCCTGTGACTCTTGTGGATGGAGGTGGATGGAGGCCATATATCACGATTCCCTGTGGCCTGTGGCGTGATATATATATATATAATTATATATATATACTAATGAATATATATATATACATATGGATGATGTGAGATGATGTGAGGTGATTTGATATTTGGGTGTAGATGTCTTGACAGCCCAAGCTGCCGAGAGCGGTACATACCCGATCCTTTGGGATGGAATTTGTCGCACCAACGACTATCCAGAATCAACGTGTGACCATGACCGCATTCGAATTGAATCCGTTTATGAAAAAAATATTTGCAAATTAAGTCACAATCAATTAATGGTGTACATCCCCATTTTTGATATAGTTGGAAATTGTTTTGTTACATTAGTTTTATCCCTTGCCACTATGTTTCCACATTTTTTCTAAATCCAATGTGATGGGTCTTGCTGCTTATATTCTTATTTGGTTGGTGGTTTGGAACATGTTTTATTTTTCCATAAATTGGGAATACTCATCCCATTTGAGTAATATTTTTCAGAGGGGTTGAAACCAGCAACCACTTATGTTATATTTATGTTGTATGATGTTTTATGATATTGGTATGTCACTACTTTGGGCAGGTCAAATCAAATCTAATTCCATGATATCTGGTGGCAATTAACACCCGGACCCCCCAACATGAAAATTAAGTGCGTCTCGTCTCAGTCGGTATTTAATTCTAGGGAGATGATAGTATGCATGATCTATTCACCTGTGATTTTTCTATGCTCAACTCACAAATGGCAGGCAAAAACATTCATTCGTAGATGATTCTTGCATAGTCTTACATATAATAACAAGTATATACTTCTACAATTACTTATTCGGTACGTTTTTCCCTATGACTATTCACTATATATTTATGATTCGTGCTATATTCACTATATGTACATGACAATATTTACTTATTCCGATTTCCCTATTACATCTATTACTTATTCACAGGATTTTTTTCGCCGAGGCAAAGCCTTCTACCTGATCATGTCCGGCGAGGCGGCCGTGCTGACCTCCAAGTCCGAGGAGCTCAAAGCCTCCACCCGAGCGGTGCTCAGGCGGGCGACTGGCGAGCCGGTGGCGAAAAAGAGCCACATCTGTGCTTTAATGGAATTTAATGGGTTTTAATGGGCTTTAATGGCAGTTTCATGGATATAGAATGGAATATAATCGTATACAATGTATACAACCTACTTGGGGGTGCAGTTGACATTACTTTTGTGGGTATAACCATGGCATTTTGGCCCCAATAAGTTGAGATATGGGGCCATTCATTACATCCCTTTATTAAGACATATGCGATGTACCCATAGTATCAAAAAAATGTCCCTATCATCCCATTACATCGCCATTTCCTATAATATCCTCCGTGTTTCATATTTTGTAAACATCATCATCATCACATATATTATAATATTTTTAAAAAATATTATATCATGTTATATTATATTTAATTATATTTTGCTATATTATATTATATTGTTTGTATATGTGTTATATATACTAATGCGATGTATATAACTAGCATCTATGGCAATATATATATATATATGAGACTGATAGAAATATCCCATTCTGCATCATATTTCTGAAAAAATGACCCATATATTCACATCCCAAAAGCCATCCCTGTTGGCTTCGATAGGAAGGGCGACTACTTCGGTGGCCGTTCCCTGGTGGAGGAACGCAACAATGTGGCAACCATCAAGCCGACGGGCAAGGCCTGGGATGCCATGATGCCATGGGGCTGGTTTTTGTTTGCTTCACCTCTATGGTAAACATAGGGAAAAACCTGGTAATCATGGGAAACTGTGGAATATCATGATTTGACTATAGTTAGTTTCACAGGTTATTATGCTTCGATCTAGTTTTATATGGTTCAAGGGGGATTAATAATAATAGGCTACTCATGGATTTACCCTCCGGTGTCATCAAACATGTCAATTTTCGAAATCCATGATTTTTATGGAGGTTTCTAGCTGAGAAAATCTTATGAATGGGGGATTGTCCATGGCCATGTTTGATTACCTCAGGGTAGCCTTTTGTACAGATGTGGAACACCCATCATGAATTTAGACATATGTAGACCGTTTTCTGAACGTGAAACATCGTGAACATATTGGCTTGCCACTGAAACATGTTGGTTCAAAAAGGAAGCTACGCCAATAGACATGTTCAAGCAATGATTGGTGCCCCAGTGTGGCATTGCTCTAAGTTTTATTTTATACCCTCTGGTAAACAGCTACACAACTATGGAAAATCACAATTTTTGGTGGGTAAACCCACTATAAAAATCACATTTTTTAATGGAAAATCACCATTTTCAATAGGTAAATCCACTATTTCTATGGCCATGGCTTCAATAGCTTTTTGTATGTTTACCAGGGGGTATAGAAGTCTTCATCCCGTAGGTGGCTCCCAAGATTCAACGTCGAGAAATCATGAAATCTTGGGTGAGTGGGGTTTAATAAACCAGCGTATGGGGCACAAATCTTGACTGGTTTATTACAATATTTTTTTCGGGTGTTGCTTTAAATGATTGAAACAGTGTTTATGTCTTTATATGTTGTACAAGGCATATGTCGAGCTTATGATTACTAAAGTAAGTACTGGCAATGATTCATCAACTATCATCAATTTGGATTATTAGAATTATTTACCAACAATATAATATAATCATTTATCAATCAATGGGTTTAATGTTGACAGCACAGTGGGAATGTGGGATTTAGCTCAAACCATCAGCCCTTCTCCATTGACGCGGTGTTGTCATTTACCATCCCAAATTGGAGCTCTGGCTGTGGCATTTGTGTTGGCAGAGTAGTTCTTTTCAACTCCCTAACGATTCGTGGCATTTTTATCAGCCAACGACTATACTTCACTGGTTGGTGGTTTGAAACATTTTTTATTTTTCCATATATTGGGAATAGTAATCCCAGCTGACTAATATTTTTCAGAAGGGGTAGGTATACCGCCAACCAGTTCAGTTTGTTGTGTCTTGAATGGGAATCACACCCACCTCAGTGAATTGCATTAAAAGAAATGCCACATTTCAGCGATTGACTCATCAACTATTGACACATGTCATCATTAGGCAATGAGCCAATGTATTTAACAATCCTTAGTTGACATGCATTGACTGATGGTTTCAGTACCCTCCGGTAATCAAACATGGCAATGGGATTGTCCAGCCCACGTTGGATGACGAGGGTAACAATGACCAAGATGATTTGTTGTCCACATGGGATATCCACTGGGGAATCTAAGGGGAATATGATGGAATATGTCTTTTGATTCTTATCTAAGGGGAATATGACGAATATGACGAATATGATTCTTATATATTCTTATGGTTTTCTGGGGTTCCCAACCAGCAAATCCAAGACGATCTATGCGATTGCCACTGCTCAAAAATGGGCCCCGGGCGGTTGGGTGAGACGCCGCGTCACGTGATTGCAGGACACTTGCGTCACATTGTCCATGTCGCGCAAAGCGTTCCATGATTCAGGCCTGCTGAATCAGGTCTGTGGATGTTTTCATGGTGTTTTTGTGCAATTCCAAAGACGGTACCCTTCGGTGACCTCAAACGTTGGCTGGACACCGGGTTTCACCCCACATCGGAGGTTTTGTCCGCTGGGTAAATGTTGGAAAATCATCTTACCGTTGCAAGGTGATGCCCGCATGTCTGTGCGTTGTTTACCCTCTGGTAAACTAACATAGCTATGGAAAATGGCCATTTATAGTCGATTTACCCATCCAAAAATGGTGTTTTTGCATAGTTATGTAGCCGTTTACCAGAGGATTTATGTCAATTTGGGTTTATGTTGAATCTGTCCACCGGAAAATTTGGTTTTAGGCAAAGTAATGTTGGTGTTCAAAAACCAAGAGAAGTGTCCCGGGGATCCAGTCATATCCTGGTTTCCTGATGGCTCTTGAAGGCCAATAGCATGGTCAAGTTGTTGTTGGAACTGTCAATCGTACTTTCACAACCGGAACCTTTATTATTGTTGGTGAATGGTTTGGTTTCATTGGGATTTTCTTAGGCGTCAAATGGGAAGTATGCAGTAGTCCCTTCCCGCGAATAGTAAACATCCCCTAGAAACCATGGTCTGGTTTAGTAGGGGATTGGAACCATAGAATGGGGGGTGTTTAATATGGACGGAGGATGGGATGATATTGTACTGGTGGTTTCAAACATTTGGATTTTTCCATCCCAATCTGACTTTCATATTTTTCAAGATTGTTTTTAAACCACCAGCCAACTGTAATATCAAATATCCATTAGCACTTCATTTTGTTGTAGGGTCACTATTCTCGGCCACGGCTTCCCTGGATAGAGACACATTGTCGGAAACGATTTCAAGATTCAGTCTTGCCTTTGTTCCCATGCATTATGTTTGAGCAAATTCACCTTCAAAACGCCAAATGTGGTTTAAAACCTATATGTTTTCACTGAAATTTCCATTAGGGATTTGATCACCAATATCATCCCATATTGGTTGGTCAATGTTAAATCCCTATCACTACTTTAGCCTTTTTTTTAATGTTGATTTGTTATCAATCCTCTTCTGGTTCTAGAATTTGGTAGCTTGACTGTTAATCACTATGTTGGTTCAACCATGCAAAACCCCGTAGGTATTGCTGATCTTTATATAGCTTTCACATCCCAATGTTTGGTGAATTCCTAATGATCTAGCGTTTGATAGTTAAAAGGTTTCACTCCCATTGTTTGTGGGTTAGGGGCCCCCAGTCGATAGCGTTCAGTTGCCTTATAATGGCTTTACTATGGTTTATGGTAGATATATGTAGATATATATATATATATAACTATCGTTAATTGATGTTGATTCGTTATCTAACCAACTGTAGATATAACTATATGGTTAGATAACTGTAGCTACAACTATATATTCACCATAGATATGGTAGATATAACTATAGTTTGAGTTGGAAATGGTTTATAAACCAACTGTACAGTAACCGTTTCCTCCTTGCGTTTCCCCAAGCGGTGCCATGGCTGAGGCATCTCCCAGCACCTGCGCTTCCCGAAGCGCGCGGCCATCCACAATGAGCTGCCGGCGGCGTCATGGAAAGCGGCGCCTGGATTATAATTGCGATATACAATGAGATATAATGTTTATTTGAATTTGGATATATTTGGGATGATTATCATGGAACTATTTCGGGATGTAACTATTTGGGATATAATGGGATGTACTGATGTAATGGGTTTTTTCTTTTTTGGGCGGGAACATTAAATTTAGGTAGTAAAATTGGCGAAAGCCCAATAGGTAGTAGGATTGACATAATTCCCAGTACACCCCAGTGGGAATTATATTGAGAAGTAACTATTGGGATATATGTATATACATATTATTGGGATATATCATGGGATATAAATGTATTTGTAATGGGGATATAGTGTGGTAAAACCCACCCATATACATATTATATTTTAGCTTGTAACATAATGGGAGGTTTTATATATATATATTGACATACATAACACTGTTAAACCTATGGTAAACCCTTACCCTTGTTAGGGATATAGATAAATAAGCAACAATATATAAGCCCATAATTTACCTTGTTGGGAATTATTGAATTATATTGAGGATATAATGCGAATATAATAAGGTAAATGATGAGCAAACACTGTATTTATATAATTGAATGGTGCTCTCAAATTTTCTTGAACTTGGATTTGCTTAGTCATTTTTTAACTTTCACGATGGTTGTTCCCGAAGCAAGTCCAAGAGAAACAATAATATACATTGTTAAAGCCACTAGTAGGTGGGATAATTCCGGCATTGCAGGGTATAGCATATTCTAATATAGCAATCACATGGAAAATGAAAATGATGGTGGTTTATAATGGTCACCATCCCCAAATGTGGTTTTTTGGCCTTGGGTATGCCCAGGTCTTTGGGATGATGTTAAATTTCAACTGAATGGTTGGTTACTGCGACATTTTGTTGTCGGCTTTACACGGTAGCTGCTGACTTGATGGAATTTAATTCAATGTTTTTAGATGTTGTCGATTTATTGTTCGTATATGTTATGTTTTTTCTGGATTATTTGTTTTGGGTTTATTTGAGTTGCTCTTCCCAATCTCGGATGCTTACTTCACCAAATAAGATGGGAATGCTTGGATGGGTGGGAATGGAATGTCACATACTTTGGGGTTATTTTATTGAATTTCGGCTATGATTGGATTGAAGCTTTAAAGATTCATGGGTTTGTTACAGTACCAACCTTGTTTGATGGTTTAGGGATTCAACATGATAGGATTTTTAACATGTGTTTTTTACCAACAAAATTTGCATTCAAACATATCTAATCAATGGAGTTGTATAATGGATGGTCAATGGTCACTGGCGACAATCAAGAATGGATGGTCAATGGTCAATAGTGCCCAATGGTGGGATGGTCAATACTGGTTAACAATGATGGGATCTGGGTAAATTATAACGACCGAACCCTGTGACCGAATAATGGAATAATGGTTAGTAAGGGGAATTATCCCAATTTGGTCTTATTTCATGTTGTATAGTGAATTATTATAATTTGCCCAGATGGGATGTTATTTTCATCTGATTGGATTCGAATTGCATAATACTTAACAACTGCTATTGAACAAATCTATAGATCAACCATACTTGCCATACTTGGATAAAACTGTTTTGTTTAGCCTGGTGGGCAAGTAAGTTGTCCCATTTGGGAAGATCCACTATGGATAATGTTTTATGTATACATATATATATATATTATGTTTTATGTAAATACATAAACATACGATATATAATATCAACAATGGGACAAGTTGAAACATATTGACATATTGAGCTACTTAGTTAACTACTCCTTCCCCCCTTGTATCCGAGGTGTTGGGAGCCTGACAAACTGCAAAGCCATTTATAGATGATTTACCTATTTAAAAAATACCATCTTTATACAACAAATACCACATTTCCCTAAGGTTATGTATATACCAGATGTCCCATTTTAGTTGGTTTCAGGGTCATTATATAGTTATAGAGGGTAGCAATCATCAAGCCGGTCTTTGAAATTACGGGCCCAGAGGATGCGTTTTTCTCGATCATCCGCTGGGGGCGACCCCGGTTTATGAGGAAAGTGAGCTTTGCAGGTTGAAAGAAAGATGTGCGTATATATATATATATATATAAGCCATATCAGGTTGGTGGCAGGTTTGGAACATGAATTTTATGTTTCCATATATTGGGAACAATCATCCCAACTGACTAATATGTTTCAGAGGGGTTGAAACCACCAACCAGTATATAAGCCATATTTATGTAGATTTAAATGAATCTGGGTGGTCACGAACTTCTCCCACCAAAAAAAAGTGCTTCATTCGGTCTCAGGAGGTGGTCAGCCATCCGAAGAGCATGGAGGAAACCAACTTCATCGCCAATGCGGTTCCTCTCCAGCCTTGGTGTGTTTTTTTGGGGTTATTTAACAGTTTGCCATGGAAGGTGGTCATTTTTAACACGTAAATCATCAAACAAAACATCTCTAAATGGGCAATTTTCCATGGCTATGTCAAATAACCAGAAGGTGGAGGGGGTTGAGCCATGTTGAGCCTGAACTGGCTGAACTTTTTCAGGATTCATCTACTTGTTTGAAGGTGTTATTTTTTGCTAGCCCTGAATTTCAGATCAGATTTCCATCGACTGAAATTTGAAGGTGGTGGTGTTTCTTTGTTTATTCCTCCCAGAGGGTACACCAACTGTCGGTGAAATTCGCTGGAGCGTGTCATCCAGCCTGATTTGGATTCGTTGAAATCGAAAGTAAATAGTGGATGAACTTCAAGTATAGAGACTCGTATCTATACCCATATGCGAACCATGGTGCTGGTATATTTACCTACAAAACTGGGTGATTTTGGACAAGGGCAAATGTTGGTAAATATTCCAGCACCATGGTTGGCATATGGGATAGGATTTAAGTATGGATAGCTGGTATCTATAGGTTTCTAGTTGTTTCGAGGTATGGATAGTTTTTGGGTATGTGTTGTCTTGTTGTTTTTAATGGGGGCATTTGTCAGGATCACCAGCCCAGAGTGACATGGAAATCCATGGCTGGGCGGGTTTCCCTACAGTGGATGGTTGCGAAATCTACCAGTTGAATCCAGTTGATAGGTGGTAAACATACCATTGTTTATATGCTTTCAACATGTTTCAAGCCTCCTTTTGTTGCAGGATTTTTTCAGTAGGAATATGGTCAACAAATGATGGCGGTTTCTCCATCATCCGCAGTTTTTGCGGCGACCCGTTGCGAGTTGCCACCAAGGTGCGTCGCAACACCAACTTGCGCGCGCTGCTGCACATGACCGAGGTCAAACGGGTCAGACGGGACGGGTCGGCAGTTCTTCGTTGACGAAGAATGGCCATTCTCGAAGCGAAGACGTCAGATGGATGTTTTATTATGGTTGATCAATGCATGTTATGTACACATAGACTGAAACAATGGTTGACAATAGCATACTAGATGTAGGATGTGTGAAGGGGATGGGCTTACAGCAATGTAAAATAGATTCTGATCCCAGGTTGTCATCCCAATCTCAGACGGATCATTGTCAAACCAGGATGAATAAACCACTGCTTTGTAAACATGGTAAGATAATGTAAGATACCATTTATATCCATTTATAGTCTCTGTGGATATGTATGTTCATCTTGTGAATGTGGCTGAATCTGATCATATCCTCAGTTGGTTTGTGCTCAGAATTGTGCGGACGTGCCGGTATTCGCTTTGGTGTCCAAAGCTTTTGGGTGGAAATATTCCTTATCGAAGGAAGTTTAGAAGTCAAACTTCCGACAATAATATAATATGGAGAGATGAAAAGCAGAGCAGGGCAGAGGCAGAGAGAAGAGGAAGATTAGAAGAGAGAAGATCAGAAGAGAAAGAGTAAGAAGACAGAAGATACAGATGCGCGAAAAGGTAGGAAAGTCGCGAAACACTTTGTTTTTCCAATGATTTGTGGCTCCGGAGGGTCGAAAAGTAGGCTCGCTAAAGCGGCGGGTGCGGAGCCAGCTGGCCACAGGAGCGATGAAAAATTGCACGCCGTTGTGGTGCGAAGCACATTTCGAAGTCAAAAGTGTTAAAAACTGGCGGTCTCGGACCACTTTTGGAAGTTTTGAGATGTCAAAAAAGTGCACGCCGTTGTGGCGCAAAGCACATTTCCAAGTCAAAATGTACAAAACACCTCAGCGTCGGACCACTTTTGGAAGTTGCGATGTCGAAAAAGTGCACGCCGTTGTGGCGCGAAGCACATTTCGAAGTCAAAATGTACAAAGCACTAGGGGTTCGGACCACTTTTGGAAGTCGAGATGTTGAAAAAGTGCACGCCGTTGTGGCGCGAAGCACATTTTGAAGTCAAAATGTACAAAGCACACCATTCTCGGACCACTTTTGGAGGTTGAGATGTTGAAAAAGTGCACGGCGTTGTGGCGCGAAGCACATTTCGAAGTCAAAATGTTAAAAACACCAGGGTTTCGGACAACTTTTGGAGGTTCAGATGTCGCTTCGCTTCACTACACTACATTACACTACACTACACTCCACTACACTGCACTGCACTACACTACATTACACAATACTACAACTACAACTACACAACTACACAACTACACTCCACTACACTCCACTACACTCCGCTACACTCCACAACACTCCACTACACTAAATCACACTACACTACATTACACTACACTACACTACACTACCTTCCACTACACTTCACTGCACTACACTCCACTCCACTACACTACAACTACAACTACACGACTACACTCCACTACAATACACTCCACTACACTAAATTACACTACACTACACTACATTACACTACACTACATACACTCCACTACACTCCACTACACTACAACTACAACTACACAACTACACTCCACTACAATACACTCCACTACACTAAATTACACTCACTACACTACACTACATTACACTACACTACACTCCACTACACTACACTACATTACAATACACTACACTACCTTCCACTACACTTCACGACATTACACTACACTACACTCCACTACACTACAACTACAACTACACTACATTACACTGAATGACACTGCACCACAGATACACAGGTCGACAGATAGACAGACAGACAGACAGACAGATAGATAGGTAGATAGGTAGATAGGGAGATAGGTAGATAGGTAGGTAGGTAGATAGGTAGATAGGTAGATAGGTAGATAGATACATAGAAGATAGGTTGGTAGGTGGGTAGATAGTCAGAGAAAGAGAGAGAAAGAGAGGAGACGTCAAGCACCTTTCGGTCCATCAGTGGATTCGCTCTGCCATCCCTGATTCACAACAACCAATCTCTCCTATAGGTTTCCTATTTTTGAAATTTCCGCCACCGCCTTGTGCGGTACTACTGGTACTTTTAATGCAAAATGCAAACTCCTACCTTCCGGTGTCATCAAACACGGATGGGAAATCCCTGAACTAGCCATGTGCTGCAGAATCATCGGGCGACTGCTGGGGAAATTTCCAGCCATGGAGTTACCAGAGGGTATATCAACCAATATTCCACTAATATCCCATGATATCCCCATCATATCGACATCAAGTCCCACCATTTACATCCATTTAGAGTAACTAACATGGTCATAACCAACCCATCATGCTGATAGCTCCTAATTGAAGTTTGTGAGTGAATTACCACTTATAGCTTATATATCCCATATGGTATCCCATGGTATCCCATAGCACCTGGGCCGCCTAGCCCATCTAACCAGAGCCGGGCCAGGAGCAGCTCTGCATGGTCGCCGCCTCTGCAGAACGAATGGAGATCAAAAAGAATGAGGAGGCCGCCTACTTCGGTGAGGCGGATCGGGGAGTGGACATTTTTTCGGAGTTGGGGTGGATTTGTTGGGTGTTTCTTAAAGTGGGGGTTTCCATAGTCATGGGAGTACCCCAATAGCTGGATGGTTTATTTCATTGAAAATCCCAGCTAGAAATTTATGATTTGAGGGTACCCCTATTTCAGGAAACCATCAAATGGGGGATCCCCAAAACCAGGGGTTTTGATAGTTAAATGTGAAACATGGTCTATTTTTTGATGATTTGGCGGCTACACGGTTCCCCTTTCCCATTTTGGGATACCTTTTTTGAGGTCAAATCCGGTTGTTGGGCGCCAGGAAACATGGCCAGTTTGCCCGTTTTTTCCATGGAAATTCCAGTAGACATGGCTGGCTGGAAAATGTCCTCCATATATCACGTTCTCTTTTCAAAACATACAGTATTTAGTTGTTTAAAGCAAGTCATGTTCAAGTACAGCAGAGCTAGGCAAATGATAGCGATCGCATAGTGTCTGACGAATATCAACACCCCACCCAGAAACCATGGTTTAGTAGCGGATAAACATCCACATTTGGGACCACAGAATTGGGGTGTTCACTAACGGGGGATGAGATTACTTGGAGTCGTTGTTTCTTTTTTTCTGGTGCGTTTTACGTAGGGAATGGATGGGAATGAAGGAATGGGATTATTACTAATAGTTAAATAGTTACCCTCTGGTAAACATACAACAAACTATGGAAAATCACCATTCTTAATAGGAAAATCCACTATTTCTATGGCCATTTTCAATAGCTATGTTAGTTTACCAGAGGGTATTGTGGATCATTCCAAAAAATTCCCTACGTAAAACGCACCAGTAAGTTTTTTTTTATGGTGATTTTGGATGTTCTTTCAGCAGAATGCCCAGAACATGAGGAATACCCAGAAGTCCTTCCATGGAAATTTAAGGGACTGATTACTTGCCCACCATGTGGGGCATGGAAACGTGGGACCCAGCAGACTTCAATTGCCCTCTGGTAAACATACAACAAACTATGGAAAATCACAATTTTTCATGGGAAAATCCACTATAAATGGCAATTTTCAATAGCTATATTTAGGTTCAGTCCCCAAAAAATGCAAAGCCTAAATCGTCTTGGTGTAGGAGTAACAGATGTTTTTAAAAGAAACCAAAAACCAACTTTGTGCAGTGTGTGTATATATATATAACTTTGCGAGCCGGTCTCATTCAATAGATATGCCCACTGACAAACATGGGTTTGCAATGCCCTGATTTTGCATAACTTGATGGGTTTGTCTGAAAATATGGCACTAATTAACAAAAAAAACTTCTGGGTTTATCATCCCCTTTCCCAACAAAAACACCATGGCTATTTTTTGGGTATCCCAATTTCACACCATCACCATGGGTCGCCCGGAGGTGGGAGACAAGTTCTTCATCATCCGTGAGGGAAACTTTGAAGTGGTTCTCGGCGGCTCGTTTTCGGCTCGGGATTTTTTCGCCACGAGAATTTGAAGAAATCTGAGGGAAGGATAGCAGGAAATCAAGTTTTACATTACTTCATGGCGGCCATGGGAAGAACGCCATTCCTGGTCAGTAGCTCTTTTTGTTTTTTTAAGACCACAAAATTCACAAAAATCCCAAACAACATGGCAACATAATTCAGTTAATAACTTGACCAACAAACCATGGCCGTGTAGAGAAATCTGTGGGACCCAGAGCCTCCCAACTGTTAGTAGCCCTAAATATGGACGATTTATCACTCCAAATGCGACCCCGAGAAAACGACTGGTCACAACTAAACCCAACTACAAACGAGTGCTCAAATTCTGTCAACTACCATTAGTTCTTCAAATGTTCATCATATTCTTGTGCACTACCCCCACCCTAAAACTCACTGTGCGTTGCTTCATGCTGTTTTTCATGTTTTTGCAACATATTATTTTATAGCTCAACATCTTCCACCATCGAATCTCATTAGCTCAATATCCTCCAATCGTTTCTTTCAATATGTTCTTACCACACGAAAATCGTGTGTCCTCCCATCTGGTGTTCCCTGAAGATCGTGGGGATTCAAGCCATTTTTCAAATCCGGTCCCCACCAATTGGCTTTATCATCTGGTTGGTGGTTTCAAACATTTGGATTATTTTCCATGTCATATATGGGATGTCATCCTTCCCATTGACGAACTCATATTTTTCAGGGGGGGTAGGTATACCACCAACCAGTCATGCTTTATCCAAACATTGGCTTCCAAATGGCTTCCCTCGATTTTACATCATCTCCATCCTATTGGATCCTAATCTCCACGTTTTATCTCCATTGAATTCCCATGAAATCCTCATTGAATCCCATTAAAATCAATTAAAATCAATTAACATCAATTAAAATCAATTAAAATCAATTAAAATCAGTTAATATCAGTTAAAATCAGTTGTAAAAACCAATTAAAAACAAATAAAACCACCATTAAAAGCCATGAACAAATCCCCCATCACCGCCGACACCCAGGCAACGAGTCCTACCACGCCTCCGCGGAGGAACGCGTGGCCTTCTCCTCCATGGCGGAACGGCTGATGCGGAAGCAGTGCCGCGGCCGAGAAAGGTGTGGAATGTGGAACTCTGGTTATTTAACGTAGCTATGGAGAATCACCATGTTTAATAGGCAAATAAATCATCAAATAACATTTATGCTCCATGTAATGATGATATAATGACGGTATAATACAGTAGTGAATATATGAGATATAATGAGGTAGATAATGGAGAATAATGGAGATATATAATGACAAAATATTAGTTTTACCATTAATTATTTGGTGCCAGCATGTAAGACATTTAGAACAAGGCTCAAATGGAGATATATTTATATAATGATTATATATATATATATCACATGTGCCCCATGGTGCTGGAATATGTACCAACATTTGCCCTAAAAATAACACCAACATTCTAAATACATAATGGAGATATATGATGATATAATGGTATAATGGTGAATATTTGAGATATAATGAGGTATATAATGGAGATATATAGAAAATTAATGGTAACAACTAATATAATGATGACAACATATTACACATTCCATGTTATAAACTGACCTCATAATGATGACATCCTCATGTTTGGATAACAACTAATATAATGATAAAATATAATGCTTCAAGCATCCATCATTCTTGATGATAGTCCCTTATTTTCTCATGAAACACCAGTTTCTGATTACCTGGTGAGATTTCCGAAGGGCAAACAGTCAAACTCCCTAGAAATGATGGACAGTCGTACGGTCAGTCGTCATGATGAAACATGAGTATTTATACTATCTCATCATCAATGAAGTATAATTTATATTTCAACATATTTCAGTTATATTCATGTGTTAGTTCTATATTATTTCTATCATATATCCAAACTGATAAAGTACATAGTACATTAGTTCCAAACTGATATATACTACTTGAAGTGAAATGATTGGCTAAACAATTTGTTCAAACAAGTGGATAAGTATTAGGGGCAACAATGACGGGTACCTATATCAGTGAAATGCCCGCAACCACCCTGTCTGTGATGCCTGCTTGTCGCACCGGAATTCAAGACGATCCTGGCCCAGAGTACAGACCCAACAGTCGTGCTGCGAACAACGAGTGGTAGGAGAGAAACCAAAAAAAACATTTATCATGGTTTATCCACATCGATATATGGGATGATCATCAATGCCTAAAATAGATTAAAATTGTTGAAAGGGGTCGAAACCACCTTTAGCTGACCTCCACCTGGCATGTCCCAAGGCACTTCCTTGCGAAACTTGGCAGTGGGGACGGGGAGAATGTGTGTGGCTATTCAGCTAGGAGAACCACCTTAAAGCACCCCTATGAGGACGTTTTATAAGATGCTAATGCAGTCAACATCTTGCATTTTTGGGGTGCGACCTTCAGTGAGATTAAGCCCATGCGTTGGGGGAATGCCTTGGGTTTCGATTGTCAATTAGCAAGGTCACCAGCTTCCAAAAGAGACCAGGAGTGAGCGTGGGCGCTGGATGACACAGCAAGTGCCACTTTGGAGATTAAGGTCGAGTCGCTTGCCGTGGCAGACCTGACCGCTTACGATTCGGCGTACGCCATGCTGCCAATGGAGGCAGCTTTCGCAGCGAAGTGCATTACGCCGGCCGGCATGAAGCCGGGTGTTCCAGGCCAGTTGCGTCAGGAGCAGGGAGTTGAAAGGCAAGAATTTACTCCGAAATACAAAGCGCTGAGTCCTGTCGATGTCAAGACCCAGACAGAGTGCCCATCAAATCAAGCCACATGAGGTCCAGCTAGAACTGGGGATATGACTGCAGGTTGAATTGACATGCATATGTATATATAATAATAATAATAACGATGATGATGATGATGATGATAATAATATATATGTGTGTGTGTGTGCGTTGTATGAATACACCTGCACACACGCACACAGTTTCCATCATGTTCCTACCGATGTATTCCGTTGGTTTATACTGTGCATGGTTTTGTTTGTTACAGTTGGTTACAACCTGTAACAACTTTTCAGGTTTGCATAGGTTTGGATATCCCCACAAAATGTAGTTGCAGCCAAGTACCTCATCCCCTGTTTTGACATATCTTAGCAGTGAGACCAAAATGATGACCCTACCCAGTGCGTATCCAGCATATGATCCTGATGTCAATATCAGTTTTAGATCACATTCCGTTGTTACATCGGCTACATACATCCCCCAACTATCATAGATCCTAAGAATCCAAGCCCACTTCATGGCAGGGTCGTCATGTTACCAGGTACATCACATATTTTGCATATTTTGCATACTTTGTTCATGGCCTCATGAAAACTAGCTGTTAGATTCTGTTGGATGGCAAAAAAAATCATGGAAATCCCATTCAAACAGTATGATCCCCAACAAAAAATCATGGATTCTGTTAGATTCTGCTGTATGATCCCATCCCCATCAAGCCCCATTTCTTTCAAGTTGGCTCCTTTTGGATGGAAAAGCCCGTTGGCTCCAACAGCTCCAACGATGCCGCTTGTCCGGACGCTGAGGACGCTGTCCCAGCCCAGTTTGTGCAACTACGGACCCTACGGACGGACCACCAGCTTTTTGCGCCCTGGCCTTGAAATTCACGAACTGATGAGATGAAAACTGGGTGGTTTTATATGATTGGCTGGTTGGTGGTGACTGGAACCATGGAATGGATTATGACGTTCCCATCATATTGGGAAGAATCATCCTAACTGACGAACTCATATGTTTCAGAGGGGTAGGTATACCACCAACCAGTTGGATTTGCTGAAGTTTGGTGTTTTTGTGTTCCGGAAATCCACTACTTGGGAGATATAGGGAAGATTTACTACTTTTTGGGCGTTCTTAAAGCAAATCCAAGTACGTATGCATATACATACATATATAATTATATACATATATATATATATTTATATGTATGTAAATATATCTTCATATCAAACTAGTTAATGGGGGCCAAGTATAAACCAACAAACATCACTGGGGGGCACCACCTTGTAATTATGTTTGACATTTGTTTTCCACCATACAAAAGGGATGGTTGGTTGAGATGACAAAACCAAATTCTTAAAATATAATTTTGGGTTAAAACACAAACCAGTATACATTGTAACTTATGAAACACAAATTTGTATTGATGAGCTGTTCTCATGATGATTATAGAAACTGAATCCAGGTTGTACTGTACCCAAAAGGTTATTCAATGGGATTATTGGTGATGATGATCCCAATCTGCTATTTCAGGGGTTGACACCACTGAATTGGCTTATTTCATGCTTTTCCCATCAATTGCATGGAAAGAGGTACAGACAATCAGATTCGTATATAGTTTAGATATATTTGGATCATATACAAATCATAGATGTTCTTTGCACCCCATAAGCGGCTTCAACCAAGTTTACCACTCATGTCCCTTCAGGCACTGTTTAATTACTTTTGGTGCGGTTTGGTTCAAGATGCATAATTTCGTTCAGACATGAATTTCTTGTTCAGGCATGGGAATACCATGGCAAACCTTGGTTCGGCAAGTTTTACTGCATCGATGTTGCCTATGGATCTCTCAGGTTAGCCATGCATGCCCTTGCTTATTGGGTGATTGTGCTCCACTTAAACGTGAAGCATTTGGGTTTCCCACAAGAGTTTGAGGGAGTTTATTTACAGTTTTTTATGCTATCCCTCTATCTATCTACATATATATAAATACATGTACATTACATACATTACATACATTACATACATTTCATACATTACATACATCCCATACATTGCATACATTACATACATTACATACATTACATACATTACATACCTTATAATTACATTAAATACATTATAACTACATTAAACACATTATAATTACAGTACATTATAATTACGGTAACGACATTTAAATATGTGGAGGGCGGGCCAGATCGCGAGGCCCCAGAGGTAGTATCAAATACCAGTTCGTATATTTACATATAGTTACCGTATGTTTAAATGAATTGGATTCCGTATATTTAAATGGCCGGGCGGGCCAAGGAAATCCTTCCCAGAGGTAGTCTAAAATATATGTTCGTATATTTTAGAATCCGTATATTAAAATGTAGTTACAGTACATTAAATACATTATAATCACATTAAATACATTATAACTACATTAAATACATTATAATTACATTAAATACATTATAATTACATTATAATTACATTAAATACATTATAATTACATTGAATACATTATAATTACATTGAATACATTATAATTACATTAAATACATTATAAATACATTAAATACATACAAACACATACAATAACATACAAACATACATACATACATACAGACATACATACGAACATACGAACATACATACAAAAACATACATACATACAAACAAAAACATACAAAACCATACAACAACATACAAAAACATACAAAAACATACAAAAACATACAAAAAAAACATACATACATACAAAAACATACAAAAACATACAAACAAACAAACAAACAAACATACATACATACATACATACATACATACATACAAAAACATACATACATACAAACAAAAACATACAACAACATACAAAAACATACAAAAACATACAAAAAAACATACATACATACAAAAACATACAAAAACATACAAAAACTTACAAAAACTTACAAAAACTTACAAAAACATACAAAAAACAAACAAACAAACAAACATACATACATACATACATACATACATACATACATAGATACATACACACACATACACACACATACACATACACATACACATACACATACACATACACATACACATACACATCCATGCATGCATGCATGCATGCATGCATACATATACACACACACCTACAGTAATATACATAATATACAAAATGAACTATAACGTTGTACGCATGTCCATGTTTAGGCTTCATGGCGCAACATTTGTAAAATATTGGTCGTGCCACGTAGAATGTGGTAGTTGCTGGGAAAATTCACGCGCTTCCTGGTCTGTCACTGGGCTGGGTAACGCCACAAAAAATCCCAAGAACAAATCATTCGCGAAGTAGTTGGCTAACAGCGGCTAACAAACCATGGCACATCTAAGTTTTTTCTTAGAGTAGTGCTTAATACCATATTGTATTTTTTTTCTATATACACGATTATACACGTACATAGATCCCATTATTATCCTACCATCCAAGCCTGTCCTTGTTCTCGTTGGACTTTCGACCGAGGTTTGAGTCGAAAGGCACCGAGGAGGACTTTTACAGAAGGGACCTGGATGATTTTTAACGCGCCACAAGTCATAACTAAGCCGAAAAGCAACTCATAACATATCATGACTTATTTTAAAAAACATTAACTAACTTTAGTTAACCATGGTTAATAACCATCAATTAATAGGATCATTGACCACCATTGCCCTCTGGTAATGACTAACATAGCTATTGAAGCCATGGCCATAGAAATAGTTGATTTACCTATTGAAAATGGTGATTTTCCATAGTTATGTAGATTTATAACTAAGAAAACCCCGAAATATAACTATCTATAAGGCTTAGTGTATGTGTTTGTATATCAAACTCATTGTTATTTTAACCCCGAAATATCATAGCTATGTTAGTAGGACTTTGCTTTTCTATTTTTTGTCCTATCTTTTTGGGGGTTTGTTTAATTGGGGGGGTGCCATTTCAGTAGCCATTTATTACTATTTGGAGAAACCACCACAATTAATCAAGCAGAGTCTATTAATCCAGGGTTGACATTACCGCATCAGGACTTTCCAAAAGATGGTGATCAATCCTGAAGCTGCGTAGGTTGTTCACCATCCATGGGTTTTCTGCGGCATTTCAGCTCGGAAATCATGGTGGTAGTCACTAATTACTATTGGAAGGTTGTTATTCCATCCATCACCATGTCATTCCATTAATCGCTACTATCATAGTCGCATTACTATTGGTAAAGTAATTTCACGCCACTACGTTTGCTGAAATTATGATGGTTGTTACATCAGTCTTTGGGTGAATCGATCCCGGGGTGCTCAAACTTCTGCTGCAACCATCGTTGGTGTGACTGACCTTTTTAGTTGCTCAAACAAACTGCACTTTGACCATTGTGCCTTTTCAATTATGAATCACATGTCCGTTGATGAAGCTTCACTTGTTCTTCAAGTAAAAGCAGTCAACGTCCCATTTTTGAGTTCCCATTTCATTGATTGATGGTGAAACCAACCATTTATTTTGCTGAGTTCACATCCTATTTGTTCGATGGGTTATCCGACTATTATTCCATTATACCATAATTGTCCCTATTTCACCATATAAAGCCATAGAAAACAATATGAAATTCCCATTGTTTCAAACCCAACAAACATGGGATATTTCACCATTTTGCTTAGTAAATCCATTGGTTGTCCCATGATGTTTATATCATGATTCTCCCTATTTACCTTTTGGTATGCAAAAAACTAACATGACCCATAGAAATAGTGGATTTACCCAGCTACAAAATGGTGGATCTTTCCATAGTTATGTGGCTACGTTTGCCATTTCGGGTAAACCTCCATGTTCCTATGGTTTTCCTATGGTTTTCCCATTAAAACCTCCATTTTCACCACATTTTTGTTGGAATCCCATGGGCCTCCAGGCGTAAAACCATACGAAACTCCCATTTTTGTTGGCTCAACTTATCCCATTCTTTGATGCTTCTGTTTCAGGATTTGCCCAGCGGGACACTTTTCTCGCGTCACGTGAGTGGGCCATCGGAGGCTTCGATGGAAGTGGGAGGGGGATTTAGCCATGAAATCCATAGGAAAATCCATGGTTTGATATGGTTTTACATGGTTTAACAGGGATACTAATGATCATAATGTTTGATCCCGAAGATATTTTACCAAAGCATATGTTTAAGTTTTTATGAACTGATCCCACTTAAACCAGATCATGACTTTAACATATCCAACATATCCCATGTTTGCATAAGTTTTTCCCATGGGTTTGTCAGGCGATGCGGCCCACCATCACATCTCCCTTGTTGCCGCGACCTCGCCAAGAAGGTGCAGCGTCGGACGGTTCGACCGGATATCGTGTTGGATCCTAGGGAGACGAAGTGTAAATCACACAGAATTTGAACAGAAATGAGGAAAACCATAGGAAAACCACTATTGGATGTTAATAGTGGTTAATAGTGGTTAATAGTGGAAAACCATAGGAAAACCATAGGAAAATAGAGGTTTACCCTCTGGTAAACGTTTACATAACTATGGGAAGATCCACCATTTTTAATGGGAAAACTCACTATTTCAATGGCCATTTTCAATAGCTATGTTAAATTACCTGAGGGTACATTGGGTGAATGGTAGAACGGTAGATTTATTTTCAGCCGCCAGTAAACAGCGGAGGCCCCAAAGTCGCATCTATCTAGGTGAACTTGTCAGCCTTGGTTGTTTTGATTGGCCATAGCATATCCCTGCTTGAGTTGTTTGAAACATGTTTCACACCATACGGGCAAAGTTACCCTTTGGTAAACTAACATAACTATGGAAAATCACAATTTTTAATGGGTAAATCCACTATAAATGGGCCATTATCAATAGCTATATATTTGCCAGAGGGTATAAGTTAACTATTCACCTTGCTTTGGTTGATAGGGCTGACGTTTTGCCGCCTTTCAATGCAGAGCTCTAAAAATATCCCAACTGATTGCACATGTTCCACAGCAAGTTCCAATAGCCCACAAGGTGGTGCCCCCTTTTCTTAAGTAAATTTGTTTATATTTATATGTATTATATATATAATATTGTATTATATATAATATTGTATTATATATAATATTGTATTATATATATATATGAATATAATATATATATATATATATATGGTCACATTGGTTTACAAACCAGCTTATACCGCATGTCCCAAACAAAGCCCTTTTGTTTCTTCCAGGCCGGCTCGGTGTCGGGACTCAATCCTACACCCTGGGGGGCGGCTTTGGACGGATTGGCAAAATTCAGGCCTGTCCTTCCTCGGTGCGACGGTGACTGCGGTGATCAGATGGTGGGGGATCAACGGACTTCATCTTGCCACTATCGCTGGGGTCTAACAGTAAGGTTAAGCCGTTAAGCCCCCTAGAAATGTATCTTCGTCAGCTGCAATCCCTAGTTTTGCTGCCTTGAATTGAATTCCATGGAATTATCTAGTTGGGATAATTACTCTTATAAGAATTCATAAGATATAATATTTACATATATATATATATATGTATATATGCGTATGGCTCAGAGTTTTGGCGACCCCAACCATGGGATTGCTGCTGGCGAATTTCTGCTGAGTCCTGGTGCTTGTCCGGACAGGAGTCCGAACGTGCTGGCGATGAGAGCGACAAGGAGCGCCGCGCATCGCCGCGCTGCCGCTGCCGCCTCCATGGGCGGATTATGATCCTCCCATGTCGCCCATGGTTTTTTGTTTAACTTTTTGGCATTCCATTCTCATTCCATTCTAATGCCATGAACACATTAAAAAATCCCCATCAAATATCCCCATCATTACACCCATTTTTTTGTTTAATTACCCTCTGGTAAACATACAAAAAACGCTATGGAAAATCGCCATTTTATAGCTGGGAAAATCACCGAATTCTATGGCCATTTTCAATAGCTACGTTGAATTCGCAGAGAGTAACCTTTTGGATTTTGGCAATGGGACATCCAAGAATGGAGGTTTTAATTGGACAAAATGGATAAATCATCTATAAATGGATATAAATATGGTGGATTTTCCGGCAAGCCATGTTTGATTACAGGCTAATTGATGTCAATCCTGGATAGATCAATTCTTGTCGATTCTGCGGGTTGGTCATCCGCAAAGGCGCAACAGTTATGACAGGTATGGCTAAGACGGTGCCCGCAGCGAAAGGGACAGCAGTTCAGATCCAGTTCAGATCTTATTTTGGATATAACACACACACATGTTTTTATATATATATATATATCTCCTGGTTGGTGGTTTGGAACATTTTTTATTTTTCCATATATTGGGAAGAATCATCCCAACTGACTTTCTTATTTATTTCAGAGGGGTAGGTATACCACCAACCAGTATATATATATATATATACACCTCAATTGCACCTTTGTGGTTTAAAATGCTTTGAACATCAACATAGTATTTGTATCAATCTTCTCAAACAACGATGGTCTCCAAGTTTGACCATCTCCTCAGGAGAGCACGGCCAGCACCTCCCATAGTCAGCACGACATCCTGGGGCCGGGAGACAGCTTTGGCACCTCGGCGTGTCGGAAATGCCCTGGTTATCTCTGGATCAAGCGGAGATGAGAACTGACCATTTTTTTCACCGAAAACCAACACCAAACACGCAGCCTTTGGAAAGCCAACTTGGTTTGTTCAATGGAAATTGGTCGGTTTATAGATGCTGTTGTTATTAACAATGATGAGTTCCCATGGCTATGTAATAAATCGCCATAAGGTAATGGGAAATATGCATGTCAAAGTGTTTTGAATTTGGGTTGCATCATTACCCCATGTTCAGTCACACCCATGCCCCTTATTATTTTATCGATTTCAGTGACTAGCACTTGTTTGGAAAAGCAGCAACCACGTTCATCAGTGTTTATCCGATCTCGATATGAAACCAGGAGGCTTGTGCACAGAGTCTCACATGTGCTAAATTCAGTAAGACATCAGCCCTAAGTCCACTGGACATCGGTTATAAGTTATACCTCTATTCAATTGCCATTTCAGTACCTCCATTTTAGGATCCTGGAGATCTCCCTTTGATCCATATTTTTTTTGGTTAAACTCTCCAAATTGCAGGTTGATGGCGTTGGGTTCCGGATTTTCCCTTCGATCAACGCTGGTTTGAGGCGAGCTCGCCTTGCTGTACAACATGCGCCGACTCCTGGCTGGATGACCATGGGACGAGGGTTGGGATGAGCTGTTGACCCTGGAGTTTACCCTCTGGTAAACATACAAAAAATCAAAAAGCATCAAAAAGCTATGGAAAATCACTATTTTTAATAGGTAAATCAACTATAAATTGACCATTTTCTATAGCTATGTTAGTTTACCAGAGGGTAAGCGTTTATAAACAACAGAGGTACCAATTTAAATTGTCATTTTCATAGTGATTTATCACAGTTTTGAGGGCAAGCACATGTTACCACCCAACAATCAAGACTTCGTGATCTGGGGTTGATATAAGTGATCATCCTAAAATAATGCACTCTGTTTGACCCCACATTGAAAATATTGAAGACTTGACTGCAGATTTACCACACGTTTCATCGTTAACTACCAGGTGACCACCATCATATCACCATTTATTACGGTATATTAATCCCCTACTAAATTTCAGTATAGCCTCTTGTGATCATTATGCAACATTTTTGAAATCCACATGTTCACATGTTTCATCGTTAAAACCACATTTTTTTGTGTTGGAAACTAATGAAGTTTCCAGAAGATTCATTTTTGTTCACCATGTCCCATTGTTTCCAGCATGTTCCATCATCGTTTCATCCCTTATCCGATCATGGTTGGGATTTCCATTGAAAATTGATAGAAAAAAGATAGAAAAAAAGATAGATCAAAAAGATAGAAAAGTGAACATATTGCAAATATGAAGTAAATATCATCTTTAACATCCTGGAAACACGGTTCTATTTTCTTGGAGCGTGCTTGAAATCCAACATTTTTTTCAGCCTGAAATCCAGCCATGGTGTCCTATATCATATTTTCCATTAAATATATATATATATATGATATATGATATATCCGTATATCCATATCATATATATTCATATTTATAGATACAATTACAATCCAGACGCACACACACACACATATATATATATTGAGGTCTGCCCCCGCCCACTAACAGTTCAAAACTGCCCCCCTTTCATAAACCACATACCAAAAAAGCACAATCATATTGGTGGTAACTCAGGCCATTTTAGGGGATCCTTAGGGTCTGCTTAGGAGAAGATGTGATCTAGGTGGGCCGTACAAGTAACAAAGGGTGGAGTAGTGAATGCAACAACATCACTACCTTTCAGGTGGCATTGTTTGTGGTTAAACCATTTAAATCATTTTAACGAACATCCTTTTGTATTGCGCCATATTGTTGGAGCCATCAGGACATGTTTGCTGAACTTGTCATCAACTAGCCAGAAAATCAAAGTATCGATGTTGCTGTTGATATCCTTTGATGGTTGGAACGTTGGAATGGTTCTGGGAAGTCTGACAGCTGACATGATTTTGTTTATCTGAATATTTGTGTGTCAAATAGCAATGGCCATGATATGGTATGATGATGCAAGGTGTTGCATCGATATGATGATACGATATTATGACCCATGACATTCTTTACAATATTGACTGCAGCATACCTGAGATACCGAGATACTGCAATCAAACGGTCCAACCATTGTAAGTTATAAGTGAAAAGCGTTACAAAGGCGTGCCTCCAACAATAGTTGTTGAGGTTCTTAATAAACATCATATGATAATTACATTTTTTTTCACATTCCCGCTCCTGGCATGGGCTCACTCTTGAGAGTTTTTTTTGGAAAGGAGGTTGGAAAAAAGGAAATGGTATGAGACATTTGCCGGGCCGCTGGTCCGAAGGCTGTCGAGGCCAGGTGGCCTGAGATTCATTTTTTCCAGAGAAATTGTGCTTTTTTCGTGCTTTTTTCGTGCTTTTTTTGTGCTTTTTTGTGCTTTTTTTTGTGCTTTTCCGGCGCTCCCGAGCACAAAAAAAAGCACAAAAAAAAGCAAAAAAAAAAGCACAATTCATACCACAAAAAAAAGCACAAAAAAAAGCACAATTCATACCACAAAAAAAAGCACAAAAAAAAGCACAATTCATACCACAAAAAAAAGCACAAAAAAAAGCACAATTCATACCACAAAAAAAAGCACAAAAAAAAGCACAATTCATACCACAAAAAAAAGCACAAAAAAAAGCACAATTCATACCACAAAAAAAAGCACAAAAAAAAGCACAATTCATACCACAAAAAAAAGCACAAAAAAAAGCACAATTCATACCACAAAAAAAAGCACAAAAAAAAGCACAATTCATACCACAAAAAAAAGCACAAAAAAAAGCACAATTCATACCACAAAAAAAAGCACAAAAAAAAGCACAATTCATACCACAAAAAAAAGCACAAAAAAAAACACAATTCATACCACAAAAAAAAGCACAAAAAAAAGCACAAATCATGCGCGTTTCCAGCCCGTTCGCATGTAAAATTGTGAAGGGAAACTATTATCTAATTTGTTTTCAATTGCCAGAAAGCACAAAAAAAAGCACAAAACCACAAAGCACAAAAAAAAGCACAATTCATACCACAAAAAAAAGCACAAAAAAAAGCACAATTCATACCACAAAAAAAACACAAAAAAAAGCACAATTCATACCACAAAAAAAAGCACAATTCATACCACAAAAAAAAGCACAATTCATACCACAAAAAAAGCTCAAAAAAAAGCACAATTCATACCACAAAAAAAAACACAAAAAAAAGCACAATTCATACCACAAAAAAAAGCACAAAAAAAAGCACAATTCATACCACAAAAAAAAGCACAATTCATACCACAAAAAAAAGCACAAAAAAAAGCACAATTCATACCACAAAAAAAAAGCACAAAAAAAAGCACAATTCATACCACAGAAAAAAGCACAAAAAAAAACACAATTCATACCACAAAAAAAACACAAAAAAAAACACAATTCATACCACAAAAAAAAGCACAAAAAAAAACACAATTCATACCACAAAAAAAAGCACAAAAAAAACACAATTCATAGCACAAAAAAAAAACACAAAAAAAACAAAGTCATTTTCCTTTTTTCCTGCGCCAGTTTCTGTTTTTTTTTGTGCTTGTTTTGTGTTTTTTTTCTGTTTTTTTTCTGTTTTTTTTCTGCTTTTGGAAAGTCGCTGCTTTTAAAGCATTTTCAATTGGCCAGCCCGGCCCAGCTCCAGCCCCCACCTCAGCCAGCCAGCCCGCCAGGCCTCTAGTCCCCCAGCATTCCCCAGCTCCCAGGCTCCAGCCCCCAGGCTCAGCCCCCAACCCTTGCCCAGGGTCAGTCCAGCAGCCCCGGCCTTTATATGTATTGTACACACACATTCTATTGTTTTGCTATCGGCGCTGCGATGGGCAACATTCTAAACCCTAACAGAATTACTTTTCCATCGGCATTGTGGTGGGCAGCATCCTAAACCCTAACCAGTGTTGCTGTGCCATCAGCGCTGCAATGGGCAGCATCCGAAACCCCAAACAGTATTGCTTTGCCATCATCGCTGCAATGGGCAGCATCCAAAACCCTAAACAATATTGCTTTGCAATCAGCAGCATCACTACCCACAAGGTGCTGACAAGCTGGATGCATGAGGCATCCCATTGGAAATGCCAATGTCGAATTTTGACAGCAAGGACTTCTGGGCATGGCAAGAAAATGTGCCGACCGTGGAGCCAACTTGCAAGGAATATGCCTGGTCATCTAGCCTTAATAAGGGGAAATGAAAGTCATATTGGGGACTACAACCTGATTTTTTTTGTGTTTTTTTTTGTGGTATGAATTGTGGTCACTGTTAGTGTCACGAGGCAGAGCCCAATATATATATATATATATGTATATAATGCTAATATACCCAGTAAAAAATCCATGACATCCCCATGGAACTCCTTTGTTCGAAGGCGAAGCCACCTTCCGCGCCATGGAAGACTCGGTGGTCTACGCCGTGCCGCGCCGCGCCTGGGAGAGCTGCTTCACACGCTGCGGGCGCGGTTCGTTTTGTCGGAGGGAGGGATATGCTGGGGATTCGTGGCTTTACCATGGATTTACATGGTGTTTTTGATGTTTGTTTTTCTTTTTTAGTTTAAACATGTTTTATGGATGTTTAGCTATATTTTTACAATATATAATATCTGTCAACACTTCTAGGATATTGGAGAGAAAAAATGGCGACTGAACTGCCAATGATGGATGTGAATGGAATTATCTGGAATTATAAACCACGTATCGTAGGGAAATTGATAGGATATTGTATGATGGGTAGATGATGGGGATACTCTCCTGTAATCAAACATGGCTGGGAAGTCCTCGTAACCAATGGGCACTTAAATATAAATTTCATCGATAAATGTAGGATTGTTCATTGCAAATAAGTTCTCATGAAAAAGTTGCATCTATACGTCCCCAGTAAGCATTGACATCCTAAAACTCAATGCCAAAAGTTCTCAGACTGTGGGCACGTTATAATGTCTATACGTGTATACCATCCATTTGAGTTATGTTTTTTTGGGTTTGCCATTTCAAGAGTTGGTGAGGGGCTGTCACAAGTCAGCTATAACTTGGATAATCCCATCAACGAGTGACGAACGTTAACCAGCTTGCCATGCTCATTTATCAGGAATTACTTCGGCCGCTGTCCCAAAAAACTATTGAAAATGGCCATATAGTTGAATAGTTGTGGATCTTTCCATTGTTATGTGGCTGTTTACCATTTCGGGTAAACCTCCATTTTCCTATGGTTTTCCTATGGTTTTCCCATGAAAATGGTGGATTTTCTATAGTTAATCACCTGGCAGATCCGGGGGAAAGTTTCAGCAAAAAACGCGACCGGTTTTTTTTGGAACATGAAATCCAAGAATTATCCTGGAGCAATACTGGTGCTGGATAATAGTGGTTAGTGGTTAATAGTGGTCATTAAACTCTAGTTAATAGTGGTTTAATAGTGGTTTAATAGTGGGTTACTGTAATAATGGTTATTGAGATATATCTGGTTGGTGGTTTGGAACATGAATGGATTATGACTTTCCATATATTGAAAATGTCATCATCCCAACTGACTCATATTTTTCAGAGGGGTAGGTTGAAACCACCAACCAGATCCTGTAGCAAAATCATCTCCGGGATCCCATTCTGGAGGCTATCACAACCATCCACACGTCACAGGCAGCGCTTCGATGAGTACTGCAAGCTCTTAGACGAGGAGCGGCACCGGAGAACAACATCGTGGATTAGTTGCTGAATGGCAACATATTGAACAACAAAAGATTGAACTGTTCATGTAGAAAAAATACTGTACGTGTTTTTTTATCGTAACATGCAAAAAAGCCTCCATTTGTAGATGATTTTTTCCTGTTGAGACATCCAATAAGGGGATTTTCCAGACAGCCTTTGATGGCCGGATGATCCCCGAAAGCTGAAAACTGGCACCACGCCCACCGAACTGCTGCATCTCATATTCGTTTTGCAGGTTTAGTAGTTTTCAAAAAGGAATCAACACATGCCAAAAAATAACATCTTGAGATGATTTGCCATGGGTTTACCCAAAGATTTTCATATTTCCATTTGCCATTCAGCCTATATTTGCCATGAAACTACCATGAAACCACCATTAAACTATCATTAAACAATCAAAAAAACATCTTCACTATCCATGGATTTAGCTACATATTGCCATTAAACCACCATTGAAGCACCATTTTCCCCAGCCGCGCATGGCTTCCCCGAAAAATTCCGCAGAAAGCCAGGTGCATGCCTTGGAGCCGCTGCTCTCGTCGGAGCGCTACGAGTTGGCCTGCAACGCCTCAGGCGGGCGCAACGAGTGCTTGGTTTTATAGTGGTTAATAGTTAATAGTGGTTAATAGTGGTTATAGTGCTTCACCTGATTTCAATGGGATTTACCCTCTGGTAAACAGCAACATAACTATGGAAAATCACAATTTTTAATGGGAAAATCCACTATTTCAATGATAGCTATTTTGACATAACCAGAGGGTAATGGTGCTTCAAAATCTTCCAAGCCTCCATTCTGAATGGTGGAAGAATGGTGGTTTGATAGTGGTTAATAGTGGTTAATAGTGGTTAATGAGATATACTGGTTGGTGGTGACTGGAACATGAATGGATTATGACTTCATATTGGGAATGTCATCATCCCAACTGACGAATATATTTTTCAGAGGGGTGGGTTGAAACCACCCACCAGATGGTGGTTGAATGGTGTTTTTTCATAATGGTTTATATGATGAATGGATGATATGTTTTGTTTAAAAAAGAAACTGGTGGTTTGTATGATGAATGGATGATAGTATATGATAGTGGTGGTTGAACTGGATGTTAAATGCTGAAATGATGGGATAAGAATGGGGTGATCATGTTGAACAAATGTTCTTAATATCGTTGGGTGGTGAAGATCCATGACAAATTGTGTTTAATGGAATAATTAGCATGGCATAATGGGAGAACACTCAATGGAAATTGGATAGAACTGGCTAAATTGAGAAGTCTCAGGGTTTATGCATCAAATCGTCCAATCGTATATGTTGATAGAGTCACCGGGTAAGTATAGTATAAGTATTTTTAGGACATGGGAAATATGCTGGGAAAAAGGTGAATTATGATATTTTTGTTGAGGTAAAAATGCGTGTTTTTTTTGTGATTGGAGAATGGTGATTTGGAACATTTGCCATGGAAATCACCTGGGAACATATTCGGACATATCCACGACAGCTCTGATATTGCCGGTGTTTGGAAACCAAAAAAACGGGAGGTTTCCGAGTCACGGAAAATTCTACTGTAGGTGTACTGGGTTTCTTTTGGATGGATTCTGAATAGTGTTTCACATTTTTATTCCGTCTTTTTCATGGGTGATATATGAACTAAAGCGGTTTATTTGTTTCATGGTATGGAAGATTGGCATAGTTCGCCCGTGCTTCTGAAAGATCAAGCCACAGGATTTCCAGTGAACTCGGCGCGGAATTCCAAGCCATGGATTGCTAGAAGGGATCACCCCGAATGTGGGTAAAACCATAGGATCCACCAGTCCCAAGTTTACCCTCTGGTTATGACTAACATAGCCATGGTATAGATGGCTCATTTATAGATGGTTTACCTATTAAAAATGGTGGATCTTTCCATGGCTATGTTAAATAACCAGATGGTAACATGTTTATGGGTGGTAAACCATCAGTTTATATGGGTTGTTTAAGTTGTTTATGACACTGCTAACATGAAAACTCAGTGCATTCACGGACATCCGCACTGCGGCCGGGGTTCAAAGATGGAGGGACAGCGCAGTCCTGGCACCTGGCAGGTTGATGAGCTTCAATTGTACCTTTAGACCAGTGGGAAAGTGTCAACATTTGGTAATAATATGTCATAATAAACATTCATAGACTTCAATTAATGCGGGAATAGAAAGGTAGCTTCATAGTTAATGTATTAATTAATGCTTAAATATTCATTCTTTTCCAGGAATTAATCCAATAGTAGACATGGTTCCCATATCCCATCAATTTCTGTTATCAATATATTGCTAATATATCATGTCAGTTCATTGTCCCACCTACTATTGGTGTTCTGTTCGGTATTTCATGTGTTAAAAAAACGGGTCTCTAGCAGCTCGGATCGCATATGCCGAAAATGCGGCACCTGGAGCTGCTGAAGTCTGCTGAATGCTATCCGGTAAACCAAAAAAGTAGCAGAAAATGACCCATTGATAGTGGATTTACCCAGCTAAAAATAGTGATTTTCCATAGCTATGTTAGTTTGCCAGAGGGTAACCATATTAAAACCATATCATTTACTGACGGTGATTTTCCAGAGCTATTCTTAAATTACTAGAGGCTAAATCTGTGAAAACACCCCGAGCCTTTCCTGTGAACAGTGACGCCTCCCAACTTTTTGGGTCGTTGCCGCCATGGACGGAGAACAAGTGGCTGCCGTGAGCATGGCTGCTGGGGCGTGTCTGTGGGATGGGATGCGTCTATAAATAGCTGTGAAAACTATCTATATATCTATATACCGTTTATATACCCTCCATAAATGGAGGATCTCCAATTGCTGTGTTTGATGACCGGAGGGCAATTATAATTGACTTGCAGGAAAATTCAATCCAAACAGTAAAACATATGGTTGTGGATTTTCGTGTAAACAAAGCCATTGGCAGGTAAGAAATCAGCCGCGGTGCAACACAGCTGGCCGATGAGTTATGGGACAACCCCAAGTTAGAGTGATCATCAGTTGGGAAGACCATCGCCAACTGGATAGCCTCTGGTAATTTATAGCTATTGAAACTGGCAATTTATAGTGAGTTTTCCCATAAAAAAAATGTGATTCTCCATAGTCATGTTAGTTTACCAGAGGGTCTGGAAGGTCAGTTTCTACGGGAATTTCCCATTGCCTTTTGTTGAAGAAACCAGTGGATATCCGTCAACCTGGACAATACGGGGAAAAGCACCGCAGATATCCGCAGATCATTTCCCTTCGAAAGCCATGGGTTTTTCCCCGGAAGTTGAAAACAATCCCCGAATTATCCCTAATTACCACCTGGTTATTTAACATAGACATGGAAAATCCATTATAAATGGAGGTTTTAATGGGAAAATCATCTATAAATGGGCCATTGTCCATGGCTATGTTAAATAACCAGAGGGTAATTGCTTCAGAGAACACGTTACAAGAACCCTGGAAAAATCCATGTGCTCTCAATAGAACAACATCATGTTGCCTGTGCTTCCCATATCTGTCCTGTAAATCATAGCTATCATTATATAATTGCCGTTTTGTATGGTAGTATGACCACCCCCCACCTTACTGGGTCATATAATCTAACACAACTTGTGTTTATGGTTGGTAATGTATTCCAATCATTTCATCCATATCAATATCCCATTCACTCACCATGTTTGATGGCTAAAACCAAGCATGCCGAACAATCCCTCACCATCACGGAACCCCCATTTTTGTTGCTTAAAACACCAATTCTCATGTTTTCGACCTAGATGGGCCATGGGATTAGCGATTCCTGCTTAGTAACTGGGTCATAGACACGGGAACATCCCAATTAAGACAACTATCATACCATGATTATCCTCTCATAATATATCATATTGTAGTCCTATGTATCTATATGTTTTGCCTTGTTTTAAACACACCATGGTCCATTTTAAGTCTAGATCTTTAAATTTCGTTGTGATTTACGTTGACAAAACCCGGCGCTTTCCGCAAGGAATGGAAGGTCTTGAAAGAGCGCTTCTTTGCCGGCGAACCGGTGGATCCGGTCTTTGAGGTCCTCTTTGTTCCACTGCAAGCAGCCACAGAGTGGTTAACCTCTGGTAAACTAACATAACTATGGAAAATCACATTTTTTTAATGGGAAAACTCACTATAAATGGCCATTTTCAATAGCTATGTTAAATTACCAGAGGGTAACCTTGTGGGAGGTTCAAACCTTGTTTTTTTTACATGGGAATTAGATTGTCAAATATACAACCGTTTTGTTTTAACCATCCCAATACAGACCCTGAGGGTTAACCAGTGTGGATGTTGGGAACCAAGCGATTCAGAATGATTCAGAGCTACCAACAGCATGAAAGATGTGGAATTTGGGGGTGAATCAACCAGTTTTTGTGGCTAGATGTGGCCAAGATCTGATGACCTCACATAAGAATCTTCCCGTTGTTCTTGACATCATACTACGTCTTCCAGTATGTTGATTACATAATTTAGATTCACTATATTGAAAGTTACACTCGTGACTCACATCAAGTTTTTTTCGATGCTCAGATTCCCAATGTTTGGTGAACACAGATTGAAGCCCCATATCTTTTACATTTAAAAACGATTTACGTTTGCCCGTCTGCAGGGCATCGTCAAAGACTTCATTGCCTTCGACGTGACCTTGCAGGCTGGACTCTTCATGTTCATGTGGTTTCAGGGAATGGGAAATGATACAAACAACATTCCAACATTCGTACTGGTTAATCACCCAACATGGGAGGTTTCATGGTTTGTCATGGGGATCATGATGTTTGCGTCAGGGTTAGATCCCCTTGTCAGATGGCTGACAGGCAAAATGAGGATCAACCATGGGGGTTAGAGTGTCCTCCCTCCGCCAACAAAAGATAGAATTAAGATCCCTACATTACAATCCCCACAATAAAAAGCAGAAAGATAAATTGAACCTTTTGCGTTTTTTTTTGTTTGGTTGCTATAAACGTTAAACACGCTGTTCCTTGAGCGATTTAAAAGTTTGCGGGGGATGCATAGAATGGCCACAGTTCTTGGCAGGTTACATTGACCCCACAATGCCCTCGCCATCAATCGTGGCTGTGAATCATCATTCCCACATTGTATTTTGGGTGTTCGAATCATGACACATTTCTTTAATTGAATCAAAATTGATGATTTGTATTAACGATTGCGGTTTGCCTGGTTGGTTTATGCTGATTTGGGGAAGTGAGATCTTTCAAACCCCATTATATTCTCAGTATATGCCCATTAAACCAACATGTCTGCTGCTCAAGTCCCTTTATTGGTACCCCTGCCATATCTTCCAGCACATCTCAAAAACCAAGGACCGTAGAAAACTACTTATTTATCATATTTCCGATACATCAACCATAAATCCACTATGTTTTCTTGGTGAGACAAACATACAGTATATACCAATTGTTATTAGATTATCCCTGAGATTTCCTGGTGAAGTCTTCTGACAGTCGCCATACCTTCCAGGCAAATCCGGATGAATCTGTCCATCAAACATCACCATTTTGATGCTTAAATCATCTTAAATCATTAACCCCCTATATATGTTCCTCGTTTTTTTGACCCAAACGCTCAACAAAACCGAGGCCAATACCCCAAACTCAACGATTCTGAACACGGCACCACCAATGAGCTGTGTAAAGCTTTCAAATCCCATTGTGATATCTTACAATATCAGCTATGGTGAGAAATTCCCGCTATTCCCGTGGTGATTATTCCCCATTAATTACTCCCATTACGGAATCCTATCCAGTTATCCTACCATCCACCTATCTAAGATGGATGTGTAACGATTGATGTTCCTTTATAGTAATGTTCATGATATGATTATATGATATTACATGATCTACAGGTTTTGTTTTTGTTTCCCACTCCCCAATATGGTTCAAACATGTTCAAACCTTTCGGAGCTGTTGGATCCTTTCGGATTCACCGAACATCAAACATCCAGTCCCATGACGGATCCATGGTACTGGTATATTATAAATGCTAACATAAAAGGGGTATATTGATGGGATCCATGGCACACCATATATAAGCAGCACCGTTAGGATCCGTCATGGGAGATGAATCATCGAAAACAATCGGAATCCGAAACATCCAGGACGTCTTCAAAAAGGTGGAGATCTTCATGCACGGCGTGGACAGTTTGTCCGAGGGCTTGACCGCCTTGGCGGAGAGCACCACCACGGGGCTCAGCGCGGTGGATGATCAGCTCATCAAGGCGGCAAGGGGAGGATGTGGCTATGGCTATAGGATACCTATTTTGATACCTATGGTTTAAGGATGTAGATATAGTATATAATACACATATATATATATATTTTTAGTGTTGTAATTGTATATATATATAGTATATTTGTATATATATATATATTATATAGTATGTATTTATATATATGGCATATATATATATAGATATATTTATACATACATACATACACACATATATATATATTATGTAATGTATGTAGAACTAAGCTGGGTATTTGGGGGTGTTTATAACATGCCATAGGCCATGTACAGAACTGGGCTGGGTCCCATTTGAAATGGGTCAGAACCAGAGTTGGTAGCCACATGACATTTGGTAAACCACGATGGATGCAGGAAACTTTTCAACATTTGCTGGTTTTAGGTGTTGAGAACTGTGAGTTCACTGCTAACCAACAGAACTTACAGTTGAAGTGGTGTTCCCATATCTATGGTCCCTACCAATTGGCGAGTTCTGAACAACATTAAACAGCCAGAAATCAACGGTGGTTTCCCCTTTCCCCAACACTATTTGTGAAATAAAACGATTCTTCACTATCGCAGGAAAACACCAATTGTTATTATTGTTTGTGGTTCCAGGTTAATTTTAACCCATTTTTGCGGCTAAAAGAAACGCCTATCTGCCTTCCTAGGCGGATTGCTGCAAGATGAAGGAGGCCACCAACAGCATCACCCGTGCGGATGCGCCGCATTCGGCCATTGCCAAGTTGAGACGGGACATGGACTTCAACATCATGTGCCTTTGGACCAAGGAAGATCACCTGCTTGGAGCTGCAGTTGAGGTTTCTTTCTTTTGGTATAACCATGGTTCAAGAACCCCCATAAGTTGGGATATAACCCTTATAGCATCTTATAGCCATGGTCATATCTCCACATATCTCCACTTAAAAGTGGAGCTGCTAACTGCCTTTCCAAGATGGAGAACACCCATCATGTTTCGTCCAACAAAAGAAACACTGGGGCGACCTAACAGGAATCAAGTGCTTCGTGCATCACCACCCAAACAAAAACACGCCTTTGGGTCATCAATAGAAAAGGATGTTGGCCACAGACCAAGCAGGGAGTAAGCAGCGCAGTGCGGCAGGTCCCTCTGGATGGACAGACATCTCTAGAGTTGCTACCACCAAACAAAGGAGTTGAAGCAACAAGACACTGGACTAAGCATCCAAACAGATCCAAAAAACATCATTTTCCTTGGGAAAATTCGGATCCATGTTTGGAATGTGATCGATATTGGGGCGTTTGGAAACACGATTGACACCTTTGAGTGCGTTTTTTGAAGTGAACACAGAGGCTGAATGGATTGTAGCCATCACCTTTGGTTTACCATTTATCGCAATTACATTTTAAATTTGAGCGGGGGACCAACAAACCACAAAGAGGACTAAGGCTGCTTACTTCCACGGAGACGAGTCAAGCACCATTCGACCTCGTTCTTGTGACAACTTCGAGAACGGGCCCGGGAGGAACGCTAACGAAGGCAAGCACCTGCTTGTTGACGATAACGAGGATAGCAAAAGCCCTTAGTGGCACAGTGGAAGAGGTCAGGCTGGAGCATTTCTGATCCACACCTTAAACAGAAGCTGTATTCTTCTTGGGGTGGTATTAGTATCATTTCAATATTCCCTTCCAAACAATGTGTGCAAACATGTGCAAGCCAACTTCTTGACATCGATAAAATCATCACATTTGGCCTTTGTGTGTTTATATTTGTTTTTCCACATCCAACTGACACACCAACACTGGTCTATCCAAACATGGGCTACCCCAGGATTTTCACAATTTTCATGACCATTCCCTCGAAGAAACCCACTCCCTCCACCAGGGAGTGGCCTTTCTTCGGCAGTCCCGCTTCGCAGCCCGGCTCCGCCAAGGAACCCATTGAGGTCCCACATTGTGAACAATCGGAATATGAAGGGCCATTTGGAGACTTGGCGGTGTCAGTGGGCATGGTCAGAGTATGTCATTCATCATAGCACCATGAAAAAAGGCATCAAAACACGGTGAACTTATGGGAATTTTATGGGATATTAGTGATAATTGATAGGGATGGCAAGATTGGGATTTATTGCCAATGTCAAGAGTATTCAAGAGTTGGAACGAGTCCATTTTGGGTGATAGCCGTACTATCGGGTGATATCTGTCATACCACCATTCGTAGGCAAGTACAATGGCTAACAAAGGAAACAGTAGGAAAAGTAGTTCACTGAGGCAGTGATTAGACTGATTAGACACGGTCTAACCATAGAACATGCTGATTTATTGGGATGTCCATGGGATATGCAACCACAATCAAACATATCAAAAGTTGGATTAGGTGATTAGGTTTACCTTTTTTTAATTGGGGAAAGCAACCATATTTCCACATCAGAAAGGCGATTCAGATCCATCAACATGGTTCGATTTAAGGGATTTCCTTACCCATAGGATCCATGTATGGTATATATGGTAACATTTACCATCAATATACCCCAAATGTTGGCATATATACCATACATGGATCCTATGGGTTATAGCAGAATGACCATTCCCATCACTGGAATCCGGCCAAGGGATGTCCAGGGTAGGTCCCAATTTCTTTGAGTTTGCTGGTTACATCCCCACTTTTCTTGGTCAAATCCCAATAAAAATCCCATGACATTCCCGTTATATACCTTTATATATTACCATTATACCATGGTTTTCGTGCTTAAATCATAATTGTTTCCCATAGTTTTGGGGGGGTTAAATCAGTTAAAACCCCAAGTAATCCAGTGTTTTCCCGTGTTTTTTCCATATTTTTTGTGGGTTAAATCCCAAGTCTCCCCGGAAAAAACATCGGGTCTTCGCGGTCCTCGCGGTCGTCCGCTTGGAGCTGAATCCGTCAGGACAAACGCCGCCGAAGGCTCTTGGAGCTGAACATCGCCAAGCGGGACAGATTTTTGGGGCCTTTCCATATGGCACCAATGGGGAGTCATATACATATATTAACTATATATTATATGATACACATATGTTAGTATATATCCATATAATGGTTACATATATGATAGGTATATGATACATATATGTTAGTATATATCTATTAGTGCCATATGAAAAGTATAATGGTGATTTTCATATCATACACAATGGTGATTTTGATATCTATATGTATATATATATGGTTTCCATAAATGGGGGATAATGGATGGAAAATCCCAAAATATAATGGATGGTTTAAGGGGGTACCACCATTTTAGAAAACCTCCATATGTATATATATATATATACATATTATAATTTATGATTATTATATATTAGTATAGTTAGTTACATTGTTTTCCATAAAGCATTAACATGGTGATTTAATGGGTCACCTTGTGATCTACTGTGATAATGATTCATGGTCAGGAGTTGGATTGTTGTCCATTGAGAATGGTGAATTTATGGGAGATGTAGTGGGGATTCAGTAGGATTTAAGTGCGGTGATTTAATGGGATATGAACGGGGATAGTCAGTGGGATGTACCACCAACATTCACCAACTATCGTCAGAAAAAAAAAAACATGATATACCGAATCATGGGGATATCGATCCATCTATGGTGATTTATATACTGTATCCATTACAATTATAAGGGGTATGGGTATCATTATGGCATGGATATGGATGGATAACCGTACCACATGTACCATGTTTTGACCATGGTACATATATCATCTGGTAAACTACTGTAACAGTTTGCGAACTGGAAAATGGACATTTATAGTTGATTTACCTACTAAAAGATGGTGATGTTCCATAACTATGTTAGTTTACCAGAGGGTATATCATCTGGATGAATTATAATGGCAATTTCACTGTGGCATCACTGGAATAATGGTGAGTTGCTATACTTCTACGCACAAATTTATCTAGACTTGGAGAAAAAAGTTCATGCCATGGAACATTGAGATTTGTATAGGGTTTGCCATTTTGATATACACATATATATATATATTATAAATATATATGTGTGTTTGTGCGTATATACGTCTCTATAGGAGAAAAAAACAAAAAACATGTTCTGGATGAACATCCATTTGCCAGCTATTTTTGGTTTGGCTCAGCAGCAGGTTCTGCGCTTGCACAAACACCTGACATGGACTGCGAAGGTTCAACTCACCAGAGGCTACCTGATTGCACGGCTGATTCTTGGGACCGGCTGAAGGTGAGCTGGTGACTTGAGCCAATATGGTGCCCCAGTTTCAATTTCTTCAACTTGTGTCCCAGAATTGGTTTCAGGGAAAAGCTGCAGCCCACTAAACAGACGCGCATCGCACGCAGGAAATGGATGAGTGCACCAAAAAGAATCTGAATCAGACGGACCGAAGGTACCTTGCACTGAGTTGGGGAGCTGAGTGGGTTGAGGGGGTTGTACTACTCGAAAACTCCATGTTCATATGTAAAATATATGGTATTTTTAACTGGTGTATTTTTTTTTTTAATGATGTATTTGCCATATGCACATTATATATATATAGATAGATAGATGGTTATATATATATATATTGTATATATATATATTATATTATATATATATTATAATATATATAAATATTATATTATATGTACGTGTGTAGTTGCATTTTCATATATGCATGAGGCAGTGGTTGGGTCACGACATGGTGTGGCTGCAATGGCGGTCTGATGGCTGTCATTGGTGTTTCATGCCGATCATTTGGGCTTTGTTTTTTTTCTGACATGACATGATTCTCAGATCATTTGAACATACCTCCGTGGAGCATTCTCCAGGTGCCTCCAATACCTCAAACGATTTGGGAATCCTTTTGCCATCTTCAAGGGTCAAGGGGTATCTTCTAGGGCTATGTTCCAATCATCTTAGAATGATAAAAAAACGGACTTGGGAATCAGGAATTTGATTAGCCATCCCTCGTTTGGGCGGGTGCAAGGGGTTTGAGTTCCCATCAGCACAATTGTAACTTCAAGAGCTGAGATAAATTGCTCACGTAGGTATTTCGCATTGTGTCGCAACCCCACTGCCACCAGAAATCGTTCACGTCCATGACTGTTACGTTCACCAAAAAACAACATCAGGTCAGGACCGCCCCTAATTCAAAGTTCTTTCTCATGAAATTCGAAGAAGGGAGTGATAGAACGGGACAGAGAAAGCCGGAGCAAGAAACAGAGATAGAGAGAGAGAGTGCAATATCTATGTTGGTAGTCTACCCTGTTTTCTTTACTGATTGTAGTTTGAGCCATCTCCCAACTCCTGCCCCCCCCCCCATGGCAGGTATTTGTCCGCACAGAGTCAGCTGGATTCAGCCAAGATGGCGTTTCATGAGGTGGACAAGCACATCTTCGAATGGCCTTTGTGGCAGCATGGGGCCCATGGAACATTTGCCTGGGAGGGCCCGATTTGGGTCATATCTGTCATATCTTTCATGGTTCACATTAAAATGGAGGTACCCCAAAACCATAGGTTTCAATTTGGATGATTTGGGATACCCCTCAAGCGCATTAAATTTAGTTTTGCAAACCTGCCGCAGGCCGAAAGCTGCGAAATGCACCATGTACTGCACCATGTATTTCTATTTGGGTTTTGGACCTTTGTTTCATGATGTTTTTGGTCTTGGGGACAGATTGTGCTCTGCTTAGCATTTTTTTGGAGGGGGCAAAGTGCTCAACAAAATGTGGCCGTGTTGTTTCGGTTCAACCTCCGAGGTTGTACATTCTGGAAGAGTACAAGGGAGACATCTTGGTGTCTCGAATCACAAAAATTACGGGAACGAGCATGACTTCCAGAAATAAAGGAAGGGAGTGCCGCAGCATAATTCAATGCATTGATCGATTTGGATTGAGGTTTGGAAAGGCAATCCTATGTATATGCCGTATGCTCCATGATGATCCGTGATGTGTCTATCTGTGGTCATCGAAAGGCAAATGTATATATATATATATACATACATACATATATATATATAATTATATATATATACATGCATATTTCTTCATTTTTTCAGGAGCTCCCTACGACCGAATAAATTTCCCAGGGATTGTAGCTAGGCACAAAGATGATCAGTTGGTTTTGGGTGAACTGATGTGAATTGTTTTTTTTGGTACATACATATATATATATATATATATATATATATATACATACTATATATATATATGCATGTATACATATGCATATATACATGTATATGTATACTGTATTTGCATGTACATACATATGCACATGAATGTCCATATATATAAAAGTATGTTGACATATAGAAACAACACTATAATTTTGACAGCTGTAGATGATGTTCATCCGTTTAAGGCGAACACATAATGTGAAATTACGGAGTTTATTTGTGTTTGTTGGATTGGATAGACTATGATAGACTTATGTCAACGTTATTCACAAGCATTGGTGACTTGACAGCCATATGTCAACGTTGGTTCATTGAAATACCAGTTTGATTGGTTTGAAACACATCAACCTATATAGTTCATCGTTGATTTCAAGAGAATTTGCAGTAACTGTCGGTTTGATGGTATTAAAGGCGGATATTCCTATAGTCAGATGTGTGAAACGACACTGGATCTTCAAGCCAATCTTCAAATCACTGCAAGATTGTGTCCTCTTGCGAAAGATACTCAGGACAGCTGCCTTCAGCGCCAGAGCAGCACGGAGATTTGTGGTGCGTTGGCTGGTGAAACAATCAGTTGAAGTTGATATCCTCCGGTATCATCAATCAAACATAAGGAGATACCGTGTAAGTGGGATTGAAATGTGAAAATCATCAAACTAAATAGCTTATGTTGTTTGCCCTGTGTAAGTCTATAGCAAAATTATTGCTCCATTGATCATTTATGGTAGGTGAACCACTCGCTGATCAATATTTTGATGGCAACCACACCCCAATGCAACGAGTTGGTGCTGAAACACCCACCGAAAAATATTCCGGCCGGCATTGCGGGGCATTGTTGATCCTGAGGTAGCTTCGGAGTATTAATGGGCTATGATTTCGGTGTTCAGCCATACCTTCTAGGAAAAGTATTTTGGATCCATGGGGTATGGAAAATTGGGATTTACGGCAACTACAAAACTATCGAAAGTCTGCTGCTAGCCAACAAAAAAAGAGGTTGAGTGATTTTAGAGTATAATTAGAGCTTAGTCTGGATTTGCAAAAAAAAAATTGTACTCTTAAACGTGTTTTCTAGTCAATTTCGGGTCATGCGTTGTACCAACATGTCCTTTGATAGCAATCATCATCACTAAATTTTATCTATACTTTCTGTTTTCCATTGTAATCCGTAAATCCGCAACTAGCTAGATCTAGTGGGGAACCTATTTGAGCTAATTGCCATGTCCCTTCTTATGAACATGTGCTCCGATTAGCAAAATATAGATGGAAAAAGCGATATTAATTGTATATCGTGCTGCTCTCCTCGTCTTATAGGCCCAGGTACTATCGCAGCAAAATCATATCAAATGAATCCAAATTATTTTTGGAGATATTACCCACCTGCGATCGCTAAGTAGCTGATTGACCATGGCCCTTCTTCTCATGAGAGTTGGTTGTAATCAGAATAGGAAAGAACACATTTTGAAGTACATATGTCATATGTCCCCATGTCCCACGTTCCTACTATAATGGAATCAAGCTTTGGTACTTTGGGGGTAATCCCATGTAATTATCCCTCATGTCCCTTCTTCCGATGAACGTGGCTTTAGAGTAGAACGATGTTTATTTCTAGATCATGCTATAGTCCACAAAAAATATTTCAGCTTACAAGGTGGGCCCCAATAATTGCTAAGTTGGTTTAGTTCACTTGGTGATTTGTTTGGTGCTAGATATATCAATAGGTGAAATCATGGGGGGCCACCCAGGATTTCACCATGGCCATGACTTCGCAATGGCAATGTGGGATGGCCAGCTGTGACTTATTTTTTGGGGATTACTCGCAATGTCAGCTATATAACAACATAAATATATATATATATACTACGTATGAGATTGCCGTTTGGCTACCCATGTTCCCCGTCATCCCAGGACCCTGAAGTACCTGCAGTACGAGTTCTTCGCCACCTCAGCGCACGCCATCAGCGGCGTGCTGCCCGTGCGCATGGAGTTTCGACCCATGGTGGAGATGACGCCCGAACACCTGGAGGCTCAGGCACGCCGCGCACGCATCATCTGGGTAAGTTAACCACGTGGTGAAGGTTGCAAGTAATAATAAGATTAAATTTATGGTAATAACCATCATTAGCCGTCATTAACCATCATTTGCTGGTAATAAGTTACCAGACTTGATAAGACTTGATAAGTCGTAAGAGTCGGACCACTGGTTTTACAGTATTGATGCTTCTGGCGAGAGGCGCTCCCAAATGGTACTGTAAGTGACTTTTTAAGTGCATGAACCAAAGAACTTGCTGTGACCCCTTTTTTGTTTGCGCGATGGTTTTTAACTAGTGCCCCCAAATAGTAAGCTACTGGGTAAATCGGAGATGGTTTGGTGCTTGCTTCTGCTTGATGTTCACTTTGGGCCTTCACGAGCATACTGCGCACTCCCATGAAATTGGGGCTTGGTGAAATCATGCCAAATCATGTGTTAAGACGCCCGTGTTAGTTTGAGAGTTAAGCATGAATTTTTGATCGTTACCTAAGGTCAGCACTATATCTGAAGCATCAACAAGCATTATATCTTCCTACAAGTATTGCCCCCGTTTCTTTGCTTAGTTGGTTTAGTTGACTAGGCGAATGTTGGGTTATTTTTGCTAGACGTGTGGAACTAGTTATATGGGTGAACATACAGGAACAAACATCACTGTGGGGTCGCCGCATATTTTTGCTATCAGTCATATATTTGTGCATTGAATATTCGATATCTCATGTGTATCTCATATGTCACATATGATTTGACTGTCCATATATATATATATATACATATACATCAAGTAATAGGATTATATATATATATATGTGTATTTTTTTATGTATGTATGCATGCATTGGTGTATTTGGATGTAGATATAATCATACATGGTATATTTTGACAAATATACCGCTACACATAATGTAGCTACAATTAGCTAGCTGTATGTTATATATATATATTTATTCCACATATATATATATATTCCATATGGAAATTCATATTTACATACCATACTCTCTGTATTATACACACACACATATATATATATATTCACATATATATTTATATATATACAGAGGTTCCAGTATTGCATTTGTGTATCAACCATATTTTGTATATGTATATTCAATATATACATATATATATATATCACTTTACATATATATATATAGTTATAACACTATACATATCAACCATATGCCCAGGCATCCCATCCCAGGTGGAGATGGCTCTGCAGGAGGCGGACGAGGCCAACGATGGCAGCGCTTCGCCCGCGGTGGTCACGGACTTCTCGGCGCGGCTCATCGAGCGCCCTGGACGACGGCGCGGTCAATGACTGGGTTCACCAACAAAAGGGTGATATCCATTTATAGTGGGTAAATAGTGATTTATAGGTGCTATAGATAGTGATTTATAGTGATTTATAGAGATTTATAGTGATTTATAGTGATTTATAGTGATTTATGGGTGGTATATAGTGATTTGTAGTGATTTATAGGTGGTATATAGGGGGTATATTTTAGGTACTATTGGTACTTGTTTATAGTGATATATATATATATATCATATTTATATCCATTTATAGTGGTACTTTATAGTGAGTAATAAATAGTGATTTATAGGTGGTATAAATAGTGATTTTTAGTGATTTATAACGATTTATAGTGTTATATATATGGTATACATATGATACTCGTACATGTATATATATATATATATTCAATATGGATCAATATGGTATAAATATGGTATAGTTAGTAATTACAGTGATACCACCTATTGTGGTTAAATATCACCATTAGTGATTATTAGTGATATGTTGGTTTAAATATCAGCAACTATAATGAGTAAAGGTGATTTAGTGAGTAATGATAGTGGTGATTTTTAATGGAAGGGTCAACAACTGGTTGACCCCATATAGGTTAATGGATAATAGTTAGGGTTTATAATGGTGTAGTGATGTATAGTAGGGATTTATACGTGAACTTCATCAATGATATATATATATATATACACAGCTACATTATAGAAAATAAGAGGTATTATACCCTAATTGCCGTTTATATAGGTTTAACACAGAATGGGGACATGTATGGAGTAATGGTATATTAATGTGATATTCATGAATTAAAGCGATGGTGGATAATGTGGGATAGATGGACCACAAAAATAGTGGTTAGTGGTTTAAACATGAAAAGATGGTGATTTATAGTTGAACAATAGGCGAGAGAGAGAGAGAGAGGGAGAGGAGAGAGGGAGAGAGAGAGAGAGAGAGAGAAAGAGAGAGAGAGAGAGGGGGGGAGAGGGGCAGAGGGGGAGGGAGAGAGAGTTGAACAATAGTTGTTTTGCCAGGAGTCAAGCAAAACGTGCTGCCCTTTCAATCCGTGCGCTCTTTAAGCAATTGGCACTCGTGGGCCATTTGCTGTGCATTTGATTTGGATGGTGTGCCTTTCTGGCGTCAACTCGGAGTGATCTTGAGCAAAGACTTAGCCAGGACATGTGTGAAATCAGCGATTTGCGCAGGCTGGTAGCGCATGAAATGCGTACCTCAAGGGTAAACTTTGACATGAGCATCAGCCTCGACGCAGGACTACGCGGTTCTCAGGATTGGACAAAAATAGAAGAGCATGATTCTTCTTTTTCATGATTATGTTGGTATATTACTGTGAGAGGTTGATTTGGACTTGGCGGTGTTTTTGTTTGGTGTATTGGAATTCGATGGGATTTTTTGGGGAATAGAATAGTAGGTTTTTGGGAGGACTCATTTGGGATGATTGAATTTTCCCAAAGAAGTCTTTGAGGAAGATAAGAAAATTTGGTTTGTTTGTTAAACCGGGCTACAATCTCAATACATCTCAATACTAGTCCATAGGTGATTTTTGTCGCAACTGCGCCTAGTTCAACTCAGGCGATGGAACTTCCAGGATAATTATTGTGTTAAGATATTCCATGTTTGGAACAATTGAAACTTTCAACCCACCAATCGGTTTTATGCGTTCTATAATTTCGTTTTGCTGGATTATAGCAACCATTAGTTGGTGCTAAGTCATCGAACTTGGAAAGTTCGAATAGTTGTTGAAGTCCCTGGTTTCGTTAGACTGCAATTATGTTCCTTGACTGGTTTTTGTTTGGAACATTTTTCCATATATTGGGAATGTCATCATCCCAACTGACGAACTTATGTTTTTCAGGGGGCTAGGGCTCAACCATCAACCAGTAGGGCTCAACCATCAACCAGTTTAGTTTTTGTTGGTCCAATTTTTTTGGTGTTTGAATCAACCATTCTTAATCATAATGAACCATTATCAACCATTATTAACCATGTTTACATCATCATCAATCATCAATTAACCAATCTTTTGGCTGGTGTCTGTAAATATTTTTTTGCTGGTGAAATCACCGAAATCACCAGATGCATCCCAGCGTTTGTTTCGCCTGTTTCGCCTGTTTCCCCCTTTTTCACGTTGATGTTATTTGATGTTTCAACTGGAGGACCAACAGATCCCATTGTTTTTTTTTGCTATGTCAGATACCTATATCAACCTACCGATTTCAGATCAGACTTTCAAAAGAATTCAAAGAAGTCATCCCAATCTCAGTTCATGTTTTTTTTTGTGAAGCGTAGGTTGCTGTGCCCGCCCACCGGCCTTTCGGATGAACTCACCGGACACGGCGGCCCAGGAAGTTGGCCAAGGATAACAAGAACAAACCCGGCGAAGGCCAGCAATCCATGGATTAGCACCACTCCCCCACCAAAAACCCCAAAAAAAAGGATGGATAAGTCTGAAGCTGTGGAACGAGTGACGCATTTATTAAATTTTATAGATCAGTGTTTGAATCTTTCTTGGGGGTTACGAACTTTCACAATTAATGTCAATTACTGTCGTATATAATTCATGGTAATTCATGGAAGGTAGACCACTTGACAAAACCGGTCGCCATAAGCAGGTCGCCGGTCGCCGGTCGCCATGCCTACTGCTGCAGGTTTAGACTCCGCTGCCGGCGAGTCGCCCGCGGTGCCGGTGGATCCCTTGTGCCCTGGCGCTTTGCTGGGGGTTTCCATGAAGTACCCAATAGCTGGATGGTTTGTAAGGGAAAATCCCCATATATAGTTCAATATGGATTCATCCTTTGAATCTACATGAACTAGATTTTTCTTTGTATATTAAATTTACATCTATAAGTTGATGAACAGAACTCCATTTTCATTAGGGTTTTGGATGGGTTATAAACCAGTAGATAAAGCAACTTATAACTGGGGGTAGCACCACACATATCCGGTGGTTAGGAGCCGTTCGGAGCTATGGGTGTTCGCCATTGATCACTGGGATTCGATGGAAAATCACGTTGTTGAGCGAACCCAAGATGGAGTTCCCGCCACTTGTGAAACGTGATGGCGCAACAAATCATTGGATGTTTTCTAGCCCAACATGAGGAAACACAGATTTTCTGGAGAGGGTGATGAAGAGAGGAGTGAGAGAACATGGGAATGTCATATGTTCAAGAACAGCAGGTGATGTTCTTCAAAAATCACTGTGGTGATTATCTTGTATGATTTGCCAAACGCATACGGTATTCAATGGTATTCATCAACAACAATCTGGCTTATTTGAATGTTTGAGCCCCCCTCAACAAAAACCTTTATAATAAGAATATATATATATATGTATATGTATATATATATATATTCAAGGAATTGGGGATATAATCAGACAGACGCCCCAAGTGGGTATGAAAGATGCACCTGATAAAACTGTCCATCATGGGGGCCTCCTGCAGCAAAAATTCTTTGATTCGATGGTCCGGTTTTCTGCGTTAAAAAGCGCTCACATGGGAGTCCTGGGAGCTGTTGAAGCCATTTCCCATGTTTCTAGGGTTATGGCCAGTGCCGGAATTATAGAACGGAAGTTGAGGAGGACGAAGGTACGGTTATTTACCGTACCCTGTTGTTCTATAATTCTGTTTTCCTCGGAAGGTATGAAAAAAAAATGTATCTGATCTTCCTCCTAATTTTTTTCGTCGTTCTATAATTCTTGTCGGAGCGCTGCTGTTCTATAATTCTGTTTTCCCCCATTTTTCTCACATTTCCCATTTTCGTTCTATAATTAATTTTCCCCGGGCCCCGTTCTATAATTAATTTTTCCGTCGAACGGAAAAATTAATTATAGAACGGAAAAATTAATTATAGAATTATAGAACCTCTTCCGGGGTCCCAGAAATCCTATAAAATCACCATGAAATCTAAGAGAATCACCGTGAAATCCCATAAAATTACCATGAAATCCCATAGAATCACCATGAAATCTTATAAAATCACCATGAAATCTAAGAAAATCACCTGGTAAATGTGGGAAAATGGGGGAAAACAGAATTATAGAACGGAAGTTGAGGAGTACGAAGGTACGGTTATTTACCGTACCCTGTTGTTCTATAATTCTGTTTTCCTCGGAAGGTAGAAAAAAACGTATCTGAATTTACTCCTAACTTTTTTCGTCGTTCTATAATTCTTGTCGGAGCGCTGTTGTTCTATAATTCTGTTTTCCCCCATTTTCCCCACATTTCCCATTATCCTCATGTTATCCTCATTTTATCCTCGTTATCTCATCAAATCCTCATTTTATCATGGCCCCTACCTTGGGTAATTATTCCAGGGGGGCATGTCACATCAGGAATAATTGATTTGGAATAAATAGTTTTAGGGCCTATTTTTAATTATTCTGCTAAGGGGGTCTATTCTATGCCAGATCTTGTATGGAATAATTTGTGTCAACATACCTCAGAATAATTAGCTATTGATGGGCATATAAACTCAGATGATAAGTTATGATAGATTTTGAACCATCACTTGAAAAATAGATGACAATATATGACAATAGATGAACGCTGATGACATGTGCATACATGTGCTGTTATGATCTGTTATGTGCTGTTTCATCGCCCGTGATAGAGTGCCAGAAAGAATGTCAGAAGATATCAGAAGATATGCCAGATAGAATGTCAGAAGATATGCCAGATATGCCAGATAGAGTGCCAGAAAGAATGTCAGAAGATATCAGAAGATATGCCAGATAGAATGTCAGAAGATATGCCAGATAGAATGTCAGAAGATATGCCAGATAGAGTGCCAGAAAGAATGTCAGAAGATATCAGAAGATATGCCAGATAGAATGTCAGAAGATATGCCAGATAGAATGTCAGAAGATATGCCAGATAGAGTGCCAGAAAGAATGTCAGAAGATATCAGAAGATATGCCAGATAGAATGTCAGACGATATGCCAGATAGAATGTCAGAAGATGTCAGAAGATATGCCAGATAGAAAAGCACAGGGGTCCCAAGGAAATTATTTATCTTGACTCATGTGTCATATTTATTCCACAGGTCACCCACAAATGTCAAAACACCCAGGAATAATTGGGCATCACCAGGAAACACCCAGGGATTCTTCAAACCATGCATTGGGTCACCAATGTTCACTCAGGGGCCCATTGGTCTTTGGCTAAGTTACCATAAGTTACCCATATGTCTTCCACAGGTCACCCACATATGTCAAACCACCCAGGGAAAATTGGGCATCACCAGGAAACACCTAGGAATTCTTCAAACCATGCATTGGGTCACCAATGTTCATTCAGTGGGCCCATTGGTCTTTGGCTAAAGTACCCATATTTTAACCACAGGTCACCCACATATGTCGGAATAATTAGGCATCACCAGGAAAATCCAGAAAAAACCCAGGGATTCTTCAAACCATTCATTGGGTCACCAATGTTCACTCAGTGGGATTCAGTGGGTCCATTGGTCTTTGGCTAAGTTACCATAAGTTACCCATATGTCTTCCACAGGGCACCCACATATGTCAAACCACCCAAGGGAAATTGGGCATCACCAGGAAACGCCTAGGAATTCTTCAAACCATGCATTGGGTCACCAATGTTCATTCAGTGGGCCCATTGGTCTTTGGCTAAAGTACCCATATTTTAACCACAGGTCACCCGCATATGTCAGAACACCCAGGAATAATTAGGCATCACCAGGAAAATCCAGAAAAAACCCAGGGATTCTTCAAACCATTCATTGGGTCACCAATGTTCACTCAGTGGGTCCATTGGTCTTTGGCTAAGTTACCATAAGTTACCCATATGTCTTCCGCTAAAGCAAGGGAAGAAGAAGCGAGGAACATTCTGGCCCGTGCCAACAAAAATCAAGCCGACGACGGTCCAAGCACGAGAAAAGCCGCCATACGGGCTTATAGATACCTGCACATCATGGCGACACAGCATGGAGCGCTGATTCAACAAGCCTACGTAGCAGCCAAAACTCATGCGGCACGTAGTAAGGGACCCATTGATCCCAAGGACACTGCAGGATACTATCCTCTCCCAGATGAGCTTCCGACAGTACCCCCAGAGCTCACCTCTGGACTGTTACACTGTCTCTCCACTCTAAACCACCCAGGGGAAATTGGGCATCACCAGGAAACACCTAGGAATTCTTCACAGGTTGAGATAGGTTGAGCATTGCCGGAGCACATCTTTGAAACCAGGAACGAGCAAAACTTTCAGGATCCCAATAAACTTTTGAGCTTAATTTGAAAAGGTTTTCTGACACTAGGTTTCTAGTGGTTTGTGGCAATACAACCTCAATCAACACATGCCAATATACCAAATTTGATTACAACTTGTATTTTTATATGAATGGAGAGGGGGGGTTGCCCTAAATTTACGCTAATTATTCCCGATGTCGTGTGACATACTGGAATGTTTTCCCAGAACATGTGCAATGGGGCTGGAATAATATCCAATTATTCCAAGGTATGCTGGCATGGGGGGGGGCTATGGCAGGGATCATATTTTATCATCATTTTATCTTCATTTCCTTATCAAATCCTCATTAAATCCTCATTAAATCTCCATTTTATCCTCATTTCCTCATCAAATCCCCATTAAATCCTCATTTTATCCGCGTTTTATTATCATTTCCTCATCAAATCCTCATTTTATCTTCATTTTATCTTCATTTTATCCTCATTTTAAATCCTGATTAAATCCTCATTTTATGTTCATTTTATCTTTATTTTATCATCATTTCCTCATCAAATCCTCATTTTATCCTCATTTTATCTTCATTTTATCCTCATTTTATCCTCATTTTATCCTCATTTTATCATCGTTTCCTCATCAAATCTTCATTTTATCTGCATTTTATCTTCATTTCCTCATCAAATCCTCATTAAATCCTCATTAAATCTTCATTTTGTAGATTGTATATGTACAAATATGCAGTAAATATCATGTCAGTGCCAGAAATTATAGAACGGAGCCAGGAGGACAAAAGTACGGTAAAATACCGTACCTTTGTCCTCCTCCCCGTTCTATAATTAAATTTCCCGACTCCGCTCCGAATCGGAACCCGGAGGAGGACAAAGGTACGGTATTTTACCGTACTTTTGTCCTCCTGGCTCCGTTCTATAATTCTGGCACTGACTGTAGATCGTCATTCCCGACTGTTTCTGATGTCACCCCAGTGAGGATTTTTGTTTTTGTGTGTTTGTCATTTACAATATTTACATATGTTCGGCTATATTCAGCTATCTAAAACACATACTTGTTTCACGAGGTCTATATTATACACTTCGGTAGTCAACACGGGCATGGAGAATCACGTAAATCATTTGTTTAAGTGGATATTGCAATGGGATGCAATGGGGAGTTTTTAGCACGCCGGGTCAGATTTTTCTTATTGAACACGTTGCAAAGTTCTAGCTTGTTTTTTAGTTGAGCATATTTAAACCAACAATTTTCCATTTTTCCCAATTTTTGACAGTAATTTGCCAGTGTTTCCCAATTTTATTTTCCCATTTTTCCCCTCGAACCCTGCGATTGTGTGCCATCAGCGAGGTCGTTTTCCTCGCTGCTGTCGCAGGGCTTTGACGAAGGTCCGGCACGGCAAGCCTTGAGGAAGTTTAAGAACAACACTCAGGCGCGCCGCCAGGTACTTAGATGGGCCATGGGATTACCGATCCCTGGTTAGTAACTGGGGATTTGTTACCCCCTATATCCCAATGAAATAATCCATTTACTAACTAGTTAACTAACTCCATGGCCCATCTAAGTAGTGCTCTCATACTCCGGATTATGGGATTTTAATGGGATGTGAATGGACTCTTACTGGAAAACCTGTTATAGGTCAAGTGAATTTGGCTATGGATTTCTATAAACAGTACATCACATCTCCAATATAAATATAATAATATAATAATGATAATTATAATATATATATATATAATTGAACTGATTATAGTACTAGCGTCATTGGATACAACAGGAAGTAATTATTGGGATGTATTTGCGATATAGAATGGGATGCGATATATGATGGGGTATTGGGATTAATTATATGAGGATAATTAATGCGATATAATGGGTTTGCAATGGGAAATGCACCATAAGAGGGGAATCAATAGCTTATTTGTTTGACAGGGTCCTTAAGCCAAATTTGGTCTATATACTCTCTGGTAACTTGTTGCTATGGAGAATCACCATGCTTCAAAGGAAAATCATCTATAATGGTCCATTTCCATCCATTTCCCATAGCTACTGTATGTTAGTGTACTATTATAGGGTGACTATAGGTAGTATCACCACAAACCCAACTTAGACAAACTTGAATAAGGATGAGTAAGGGAACTGAGACAATATCAATGCGCACTGACACTCCAATGCAGCGGTGTACATTTCAAGAGGGAGATTTGGTGAACAAAAACTGGGAAAATCCCAGTTGCTTCGTGAGTAAGAATCAAAAACTATAATGGAGATACAACTAAATACACTGGGGCCCCACAATGACTGACTAAGTTTCGATGAATATATATATATATAGTCACTGTTTTGTTTTGATCCTTGTTGATTCCTTCTTGGACGTGAATCGTTTAAAAGTCAACGGATGCATTTGGCCAAGTGACATATTTTGTGGGGAGCCATGTACCTTCGTATGGAACAGGTACACTGTAGAAGCCTTCAAGAATCGATATGGGGATTTCTAGTTTCATGTATGTTGGCTAAATTAGCTGATAACTAATTTAGGTAAACTATTGGGTTTATGGTTGAATTATTTCCAACTAAAAGAGTTTTTTTTCTCCAGTTGGAAGCTAACTTTTAACTGGGAAGCACCACTTTGTAGCAATGTGGACGCCAAGATTTTCATGGCTTCTGCATCTCATCCACCGATGTTTGATCCAGAAGAATCGGTGTTGTTTTTTTTTTGGGAGGGGAGATTTCCCTCTGGCGAATGAATGAATGGAAGTTTTAATGGGAAAACCATGGGAAACCATAGGAAAACCATAGGAACATGGAGGTTTACCCGGCCTGGTAAACAAACAAAAAGCTATTGAAAATTGCTATTTATAGTTGATTTACCCAGCTAGAAAATGGTGGATCTTTCCATAGTTACTGTATGTGAACGTTTACCAGAGGGTACTGGTAGGATGGACATTCCAACATTTGTAGATTATCTTCCCACATGGCAATGTTTCATTAGCGGATAGTATCCTAGTATAGTTTATTGGGATGGTTTATGCCATTGGACCTGCCGAATCATTTCACATTGCAGAAGTGATCCATCAGAAAAACCCCGGTGATAGTCCAAAAAGGGGGGCCACACTGGATTTACCACATTAATACCCCATCAGCTATCACTCTGGATGAATTATAAAGACCTCACTGTGGCATCACTGGAATTACGACATGAATGTATAGGGGAATCATCTCCAAATGGCAATATGATAACAGCATACAAAAGCTATTTTCATGATAGCGAATGGTTACAATTTAGCGAGGGAATCATTGCAGACACCCATCTGAAAATCATGGTTTCTCGGTTGTGTTTAATTTGAACAGGGGAAGTAATACCCCAGTGGCATTGTAGACACTTCGTTATTCAAATGGAGGCACCATCCGGTTAATATCCCATTAATATCCCATGATTATCACCATTAAACCATTTAAAACCACATGACGCCATTTAAAACTACATAAAACCAAATTAAACTACACTAATCCAAATTAAACCACATTAAACCCTTTAAAACCACATGAAACCATGGAAAGGTTTGAACCATCCAACATTCCCATGAAACAGGCGGCCTTAGACTTCCTCATTGGCGGAGGTGGTGAAGAGGAGCAGGAGGTGCGACCGAAACCTGGGAATGATGGGAATTGGATTGGAGAAGCCATAGGGAAATCATCCCCATGGCCGCAAGGTTCAGGTGAGTGAAATATGATTATATATTTACTCAGAACCATCAGATCAGAACCATAAAATACATGGGTTTGAACCATGAGACCTGGTGATTTAATGAAGAAACAATAAGAAACATCTTGATCTAGCAAAGAAACACGGAGAAAACATAACGGGCTGTGATTTTTAACTATGAACAAAAGTGATTTAATCATCAATCATGGTGACCTGAGTGTCAGCAATTGTGGTTTAGCTACCAAATTTGCTCATTGAAGCACCACAATAGGGATGAAACACGGACCTGGGTCCTTTAGTTTTGTCGCCAACAATGGAGGTATAAACATGACTTAGGTTTTCTGATATGCATATTCATATACTCTATATATAATTATATGCATGTACATATATGCGGACACGGGGGCCCTCATTATTACAAGTTTGTTAAAACCAATCAAACTAGTTCAAACCATCGATACCTACCATAAACGATCGCACGCATATATATATATATATATATTTAAACCAACTTACCTACCTTGGGGGGCCCTGGTTGGAGATCGTTTTCCGGATAAAGATGAGGAATCTCTATTGCCATGACACTAAGCATTGAAACAATGGGGTTCACAAAGAAATGTGTGGGTTTGAAAAGCATTAATTAGCAGGATTTTACCTAATAATAATAATGATTTCCCAGGAAAAGATGTGCTGAACATGCGAGAAAGGGGCTTCAACAAGACGTAAATAAACTTGTTTTAGATTAGACACATGTGTGGACGGGTCCATGCTTCGTCGTTTCCAGTGGGGATGGTAAATCCAGACACTTTCCAGTGGAAAATAGTGGAAGGTATTCGTCACCGGTGTTTTTACGGAATCCTTTTTGGATCTAAATGCTAAACCAGAGAAGGTTCTTCAACAGCTAAACCGGCTAAACCACAGCCCAGTCATACTCCCTCAAAAAGTACGACTGGATTTTCTTTTGGATATGGTGCTGTTTAAAAGAACATATGAAGCACGATGTATTGGATTGGTTTAGGGGGAACATTTGCTGTAAGATCCTATATTTCATTCTCACAAAAACTAGTCTAAAAACCCGCTATGTGAATATATATATATATATCCTATTACTTTTATCTCCATTCATATCCCACTATGTAATATCTCTATGAAACAAATTAAATCATAATTTACCTATTGGTTGCAAAAACCCATAGTTTCCACTTCCAACTGGCACACTTCACCCTGCAAAAGCTGCACCTGCATTCATGTGGCAAGCCCAATAATCATCAACAAGAACATACATTGGATGAATACATTAGCTCGCATGGGTTAGATGAACGGGTTATACCCCAGTTATTTAATTTAACAATCCGAACAGTAGATATAATTCCAGTTGGATCATATTACTGCGGGTTTAACTCCAGATATAATCCTAACTGATGAATGGGTCATTGAATTCCAGTTGGGTAATTAAAATCATTTAAAATCCATACCATAGATATAATTCCAGTACTTGGATTTCCTACTGTTGATGGTTGCGAAACCCTGCACCACCTGGGATTGTTGAAACCCTACAAATAATGGGATGTTTACCACTTATCAACTGGTGCAGAATTTCTTCCATCCACAGTATTATTAATCATTCCAAAATCCAAAACCTCCATTCCAGTAGATATATTCCAAAATCCGTTCGTTCCAGTAGATATACCCTCTCGTAAACTAACATAACTATGGAAAGATCCACCATTTTCAATGGGTAAATAGGGTAAATCCACTATTTCTATGGCCATGTTCAATAGCTTTTTGTTAAATTACCAGAGGGTAAACCATACAAAACCATATGAAACTGCCACTAAAAAGCCTCTATTCTCCCATGGATTGATAATGCAATATCCCATGAATATTCCCATTGATATGCCATTATCATCGCTATTAAACCATATTAAACCATATTAGTGGGATGATCATGGGATATTTTCATGGGATACAATATCAATCCCATTGATATCGCTAGTACAAAAATTATCATCGCTATTATCCCATATTAAACCATGTTCTTTTTTGTTTGGTGATTGGGATGACCGGCACAATCCGGCACCCTTGGCGTTCAGGAGGTGCGCATGCCCACCACGGTGCCGCGGGTCCAGCGGTTGAAGGAACGGCGACGGGCGCAGGCGCAGCAACGACGCAAGGAGGAAGCGACGTGGCAAGTGACAGGTGGATGGAGGACCCATCTAACTGTGGCAGGTGGATGGTTAATGGGTTTAATGGGTTTACTATGGTTTAATATGGATGTTAACAGAAAAATGATGGGATAATACTGGGATATTGTTGGGTATACCCTCTGGTAAACATACAAAAAGCATCAAAAAGCTATTGAATATTGCCATTTGTAGCTGATTTACCTATTGAAAATTGTAATTTTCGACTGTTATGTTAGTCTACCAGAGGGTAATAGTGGTAAAACTTGGTTGAATATAGTGGTTAATAATGGTTAATAGTGGAAATTGGTTAATCTAACCACTATTAACCATTGTTAACCAACCACTAATCATTAAATAATTCTTACAGTAATAGTAATAGTGGTTAATAGTGGTTAATGATGGTTAACAAGTGGTATATAATCAATGAGAATTTCAGGATCCTAAAATGGAGGTACGTTAGTACCATATTTTTGGCCATATTTTGTGGAGATATTCCCTGAAATTTAGGCCTAAAAATAGGCCTTATATATGGTAGGAACCTCGGAACCTCCAATTTAGGTTCCTGAAATGGCCATTAATCTGTAAAGGGTTTGTTATGGTTGGTTCTGGTTTATGAAGGCATCTTACCTAACTATAGCTGTATAGATCTATATTATGTTTTGATCAAGTGTTTTAGTATGGTTTGTTGTGGTATGGAAAGGGGTTCTTTTCCCTATATAGTTTGACACCCATTTTGATACTTATATGGGCCATGGAGTTAGTTATATAACTAGTTAGTAAATTGATTATATTTGGGATATAGCCTATATAGGGGGTTATATCCCCAGTTACTAACCAGTTAGTTAATCCCATGGCCCATCTAAGTAGATTGTTGTTGGATATTGCGGTGCCCAATTTTTGGACAACCCCCCCTCCAAGAAAACGCAGTATCATGGAGATATCATCAATCATGGGGGACAACCTGGGGGGGTACCATCCTCAAATGTGGCACGGGGGAAATCCGACATAAATGAAGGCTTTAGTGGGAAAATGATATAATATATATATAATATAATAAATATAATATTTATATCTATATATGGGTGATTTTCTTTTGCCATGTTTGATTACCGGAGGGCATGATCAATGACGATGATGCCATCCATTTGTTTTGAAAAGTGATTAGTCTCAAAACAAAACCCAGGTGACAGGTGTCTTGTATATATTTGATTGATTCCTAAATTGTCGATGTATTGGATATCATAGTTATGAAAATATATACTAATGTATTGGATCCAATAATCTCTTCCAATTTTTGTTGCAATCTATTCATGACAAACGGTGGTCCAGCCATGGGGTGGTTAAAAATAAAATGATCAGGGGATGGGATTGATTGCTGTACGGCTTGCTACCCATCTAAAGATATAGCAATAAATAGCGGTTGATTATGGTTAACAAGTTGAAGGCTTTGACTATATTCAGGAGATTTATATAGATTTATAGTACTGGAGGCGGCAGGAGTAGATAAATTATCCCAGGATTGGCGAGTGAAAGGTAGCAATGTAACGACAGTTTATAGTTTTTCAATACGAGGTGGGGGGCGGAGCCTCGGAGATTAAGTTGGTTATTACTATTATTACCCTTTGGTTATGACTAACAGTTTGCCATGGAAAATCACCATGTTTAATAGGTAACCCTCTATAAATGGGTCATTTTCCATAGCTATGTTAAATAACCAGAGGGTTTATATATATATAATTATATATCATTAGCATAGTATAATGTGTGTGTAGCATAGTTACACAATGATACTCTAAAACGTTGATCTATGACATCGAGGCCTACTGTGAGGTTTCACACATTAACGTAAAACATATGGCTTCGCTTTATTGGCCCAACAAGTGCTGGACATGATATGCGTAGAGTTGACCGTAGAGTTGACCCGGGTCACATAAATGATGATAATGATGATTGTTTAATTGGGGTAGCATTGTTTATACCCTCTGGTAAACTAACATAACTATGGAAAATCACCATTTCTAATGGGAAAACTCACTATAAATGACAATTTTCAATAGCTATGTTAAGTTACCAGAGGGTAGTCATTTGTCATAATTTTGGGGAACAGTTGAACAGTATCAACAGTTCCTGTAGGTTTAGCAGCCCAGGCTTCGCAATTTGAGTCGTTTTTTTATCAAACCCCCCAAACGGCTGCTGTAATTCCATGTAATTCCTACGCTTGTTTTGTATGAACTGATTCATGAACTGATTCATAAAATGCAAAAAATATATCTTCTCAGTATCACCAGTGGAGTTGTTGCCGTAACTGTGGCGGTTTACCAGCTGCTGGTGTTTTCCTCAGCTGTTTGAGTTGTTTTTTTTTGCCACCAAATAAAGACTAGAGGACAATTTTTCGCCGGAAAATTGTTGGGCTGTTAGTTTGAATGCGGTTGTTTTCCTTTTTCCCTCCATCCGACTCCATCCTAGATTCTAGATGGAACAATGATGCAATTTGGCTAGTTGGTTCAAGGGATTTTTTTTACCACCAACCAGGTTATAGGTTCATTAAGAGGATGATCCAGTTTTACTGAACCTTTGGTATACCTAGACCCATGAAGAGGTAAAAGTCCCAAAATTATGGGTATACTACCCCATGTTTCTAGGTACTTGAAGGGGTCTGGATATAATAAGTATACGTATTATATAATGATGATAACGATAATAACAAACACGCATATAATATATGTATGTGTATGTTAGTTATTCAAGATCCAATCAAGTCTTGATTATATCTCCACGTTTGTCAGTCAAATCGCATGAAATGTTTGGTTGTGTACCTCAACTATTGAAACTATTGGCAAAAGTTGTGTTTCACGCTCAAATATTGGCTGATTTTTTCCACCTCATTACAACTCCCCATTAGATCATTAGATATTCCCATTGTCGTTCCCATTACATTCCCAGCACTATACTCCTAAACCACACATTTTGCCATTGCAGTTATCCGTATTAACCATCATATATCAAACTATATTTTCATATGTATCCCATTGTCGGCAACTTTTCCATTGAACCCTCCATTGAGTTTGGCGATTTTCCAGCCTTGTTCGGAGATAAATCCATTAATATCCCATGATTATCTTGTTATTATCCCATTATTATCCGTATCAAACCATACAAAACCATCTTAAATCAAATTTACCAAAGGTCATCTACCATGAAATCGCTCAAATCCGCTTCCCCTTCCGCTTCACGTGCTTCATGCTGAGGAGCGGCGCCGCTCCAACAGCGATGCCACGCCTGCGCCGGCGTCGCCCAAGGAGGTACGCAGAAAAGCTGGGAACTGGGAGGTTTCAGCAGTTTTTTCTTGGTAAAAATCCACATTTTGATGGGTAGAATCCATGATTTTCTGGGTAAAAATGAGCATTTGCATGAGTAAATTAACGTTTTTGTTGATCAAACCGATCAACCCCATGTTTTTTTTCACCTATTGCAATTTCTGATTGCTGTAAATTGCGTTTGTTATCTGTAAAATCTAATTTTCTGCTAGTTAAACCTTCTGAACTAGCCACGGCCCATCTAAGTAGTAGGTTTGTTACTTACATGTTTTGTGGTGATCAATCCGCATACGACCTGCATATGATCTGCAGTTGCGTAGCTCACCTGTGGCTCACCTGTGGAACTCCATGCCAATCCAAATATTCCGATTTTTTTCAACCATCTAATGGCTGCCAGAAATTCCCATGGTTGAAGGTTGCTTTCTCCGTGGAAATAAGCATTATATAAACATTAGACTAATTAGATGTCGTTAAATGATGTTAAATGTGATTTCACCAGGTTCCAGGTTTTTTCTTGGTTGCGGGTTTTCTTGGTAGGAGATCTCATCACCCCAGGCCGCAACTCCCCAGGCCGTCGAGAGCAAACCGGGCAAAGCTCCAGAGCCGATGGCAGATTTGCTGGATTTCAACCACCAGGTTCCATGCTGTATTATTTTTTTGTTGGTGCTATATGGTGTTATATGGCTTTACTGTACATATATGTTTTATATAATGTTATTTGTTGTTTTAGTATGTTTATTTGGTGTTATATGGTGTGTATAATATGGCTTTACAATGTTTTACATTGTTTTACTATATGTGTCATTGGTATATGTTAGGGGGTTGAATCGATTAAAAACCACCCATCCCCGTTCTTCGATCCTGGGGATGCGCCCGTGGTATAAGCACCAGGCGGCTGAAAACCAGCCAGGCTGGTGGATTAGAAAGCAATGAATGGCACTTGCATGTTTGTATGGTTAATGATGGTTAATGATGGTTAATGATGGTTAATGATAGTTAATGATGGTTAATGATGGTTAATGATGGCTAATGATGGCTAATGATGGTTAATGATGGTTAATGATGGTTAATGATGGTTAGTGATGGTTAATGATGGTTGATGATGGTTAATGATTATTAATAATCACTGGTTGGTGGTGACTGGAACATGGCTTTTAATTTTCCATCTCTTGGGAATAATAACCCAACTGGCTAATATTTTTCAGAGGCTGAAACCACCAACCAGTGTTCTTTTGGTATCAAAAAGAAAAGTCAAACATGAAAATGATGCGTTAAGTGTATTTGGCTGGTGGTTTCGCTTAGGGTCATTTTCGACCCTAGGACCAAGGATCATCATCACAAATGACAACTGTGTTTATGGCTTCAAATCCCCGACCAGATATGGTAGAAAACTATTGGCTTTGTTTTTTTTCTACTACCATCCAGTAATTTACTATAGCTATGAACTGCTATGATTAGCTATGGGAAATCATCATGTTTAATAGGTCAATCCTCTTTTATCCTCATAATTCATCTATAAATGGATCATTTTCCATAGCTGTGTTAGATTGCCAGATAGTATTTTTCGCGGGATGGGCAATCACTTACCCCACCTCAAAGCTATTGTTTTTCTCTGCCGGACCAACTGGTGAAGAGGAGCAAAAGCCTGCCGCTCCCAGCAGTGGCGACATGTTGGCGTCTTGGTGGAAATGGACCCATATCAATCCTCAATTTTTGACATGTTAAATCCCTACTTTGCTAGTCTAAATGACTAAATCCAGAGTTTTTGTACCCTCTGGTAATTTAACATAGCTATGGAAAATCACCATTTTTAATGGGAAAACTCACTATAAATGGCCATTTTCAATAGCTATGTTAGTTTACCCGAGGGATCCAGGTTTTGTTGAGGCCAGGTTTTCAAATCCACCCCGCCTCACCGGCTTTTTTGTCGCTCACCACTCAGGACCTGATGGGCGACACCTCCCCTCCGAAAGCGGCAGCGTCCAGTTCGATCGGACCGGGCGCGGAACTGTTGGACTTGGTGGGGGAGCCACCGCCACCCACAGATTTCTCCAAGCAGATTGAAGCTGGAAGCGGTAGGGGATGGGAGTATATACTGGTTGGTGGTGGCTGGAAATTGGCTTTTATGACTTTCCATATGTTGGAAATGTCATCATCCCAACTGACTAATATTTTTCAGAGGGCAACCAGATATAGTTTGCAGGGTCGTGCCCCCTTATTTATCCCCTAATATCCCCTTATAAGCTAAGTTTGTTTCTTTCACATTTATGGTAGATCTATCGAACTAGTTTGGTCGGGATTGTAAAATCAACAAATTAACTTGGCATGCGGACACGGACCAGACTCTTGCACAAGCTTCGGTATGTCGGTTCTCCCAACATTAGAGTTTGGTGGCCCTCAACTGGCCTCAACTGGCCGTGGTGCGAAGCGATCACAGAGGGAGCGTTTTTATTTTGACACCCGGCCTGGTAAACAAAAAACTCTGGAAAATCACAGGTCAATCCACTATTTCGACTGAGCCATTATCAATAGCAAACTGTGAATGTTTACCAGAGGGTAAATCTTCAAACTGAGTATTTGCATGAAGAGTTCCATCCTTTACACTTGACCCGAGTCGGAATGTTTTTTCAGAAATCTGCCCATACAATGGGTCGACCGCGCACTGGAATGGTAAGTCTTCCCATGATTGAGTCGTTTTCATGCTATTACGGTACGGGTGAAGCAAACCAGCTCTACCATATAATGGGTTATATATACCATTATGCCATATATATTATACCAGGTTATGATATATAATATTTTGGTATTATATGATTATACCATATTTTCTTGGGGGCATGCACATATCCAGCTACATCAGCTATTTACCATGCTTGTTTTGACCCATTTTCACGGCGCGTGTTGGGATGCCCAAAGCGCAATTGCTAATGGAGCCAGGATTCAAACAAAATGTGGGAGTTGCGCATTTAAGTAGAGTGGGTGGATTAAAAGGCTTTAAAAGGCATGGAATCTTGAACTGTGCCTTGGGTCCATATGAATGGTTCAAAATCATAGCATTTGGAAAATGTTGCCATCGGTTCTAAAAGAAGTGCAGTGCTCCATGAGGATCTTTAGAAAATTATATATTTATCCAATGGTTGGCTGCAATGGCTGAAAAATGAGGTTGCTGCAAATGGTCGATTTTCCAGGCTGCATTTCCAGACAGGTTCACCCCTGTGATTTTATCCCGGAGAATAGTTCTGTTTGACACATATATATATAAAATATATATATATATAGCATTTACATATGATAGTAATAATATGCAGGTAATTGATTGCAATTGCACATGACCTTCCAATAGGGATAGGCCGGATAGGCTAGCCTTTTACAAAGAATATAGGACTAGCAGATTGCGCGCACAGCAATGTGTATATACAGCACATGTGCACCCAACAAGGGGATCTGGCGAATCCTGCAAGGTGGTACCCCCCAGTTGCTTAATGGATTTTAACGGTTTATATATATTATTATATAGCATATAATAACCACCATTTATCCATTTATCCATTTATCCACCTAGCTCAAGTATATCTTCTATATATAAATTCAACAGCTTTACTAGTACTATAGTTATAAGCCAAATCAGCTAAGATAAATCAACTATAATTACCAATTTTCACGAGAAGGTACTTCTTTTTCATCAAGATTCACATGCTGAGAGGCTGCACGGTTTGCTAGGATCGTTTCCTGTTCATTTTCATCCCTTTGACCCTTTGACCCCTTGCGCTGGCTGGGTGATATGACGCGCCTGGCTAACGAGCTTGGGTGCTGACCTGCCAAGTCGCCTTTTTTGCTCGCCTTCAGCTTGACTGCTGATCTCCTGCGATGGCGATGGAGAGGGAGAGAAATTATAAATTCTTTTCTGTTGGTTCAGTCCTTTATTTGCATTGGGAAAAACGCACCGCAACTGGCGAATATGGCGTCGTGGAATCTGAGGACACCTTACCACTTCCCGAACAGCCACTTCGGTGCGGTATGCTGTGACTTGAGGGGCGGCCATGTTTCTCTTGATTTAACAGGGGGTGAAGTGACTTGGTATGACTTGTTTCCCAGAATTTACTATATTTACTGCGGAAAGCCCTATATTTGATGGGAAACAAAAAAAGGGTTTCAAGATGTGCCAAACGTAAATTGTCCTGAGCAAAACCAAACTATTGACTAGTGACTGGTGGGTTAATTAAGGTGTTGATGTCACAAGGTAAGATAAATGGTCCATCCAGACACAGCATAAGGTATCCTAACGTTTGCCGCTTAGGCAACTCACTTGCCATTCTGGAGGAATACATGGGACAGCATCCCCCCGCAAGATGCTGAAGAGTGATGGGACATAGATGATCCAAACCTCATTTCCAAGTTTAAAACCCGTTCTATCTATATGTGTGTTGGTTTACAAACCCAAAACATGCTGTAGTTTCAAGTACCATAGTTACCATAGAATTATTGGATTTTTATGGATTTATATCAATTATAAACCAGCTCAGTTATGGGGGAGGCCCCCTTTTTGAGGGCTCCAATGGTGGGATTTCTTATGCATACCGCATACCCGGCATGGATGGCCATGATTTGGGGATCAAATTTAACCATCCAGCATGGCTCAGCATGGCCTACCCGGGCCTACCCTTCTGGAATCAAATCTGGCAATAGAAAGTCCAGAGCCATAGTCTAAGACGAGTATATGCCCATGATTTCCCATTCAAGAAGTGGGATGTCACATGCACCATGTTTAATGACCAGGGGGCGGCAAGTTTGTCAAATGGATAGCTCCCCGCAAACTGGAAGATACCTTATGAACATATTTTGTGAACTATAGCCGGCCAGTACCTGGCAGAATTCTTTGTAAAAGTTTGTGGATATGGGAGATATTGCCCGGTCAAATATAGTAACCATCACACATATGTAAACATAATTTCATATAATTTTCATTTTTCTATCTTTCTTGAGGATGCTGTAGATAAACTCCTCATGTAAACGGGAACAACTTTGAAATAACCATGTTGTCTCTACTTAAGGGTGATTTTATACAGATACACATATTCAGTACATACATATATATATATATTTATACATGGATACATAGATAGACAGATAGATAGATAGATAGACAGATAGACAGATAGATAGATGCATACATACATTTACAATATACACATACATATAAATAAATAAATGAATAAATAATTGAATATATATATATATACACACGCACACACACAAACATATATTTGGGTTTTCTTTCCTTTCCAAACTCAGGATGAGCCTAGACCTCTCCAAGTGTGAGAAGGGTCCGTTGCCAACGCCTGCGGCGCCTGCGGCCAGCGCGAGTGGTTGGGGCGCCTACGGCTAGGCCGTCGGAATGCCGCTGAACGCGCCGTGGCCGGTGTCCAGAGACCCAACTGCAAAGTTGATGCTAAATTTTGATATGGGTAAGCACTGGAGGTTTGATATGGTCTAAATTTTAATATAGATGATAATAGGATAATAATCATGAATGGGTTTTGAAAATTTTGAGGGGTAATCATGATAACGGACATATCAATGGGTACTTGTATTATGGATATTAACTATAAGTTCCTGACTAAAGGCTAGTCTAGTTTTCAATTAAATACTTAGCCCCTACTTGGAGGTGCAGGTTCAAATATAAGTATATATATATATATATGTAAGAATGTATTGATGTATCTGGCTGTTGGTTTGGAACATTTTTATTTTTCCATATATTGGCAATAATAATCCCAACTGATTTTTTTTTTCAGAGGGGTAGGTATACCAGCAACCAGTGGTCCAAGAATGTGGTGGACGAACAAATCCAGAAAAGACGTAAGCATTGAGAAATATGGACGGCAAAAACCAATGATACCCTCTGGTTATGACTAACATAGCCATGGGAAATGGCCCATAGAAATAGAGGTTTACCTGGTTTACCTATGAAAAAATTGATAAACATGGTGATTTTCCATGGCTATGTTAAATAACCAGATGGTATAATGATATATGATATAGATATATATATATTCTTGGCTATGCGACTTGTCAGTGGTAGGTTATATGGTGTGTTGCTTTGAAGGAACATTTGCTTGTGAATGTCTAGGCAGCGAGGATGGTTGATGGTTGAGTATAGGGGTTTACTTTCAATCATGAGAACATCCGGAAATGCTGGTTGTTGTTGCTTGCTATGGTCCAAACCCTGGTGATTCGGATTGGACTTGGATGACACATGGCTCTGGCCATTGCGCTTCTTGTGAGACAACATGTAGCGATTTCATGGCCGACCGCGAACCCAGTCCGTGATGTTTCAGATATATTTATTTAGTGTAGTTGCTTTAGACATACCATTTGGTAATCAAACATGGCAATGGAAAATCCGCCTTTACAATTGATTTTCTCAGCTAGAAACCTTCATTTTGAATCATTCTGACGGGACCTTCAACTGCCCAGTTTGATTAGGAGGGTACGCATGCATGCTTGTGGGTACAGACCACTTGCTTCATGCGAGCACTCACATCACGGCGGGTCAAACTGAATTGGTTCATAGACTGGACATATCTTGACATGTTGGCTGGTGGTTTCAGATATACTTTCTCATTTTCGCACGAAACCATATGGAACCCCAATTCCATGAGCTTTGGAAGATGATGTTCTGCACTTTGGTATGGCGATAAATATGAGTTCCATGTTAAGAATCGTTGAGTTTTCCATGCGATGCCATTCCTACTTGCGATCATTTGCCTTAATTGACTCGCCAAACCTCCAACCAGCAGTTCGTGCAATGATGGGCCCCGCCCCCATCAAGAAGACACTATGTCTTCACCTGCATGGTTATATTGCAATGTATATTATATTATATATATTATGTCATGTATATATATATACACCTCTCTCTGTGTATATGTAATGTGTATTTACATATATATATATCTGGGTAAATTATAACGACCTCACTACGACCTCACTGGAAATCATGGTTAGTAAGGGGAATCATCCCCAAATGGCCTTAATTCAGGTTAGTGAATTATTATAATTTGCCCAGATATATATATATATGTATATTCTGTGTAAATATGTACATATTTATATATATATATATATATACATTGCCTATATGGATATGTAAATATTTGCGGTACCCATCAATGCAATGGATCGTTTCTGCGGTTTTGTCCGGATCCTCGCCCCGGTACCCACCGCTGTGTTTCACACCTCCGAGTGGGGCGAAGATTGGAAAAGAAAGAGTTGGTGTCTTTAATCTGAGTTGACCATCTGGGTAAATACAACGGATAATTAACCCGTTATATTTCCATATATTCCATTATATTCCCATTGATTATACACCTTTAATCTGAGTTAACCATCTTTAATGGGAATATATGGACAATCAATAAATGGGAATTATATATGGAAATAGAACGGGAAATTAAGGGCAATATATGGAAATTAATGGGAATATAGAGCCAATAATTGGATAATTCATAATAGATGATCATAGATGATCATAGATGATCATAAATGATCATCTGGGTAAATTATCACGACCGAACCCTGCGACCTCACTGGAATCATGGTTAATAAGGGGAATCATCCCTAAATGGCCTTGTTTCATCTTATTTCAGGCTTTTGTTTTTGTTTTTTTTGTAATTTGCCCAGAAATATCCTCATAAATTTTGAACTGTGGTTAAATAACCATTATCTAATAGAGGATATACTTAGATGAAATAATCATTATTTTGAACGATTAAGCATAAATTTGAAGTGGTTAGCGGTTGCGCAAAAAAGAATGTGATTTTCATAGAGGAACGCCAGGAATTCAATGTTTATGGTTGAAATTCCAATGTGTGTTGATCACTCGTTGCGTCCATTCAGACAAAAATAACACAAGTTGGTAGATTGCTTATTTTGAACCCTTCAAATGGGAAGAGAATTCCAACTAACAAGTGTAACATACACACAAATGAAACTTGTATACCCATGTCTACCCGAATTCACCGGTTTAAGGCAATATTCGTTATTTGTTTCCACATTTTTTCGCACTGGATCCAATTGTTTAACCATTATATTAGTTTAACCAGCCTAAAGAAAACAAAAGAACTGCAAGAACAAACATCGAACTTATTTTCGAAGCTGTATGTCACTGCATCCCTGTATCACCCGGTTTTTTTAGATATTTTTTCCCGGAAATTTCCCGTTTTCGAGTATCGTATCACCACATTTTCCGAGGGACGATCGCAGCGGTTCAGCCGTTGCCAGGCTTCGTTCACTTTAAGCCGGGCGAGCGCGTGATCATCCAGGGCAAGGTCAGAAGAGCCAGGCAATGGCACCTCGGAAAAGCTGAAAAGCTGGCGACTCCGGTTTCAATGGATGAACATGGTGGATCTAGCCTCTGGTTATGACATTCACAGTTTGCCATGGTATAGATGGATGAAAATGGCCCATTTATAGATGGTTTACCTATTATAAATGGTTAATAGTGGTTAATAATGGTTAATAATAATGGTTACCCTCTGGTTATGACTAACAGTTTGCCATGGTATAGATGGCCCATAGAAATAGATGGTTTACCGTTCTTAAACGTTGTGGATCTTTCCTTGGCAAACTGTTAAATAACCAGATGGTAACATGAGTTACGGAATTAACCATCATCTTTTTGGGGCTTGGAAAAGTCAGATTTTCAAACACTACTGAAACATATGGGGATAGAATTGACAAATGATGTATGTTTGATAGTTAAGGACGTAGATACTGCCCAACATATTGGGGAACATCAACATCATAATGATTATCACAATCATAAGCATCATCATCATCATCATCATCATCAAAATTAAAATAATGACAACAATAGTGATAATCATTATCATTATCCATGTCACCCATGAACTTGGAATCTTGTTCTCACCAACCACTGTAATAGAATGACAGGGGGGATAATGACAACTGCTCAGCGTGGCAGAATGTGGCAGAGCTGCGAGGGTGACCAGTGAGATGTGACATGATGTGACCATCATGGGATAGTAATACTGAATACGGGAGTATTGATATTCCTATGGTTTACCCTTTGGTAAACTGCTACATAACGATGGAAAATCATGGAAAATCACCATTTTCTAGCTGGGTAAATCCACTATTTCGACTGGGCCATTTTCAATAGCTATGTTTGTCTACCAGAGGGATGGGGATATACATATATCATACTGGATGAACTGCCATGACCTCACGTCGTGACGTCGCGTCGCAATGATGGATTTGTAAGGGGAATCATCCCAGGATTGCCTTATTTAAGCTATTTTCAGGTTATTCAATTATGATTCAGCCAGAAACATGCCCTGGGGTGTGCAATTGTGTTGTGGATATCTAGTGAGTATATAATGCGATATACAACCATCTCGATGTAATATTTGGATATATGTTGGGTGTACAGCGGAATAACTCCAAATATAATAGTAGGCAACATGATGAGTATTAAATGGATTTGGGGATGATATATATATATATATATATATTATATTGATCCCACTTGACAATATCACATGGACCCAGATTGAATTGACCGATCATAACAGATCAATCATCAGATCATGTGGCTGAGGCCCACCAAACGTTTGGTATCACCAGTATTTCCATAGTATATTCAAATTTTATCCATATTATATCCATATAATGATAATTATTATATATTTATATTATATATATATGTATATATTCATTTCAATTATTACATCTATGTTACATATATATATTATATATATATTGTTCTAAATATGTTTTATTCATGAAACAATTTTCAATATCCAATCACCTCTAGTTTTGCTGAGCAAATCCCAGCATTTTCGCACCGAGGTATGTGATCTACGCAGGGACGGCCGTCATGAAGTTGGACTCGGAAGGGAATCCCACGAAGGAACTGGCCGAGGCCGGCAGGGGAAAACATTGGAAAACTGTGGAAAATGATCGAAAATTCATGGTGGATTGGTGGATGTTTCATGGGTTTTCCATATAAATGATATACTTAGTGAGACTTAGTGAGCAACTGGAGGGGTAGTCAGAGGTTACATCTAAGGGGCAAACTGCAGGAGAACACGGTATGTGTGGGGCATTTTGTCATGGTTTCAATGTTAACCAGTCCATTGATATATTGCACGTTTACCATTGCAACATTGAAAACCTATCACAAAGCAACATGTGAAAGACACTGGCAGTGTATAGTTGGGCCTGGTGAATTCTTACTCGTTTGAAGTTGACATTCAGCTTCCTGTTTGCTTCGATTAGCCTACGACATTGTAGACAAATTTAAGATGTTAGCATATGTTAATTCATTTTAGCTACATTTATATCTGGTTGGTGGTTTGGAACAATTTTTATTTTCCCCAATAGTTGGGATGATGATCCAATTTTGGACTAATATTTTTCAGGCTGGTTGAAACCACCAATTAGTTATATTATATGGAGGTTTCCTGAAATGGCGGTACCCCTACATCATCCATTTTAATAAGATTTTCCCTTTTAAACCATCCAGCTATTGGGGTACCTCCATTTATCTATATACAGTATATAATACTGCGGTAGCCTTTGGCATCCTGAAAAGAATAGCTACAATTTTCTCCCTGGAGATGCACTGCCACGGGATGGCCAGGCTATGTTTCTCCAAGGGCCCCCTTCCATGCCGAAGTTCGTGTATAACTACTTTTACTATGGTTTATGACGGTTTATGGTCATCATTTCATATGTAATCATACTGTAAATTAGTAATCATAGATCACAGATGTTTTGCTGCACAGTATTCATATATTTTTTCATGGTGGTTATAAACCAACAAACATCTATGTCTACATATATATATGAATTTATCTGGTTGGTGGTTTCAAACATTTTTTATTTTCCATAATATGTGGGATAATCCTTCCCATTGATATTTTTCAAGATGGTTAAAACCACCAGCCAGTTACCCTCTGGTAAACTAACATAGCTATGGAAAATCACAATTTTTAATGGAAAAATCCTCTATAAATCACCATTTTCAATAGCTATGTTAGTCATTACCAGAGGTTATATCCCATTAAATCCCATTAAACCACCATTTTCCTATGGTTTTCCTATGGTTTTTCTATGTTTACCAGGCCGGGTATTCCCATCAAACCAGTCTTGGCGTCGGCCCCGACGTCTCAGGTGCGACGTCCGGGATGCTTTGGGGAACGCTCCCTGCTGCGAGGCGATCGGGGATGCCGGGGGAGTTCGACTGGTTAGTGATGACCTATGGGAATTCCCGTTTTTCTAGTGGTTAATAATGGTTAGTAATGGTTAATAATGGTTAATAGTGGTTAATGATGGTAGTTAATGGTGGTTAATACTGGTTAATGAAATATATATATATCTGGTTGGTGGTTTGGAACATGTTTATTTTTCCATATATTGGGAATGTCATCATCCCAACTAACGAACTCCATCATTTTTGAGAGGGGTTGGTTGAAACCACCAACCAGTTATGATAATAATGTGGGTAAAACAATAATAAACCACCCCGCAGTCATCACCATTTTTATAGGTGGAACAAAAAACAAACATTCCCAAACGGGTGCTTTATTATGTTTTTACCCATATTACGAAACTTGACTTCTCCGACAATTTTTTGAAGGACCTCTGGTGATTTCCCAGCAATTGCGATGTGAGTTTATGGCAGGGTATACTTCCAGTCATATGTTTCATGATATTCCCATTGTCTTTTCCACTCTGCCACTATTTTTGTAACTTAAAATCCCCGTTTGAGTCGGATAAATGCCATTCAATCCCTGAATAATCCCATATAAGCCCATTATATGTCCATGATATTTCCAATATGGTGCTTCATGCAATCATATATAATCCTATTCTGCATAGATAATCTGGATGAATTATAATGACCTCACAACCTCACCCCGGCGTTGCTGGAATGATGGTGAGTATAGTGGGTATAGTTATTAACTATCCTAAAACTTGTTTTATTTCAGCTAGCTTCAAATGATTGAACCGTTATAATTCAGCCATATACACATATACTGGTTGGTGCTTTGGAACATTTGGAATATTTTTCCATAATATATGGATAATGCTTCCCATTGACTTTCTTATTTTTCAAGATGCTTAAAACCACCAGATATAAATCCATACTGAACCATGGTTTCTCATATAATTCAGCCATATATATATATATATATTTTTTCTCATACTGAACCATGGTTTACATTCAGCCATATATAATATAAATAACATGTAGGTTTTATATTAGGGTGATTTGCCACCACACTCCTGGTGACTGGATGACCGACACTGATCAGTTTGTCAATCCAGGCGATGCCGCGTACGACGTGAACGTGGACGCCGGGCCGGAGGGCATGACCTGTCGCTTGGACTTGCCGTGAGGACAGGTGGGCATGGTAGGTTGAATTTTTGGGAATTATTGGTAGGATTTTCACTGGAAAAATATGGCTATTATGGCTATGATATTTATTAAGTGCTCACTATTGGTTTAACAATTGGTTTGATGGGAACTGGTTATCCATGGTGTGTTAGTTAAGTGGTTAACGGATTACACTTGGGTTTTTGCACTTGGGTTTTTGTCGTTTTTTCAGCACAGCCATCCTGGTCAACTAACAACCATGTGGGCCATCCAAGACGACAGGGCCCACCGGGCAGTCCTTTGGCCCCAAGCATCTATTTTTGAGCAATGAATGAGAACGACTTATTCTGGTTGGTGGTTTCAACCATTTTTTATGTTCCAGAATATATGGGATAATCCTTCCCATTGACTAATATTTTTCAGAGGGGTTGAAACCACCAACCAGTTATTATTTACCAAGAAGTGCGATGTGTATACACGTAATGAGAGAAATAGATAGATAGATAGACAGACAGACGGACAGACAGATAGATAGATAGATAATCTAGGTAGATAGATAGAAGGTATCCAGATACGTAACAGATATAGCGACAACGTTCCGACTTCAAGGGATGCGTTCCGGTGCCAAGGTCTGACCTTCAACGGTGAGACCATCCGCATGCTGCTGATGAGCCACCCAGCAGAACCGGGTGGAGTCAATGAACACTTGATGGGATAATGTATATCTGTATACATATATATATATACATGCATACACACACACATATATATATATATACACATATATATCACGGATATAATTGATAAATATTTCTGAATATTGATATGATATTACTTCGATACATATATGAGTTATGTAAATATGTTTATAGCTTATAACCAATTGCAGTGCGTTTTGATGCCCTTTTGGTGGTCAAACATGGCAATGGAAACCCTGCAAACCTTTGGATATGAAGGTGATAGGGGTGATATTTTCCTAACCAGCATTTTATAAAGGATGAAATGTTGAGATACTTGTGATAGCTGCTGCGTAATCTGTGGTATCATTGGATCATTGAGGTACAACATTCTGCTATCTTGGGGAAACAATGTACTTGGTAAACCAACTGGAGATCCTCTAAGGTTTGTCCAAATAGGAACATCATGAAGATATGCATTGGGAAATTATCCAGTGAAAACTGCGTAAAACGACTAGTGAAGGGAAGTTGAAGGCGTTAATCCTCTTCCAAAAATTCGAGAAGTTTTTCGGTGTGCGGGGGATCAAAGAATTGACCATGGTTGGGAAGCGGATATCAAATATCTATGGCAAGGGAAAAGGAACACATATAATTCATATCATCGATTATAATCGGATCAATAACACCTTAAACATGAAGATTGTGTAAGTCTAATGATTGATAGATGATAGGCTGGATGACTGCTGGGTGGTCATTTTCCCCCCTGGTAGTTTAGGAGGTAGGGTCCAGCATTCCCAGCTTGACAGGGCCCACATTGGTAGCGTTTACGACACTTGGATCAGTAGGTGGGGTATCTCAAATTACCCTCTGGTGAACTAACATAACTATTGAAAATCAGCATTTTTAATGGTAAATCAACTTTTTGTATGTTTACCAGAGGGTATTCCACCCTTACGGGGGCCTACTTTGCTGGTGGGCTTCTACATGTTTGCATTATCCAGCCATACCAGGTGATCAACCCCAAAGTCTGCATGTTGATGGGGTTATGTCAACCAAAGTTCAGCTGGTGGTTTGATTCTCCCATAGTAAATACCCACTTAGAACTGCAGAGAGAAAGTGCAGTTCGAGTTCTAAGTGGATCTATAACCATACTTCAAGAGCTTATATCCCAACTTCATCAATTTTTGGGGAAAAAACAATGGTTATACCCATGGTTATACCCATTTTTGGTGGCCCCGGGAACACTGGGCTTTTCCCTTCGCACCGGGGTCGGCACAGGGATCTACACCGAGTCGCCCGGATTCATCCCTGCGCCTTGGTGTTTCGACCGACCGGTGGCGACCGAAACCGGTAAAAAATCATGGTTTCTAGCTGGGAAAATCATCTATCAATGAATCTGGGTAAATTATAACGACCTCACTGTGACCTCACTGGAATCATGGTTAATAAGGGAAATCATCCCCAAATGGCCGCAAGATTCAGGTTAGTGAAATATCATAATTTACCCGGATATATAACAATATTGAAGCAAATCATGTATAGTTGACTTACCTATTTAAAATGATGATTGTCCATAGCAAACTGTTCGTTTACCAGAGAGTAAAGGGGAATTATCCCAATAATTAGCTTATTTCAGGTTAGCAAATCAGTATGATTTGCCCAGATGTATGGTGATTTAATGGGATTCAACCCGACAACAATGGGAATACAATAGGAATCTCACCAACATAATTCATGTGGGATGAAAAAAATGAAGATAAATGCAGATATGGATAGATATGGACCAGGTGTCTTCAAAAAAACAAGGTATCCAAGACATTGGGCATATCCAGACTATAACTATATATATCCCATGAGGATCCATCAGGTATCAATGGTTTAATCATTCCCATGGAGTGTGAGAATCATATTGAATCATACTCGTAATGTTTGATATTATCAATGCTTCACCATTATGAACCACGGCTATGCAATGCTATGCATTCCACGGAATGAACAAAACATGTAAAGACGATGTGGGTCTTCCTGTGTTCACCAAGGACATTCACGCCAATATCGAGGAATGGTGCCAGCTTAAAGCCAGGACGCTGACACATTTCGTTTTCGACTGACACGGACTGATGTTTCCTACAGTTATGGCCATGTATTAGTTATAAGTGGTTGTTTCAATGGGATTATACATTCTATAAATGGGGTGACTTAGTACTTAGAACTGGTATTTCGGGCCATAACTGTAAAATGGGGGTACCCCCAAATCACCCAAGTCATGAACGACCACCTTTGGTATTGAGACAACCATGCTGACGACTCGGGATCCCCCGTTAAAAAAGTAGCACCAAATCATTTTGGAAGGCGCTGAGACACCAATTTGTTGAGCGAGTTGCGGGGAAACTCGCTGGTGATGAGGATCCAACATGTGGTTTTTGATATTATACCACTTATACAGTAATGCATATTATATGCATTTATGGTTGATTAATGGTTGATTATATACCATTTAAATCCATTGACAGATTTTGATATTCTGGCTGGTGGTTTGGAACACGAATGGATTATTCTCCCCAATAGTTGGGATGATCCAATCTGACGAATTCATATGACTTTCAGGGGGGTTGGTTGAAACCACCAATTAGTTAATATTCTTAAAGGATCTCAACATATTTCAACACTTTTCAACCATGGATGAAGTGCCCTTCAAGCAGCAGCTTTACAACTGCATGCTGGAATATCATATGATACATATGTCTATATCCAGGGTGCAAGTAATTATCATTAATTATCACATAGTCGGTGTGAATGGAACATTGGAAACATCACATCACCCATGTAACTTGGCTCTTTCTGGCTGCATCGACTCATCGGTGGTTCATGTTGGTGGATTTACAGTATGGCGACTCGGACAATTCTGCGACATCCACCAGCACTGATAAAATCTATCGAGCCAATGAGCAAGTACAAGCTGTTGGGGGCGAATGGCCATCGAGGGTCATCCTCATTGCGTGGGGAGCTGAGATGGAGCCAACTGATGGCTTCCACCCCATCGAGAGCGTTGTCCACGACATGAAGGACCAGGTCAGCTTCTACAACATTGGAGCTGAATTGGAGCTGAATCTTCTCTGCATTGATGATGACGTCAGCTGGCTTTGGTACACTTGCTGCATTTAATTTCAAATCAGGATTTGAATGAATAACTGCCAGTCAGTGACAACAAATAATATGTAGATTTAAATTGAATATATTTTAACGTTAAAATCTAGCAATTCGACTTGGATGGGTCAAAACCTATTATTATCACATTTGGCGGAATAACATGGAATAACCATCCATAAACCAGTTGTTTTTAGAGTAGCTATGTAAGATATCAGGGATTTTGCCCACAACCTGCAGGACTTACGACGCGGATCTGGACAGCCCCTGCCATTCGATGGATTTGTCCACGGGCTTGTCGCAGATTCAAACCTCTGCAGGTGCGCTGGGCATTGTGATATATTGTCTGATTGGTGATTGATACCAGCTAAAATCAGATAAATGGGATAAACTACCCATCAATGATAAACTACCATTACTGGTTGGTGGTTTGGAACATGAATTTTATGACTTCCCCATCATATTGGGAATTATACTCCAATTTGACTTTCATATTTTTCAGAGGGGTAGGTATACCACCAACCAGTTGTGATGGCAGGTGAACCAATAACAGTGCTGACAATGGTGAGATATGATCAGCAAACAAAACGACACCTTTCGGACAAATAACAGTGCTTGGTGAGATATCAACGAAAATTCACGACACTGTCAGGATGGAATCAAAGAATTGGGGCGTTTCAGTACTTTTTGGTACACAACTTGGTCGGGTAGTCTCTGATATGCTGCTGGGATGTCTGCTGGGTGCTTCTTTGGTTCATGATGCAAAAATGGTCACCACATGTCACCATCCAAAGTTGAGGTTTACTGGAGCCTGGAGCCCTATTTGGGATGACTAGTAATAGCCCCCAGTCATGGTCGGTTAATCTTGGTTGATGTGATGGGATGGTTTATTAGTGGCTTTACCACATTAATGATATTAATGAATCGTTGTGCCGTTGTGGTTCCGAGATTGCGACTTGCGTGTGGTCTTGTTTTCCAGCCACAAAAAAAGTAAATCATCTGGTTGGTGGTGTCGTTTTGTTTCCCATACCATCCCTCAGGGCAATAACTCTGAAGATGACTACAGTAGTATACACAGTGTGCATTTTTATATATATATATATATAATGTGTCAAGCCAGCCTGCACAGTCATAGATCATCATATCCTGCTCGCTTCTTTGGGTGAGGCAGCAAGAAGACGAACCTCGAAAATTTGAGCAAGTTCACGTCTCAGTCATGACAAAGGACCAAGGACATCGGGTGCCCAGTTCAAAGGGAGCCCCCAAACATATCAGATCTTTTGATATTTTTTAATATTTCTATGATATCTTATATGTTTTATGATATCTTATGATATCTTCAGTTCTTCTGCTCATTAACAACCCCTAGCAGCTAGCGGCGTTGCGGGGGTGAAATTGAAGGGGGATACCCGATTCCGAATTTCGGCTGGTACTAAGGGGCAGTGAAGCTTGACCACAAGAACTCTTTGACCATTTTGGCCTGACAAAACTCGCTTTTTTTGGGTCCACCTCCAGTTTTTAATGGGAACACCACTTAATTTTTAACAACCTGGGATTTTGACCCACTAACAATCCAACATTTTTAGCTATGTCATTGCTCCATCCTTGGCTCCCAGGTCGGTTTTGTTTGTTTCGGTCAAAAATCATAGGAGTTCTGATAGTTCTGAGCATCCCAAAGCCCCTTTTACGCCCAGATTGCAATTGCTGGGTCGGGGTGCTTACGGCGAAGTGACTCTCGTGGAGGATCTCAGGGGAATGGACCGGAACGGAGGGCAGTTTCTGTAACCTCACTGGTGAGTCTAGTGATTAGTCAATGGTTAATATTGATTAACCGGTATAATACTGGTGGATACTGGTGAATACTGGTTCATAATGTTGTTTTTGATCCCAATTTTCACAATAGTATATCCCATGATTATCCCGCCATGATTGATCTTCACCAATCAATGTGGGTAAAACAATGCCATAAACCAGCCATGACTGGGAATGGAAAAAACACAAAATACAACCTATAAAAAATGGTGATTTCGGGGAAGATTGATGATTGTTTTGCCCACATTAATGGGATTACTACAGGGTCTAAGGTATTTCACGTCGACATGCAGTCACGTCGCCATGGCTGAGATGGTTTGATGGATTGTAGCCATCACCGTCACCGTGAGTTGTTTTTTTTTTGCTTTTTAAGGCTAAATTGCTAAATGGATTGAGATGAATGTAGCGATATACCAACAGTCACCATTAACCGTTCACAATCCACCAACAGTGATATCAATTTTTAGGGATCAACAAACCACCAAGATATACAAACCACCAAGGTAATCCAAAGTATATATAAATGGATTGGTTTAAGGGGAAATCTACAGGAAACCATCGATTTTCCCATGAAGATCATGAGGAAAGCAAGATCATGGGGCTTTCCTGTTAATTTTCCATTAAATCAATCCATTGAATATAGGGTACACAGATAATTCGTTGAATGATTTGTGCCAGGGATCATTTCGTTTGGGGATGAGATCGTTCTTCGGTTTAGCCAGGCATGAGAGCAGCTGCATACTCACTTGAAACCATGGGAGCAGTGGGGGATTTACACATTCATTTGGGAGCATACAATCGGGGTGTTTAATAATATCGGGGGATGGAATGACAATAATTCATAGATGTGGAAAAAGTATAGGTACCCTCTGGTAAATTAACATAGCTATGGAAAATCACCATTGTTTATGGGAAAATCCACTATAAATGGCCATTTTCAATAGCTATGTTAGTCATTACCAGAGGTTATATCCCATTAAATCCCATTAAATCCCATTAAACCACCATTTTCCTATGGTTTTCCTATGTTAGTTTACCAGAGGGTAGATGTGGAAAATCTATAGATGTTCCTTCCAAAGCACGGATCTCCCAGATCTAAGTCATCGTGCCAGGCAATGCATGGCCCATGGACCTCGAAGAATCCGAATGGTAAGCCAGCAGAACTAGGGAGAATTGATGAACATCTCCATTTCCAACAGGTAAGTCATCATCCATAAGTATGCCAGAGGGTTTGCCCCAGAAACTAAAAACATACATAGCTATGTGAATTTGCTGGCGTTGAGAGAGAGAGAGAGAGATAGAGAGAGAGAGAGATAGAGAGAGATAGAGAGAGAGAGAGAGAGATAGATAGATAGATAGATAGATAGATAGCTATACATATATATACATATATATATATATATATATATGTGTGTGTGCGCGTGTGTGTGAATTTGCTGGAGGGTACCAAATTCCCAGAGACTGGCTACAACTGGCAGGACATGGTCCGCAAGCGGCGCTATGCCCTGAAGGCTCGCAGAAATTGGGAATGTGCAGCCAGCCCGTTTCGTAAGTGGGCTATAACCCAGGGCCCGGGCTAGTTGTTTATAGATAAACTATGATAAATTAATATAACTTGATAGTTTACTCTCAAAGAGCCAGACTTGGAGTTGTTTGTGAACACCTTTGGTTTTATTGCGGCCATATTCTACTGTACCCTTGTTACTGAGATAGATTGGATAGACGGATAGACTTCCACATTTTTACTGGATAGATTTGAGTTCTTTGTGAGGCTGCTTGGCTGCTTGTGATGAACCCTAAAGGCACTCAAAACAAGAATCGGGCCATCAGACCCCCCACTTTCCCATTCGGAGACTTTGAGATGCTCGGGACGTTTCCTATGAGGGTGAGTTATCTATACAAGTTGGTGCACATCAGTTATAAGTTGAATAGTAAGCACCTCAAACCAACAGGGATTGGTAAATGTTCTTCTTTGTTCACATCACCCAACTATTGCGGATTTTTGGTCTCCAACAGATACAGCTTTTCAATCAGGTGAAGTGAACGAAAAATCCCCAACAGTTGGTACATGTTCCAACCTCTGAGATACCCATCTCTCGTTCAACGCCACCTTTTCCCCAGCGAAAAATCGTCAACACCTGAATCAGCTGTGATTCCGGGATGTCCCAGCTATGATTGATGACACCCAACCCTTGGGGATGACACCCGGCCGGGTTCCAGAAAAATCTCTCCAAAACGGCCGAGTAAGCTTCAACCAGCTATGGTTTATCAGGGGAATTCAGGGGATTATGATATTTGGAATATCATCCAGTATTATCCCATGAAACAATTTGAAGCTACCATGGGCACCGTGGGCACGATGATCGGAGGGTCAATCAATGAATATGGCATTATATACCATCCTACTCCAAACATGTCCAAGTGCTCTTCCTATAAAACCATTTTAGACCGGAAAAAAACATCATGAAACCGTATCAAAACCATATTGAACCACATTAAACCCATATTAAACCTCCCCTTACTTCGCTCTGGGATCACCCGATCCCCACCGAAACCAGGCCATGTCCAAGGGCTACTTGCAACGCAAGGGAGTGGTGCGACAGATCCGCTGGGAGCGCGAGCTGCTGTCCATGGTGGATAGTCTCTTGGGCCAACTAGTCGATGGTTGGTCACAGTCCTGCCAAATGGAGGTTTTCATGGGAAAACCATAGGAAAACCATAGGAAAAATGGAGATTTACCCTTTGGTAAACTAACATAGCTATCAAAAATCACAATTTTGTAGCTGGGTAAATCCACTATGAATGGCCATGTTCAATAGCTATGTTAGTTTACCAGAGGGTAAGGTCTTTGCGTTTAGGCTACTGGTAGATTAATTTGATGAATTTCACTAACCGAGCCATTTTTTTGTATAGGTACCTGTAACCTAACATCGATGTTGAACAAATACCATGAACTTATAGGTCCTTTTTCCGAAAGGGAAACCATAGTTTGTTCCACATCATTTTGCATGCTTGGCCTGGGGTATATCAGTATATCTACCCTCTGGTAATTTAACATAGCTATTGAACATGGCCATTTATAGTGGATTTTCCCATTAAAAATTGTCATTTTCAATAGCTATGTTAAATTACCAGAGGGTAACATGTTCTAACATTATCTCACTATTTGATGGGGATGATATGCCAACAAGATCGAACAAGCCACTGGTTGGGGAAGAGCACCAGCAACGTTGTACGCCCACGCGCGTACGGATGAGGCCAATGGATGGCCCGGGATTTATCCATCGGAGTAGGATTACTGCTTGGTGGTGACTGGAACATGAATGGATTATGACTTTCCATTCAGCCATAATGGTGGTTAATCGTGGTTAATAATGGTTAATGAGATATCTGGTGGTTTGGAACATGGCTTTTATGACTTTCCATTCAGTTGGGAATGTCATAATCCCAAACTGACGAGTTGTCATATTTTTTCAGAGGGGTTGGTGGCTCAACCACCAACCAGGAAGATATGGAGATGTAGACAGAATGAATGGGTAGATGTTTGGATATGACCCAAGCATTCTGAGATATTCTGACCAAGCAGCTACGATGAAAATTGACAGGGAAATTCGAGATGGAAAACCTGTCCGCTGAGACCCTCTCGGCCTTTCAGCAGAAGATCAGAAACGACAAGGTTCAAGTGATGATCGGCACCGACCAATATATGGGAACGAGAACTACGGGACTACAAGACACAGCTTGGTGATGGCTTTGGTAATTGCTGGCATGAGATGTTCTCATGTTCCACAAACCGACAAGTTGCATCAGTACGCTTTGCAAAAGGGATCTTGCGTTTCCGACGGAACAAAATTAAGGTTCCCCGTGCCAGAGGATGCAACCCAGAAATTGGGGCCCCAAAATCACTTTGCACGCTAATCCCCATGGGCACACATGACCAATCGTAAAATGCGTTAATGGAGAAAAGCACTGGTTTAACATGGTTTAACGTCAGAATCCCGGGCTCATGTAAGTGCTTTCATGTTAATAATGTCCCTTTAATTGTCCTAATTAATTCGGATAATTTTAGGATTTGCAAGGTTAGGTACTTAGATGGGCCATGGGATTAACTAACTGGTTAGTAACGGGGGATATAACTCCCTATATCCCAATTATAATCAATTTACTAACTAGTTAACTAACTCCATGGCCCATCTAAGTTCTATGTGACCCTAACCTACACCCCAGTTGCAAGCTGGTGTACAAACCCGATGATCCAAAAATGTATCTTGCAGAACCCAATGACATTTACAATAGGATAAACCAAACCACAGCCAAACAGTATGCTAGTTCGAAAGCAACATTATTAGCACAGAGACACCGGGCACCGCCTTGTAGGTTGTTGATTGACACTCGCTCAACTCTCTGTTTTCTCATATGCAACATTAAACCCAATTGGATCACCACAGAACTTCTTGCTCAAATCCCATGCGAATACCAGAGTTTGATAGTTTTACAGTATACGGTAATATATGTTTGCATATACGTTATTCACATACACACACACACACATATATATATATATATATTTGCAAGATAATGTAGTGCAATGCAATGCAATGGTATGGTGTATGGGTTAGGTGGAATGTATATATATATATATATCCCATAAAACTCCCATTCAATCCCCATAAAATCACCATGTTTCTTGGCGTTTTTTGGTGTCAAAAAAAAAACTTCACCGTTCCCAGGTCCCTTTGTCATCAAACTGCACCGCACGTCGGAAGGCCCAGGTCTTGCTTACATGGATTATATATATATATATATACCCTCCGGTAAACTTACAAAAAGCTAGTGAACATGGTCATTTATAGCTGATTTACCCATTCAAAATGGTGATTTTTCATAGTTATGTTAGTTTACCAGAGGGTAATGGATATTAACGAGGAAAAACAACTGTTATACTAGAGTAATGATCGCTGCACTTGTTGTACATGGGTACTCAACGATAGTAAGTGGATTGCAATCGTTTTTTGGGTGAATAACCCAGGTTTAAACCCCCATGTTTGTTGGGAGGGCAACCCCCTGCACGCCCTAGAACAAAAATGTTTGTTGGGATGTGGGCCCCTACTGTATAACTTCCACTTAGTTCACTGGACCTGCATTTCCAAGTAGGGCCGTCTAAGCAAGAAACTTGGGGAAACCAATGAGTATCAATCAGCACTTTATGCAGCAAACATGGGGAAGAACGGGTTTCAACGATGTTTTTCTCTCCAAAACAGCAGGTTTCGCGAAGAGCCAGGGGAACAAAGTGGCTCAACCACTAGGTTGCGACGTGCAATTTGGCATCCAAAATTTACATCAACAGGCTTGGTCACCTGAAAAAAGAAGAATCAGCAGTGAATAAATCCATCAAACGAATAGGGGTTGTTAAATGTCCTACTTTGTTCACATCGCCACACTAATTGTTGAGGATTTTTGGTCTCCAACAGATACAGCTTTTCAGGTGATGTAAGAAAACTCCCAACAGTTGGGACATCAATCCAACATTTTTCCAACTCAATTAGCTGAGTCGATGAGGATAATGTATTTTTTCCATTGGTAAAACCGCCAAGAATTATTTGGATCCGTGGGGGCCTGATTTGAGTTGCATATTCCACATCCAAAACTTGGTTTGATGTGTAACATTGGGTGATAACCGTATGATAGCAGTTACCCTTGGGTAAACGTTTACATAACTATGGAAAATCACCTTTTTTAATGGGAAAGTCAACTATAAATGGCCATGTTCCAGTTCGCAAAGTGTTAGTCATTACCAGAGGGTATATGCAGTGTGTATATACATATATATCGTATCAATATAAGCGCTAACAAGGTTTCATAGCTTTCTTTGAACCACTAACATCCACGAAGTATCGAAACTTTGGGATGCACATCCAGCGAGACTGGTTCCGCTCTGCCGCTCCGAGGCTCCAAGACGATCAGCACATTTTTTTCCTCATGGCGACTTGGTCGCAGCCCATTCGCAGCTACAATTTTCTGGTGGACTTCGGCAAAAAAAAAGGATTTTATATGATTTTACGGTATATAACAAGATGCAACAAGAAAATGTGGCGATAGAACAGGTAAAGCACGATGTTTTCATTAGATTTGACTGTGGTATCATTTTTGGGCTGCTATGATCATCAATAAATTAGATTTGACAACCAAAAGTGGGAATCTACCCTGATTCAAACTCACGCTATAGATGCTTTTCTGTTTGAAGAAAAACATGCAAATGGTGAGTTTTCGATATTGTTAGGTCTATGGAGTCTCAGTAGAAGTTTGATACCCAACTGATCCAACCATTGAAGAGATCGCAACATACCTCCAGTTATGTTTTTTTGTGTCAGAGACCGCTTCTTGCGGTGTTGTTGTTTGGGTGTGCGGCGCAACAAGTGGGATGAGTTTCCATAGTCTTATGACGTGTTTTCCATAGCGTTATCATTTAGCATAAGGATACATATATTAGCCATAGTATTTGTGACAAGTTTCCATGGTAATGATTTTCTATAGTATCTGATCTGGGATTTATGTGACATCCTGTGACGAATCCCCGCACGAAATGGAGGTTTGAATGGTAAAATCAACCAGAAATATCATACATAGTGGAGTTTCCAGTGCCATGTTTGATTTCCAGAGGGTGTATTGCTTATTGTGTTTTTTCCCTCAAAAACATAGCAAATTCGTTTGTTGAATTGTTGTTGGCCGATTTGGCTTGGCAAACAAGACTTACCATCCAAGCTGCTTGAATCTCCATGTCTTCTTGCTTTAATCGCTTTTGTGCTGCTTATATAAGCCATACAATTCATGTTCGCCACGATTTTTGTGTTCATCCAGAATCATAAAGATAAAGTAGGTGCATATTTATGGTGATGTTTATAGCATACATATCACATCCAGGTTCACTCCTACTTGGACGTCCAGTTCCAGCTAGTGGATATTTCACGATAGTTGCTCAAGCTATCATTTTTTCAATGGAGAATAACGCTGCTTTCCCGTCTTCAACATGTGCTGTGCTGATGGCATGGGTTTTCCAAATGCTGATTCAGTTCAGTGAGAACGAGCTCAGCCAGAGTTGGTCTCGCAAGCGCCGTTGACTCGTCAAAGACGCGCGGGGCTGCCACTGCTTTTGGTGCTGTTGGCCAATCAAGTGATGCAACGATGCCTACTTCGTCATCGGTACCGGGCAATGCGAATCTGGTTTGAGTGCTGTTTTTTTTTCGAATATCGAAGCCAATGAGGCACCGCTATGGTGTATGTGTAAACAGAAGTGCTTTGAATGTAGCGTGGTGTTCAAGAAGGATGCCACATCAGCATGGCTACAAGTGCAGATGTTACGCTTGCCATAGAGAGGCAAGGAAGTGAGTGCTTGTTGCAACTGTAGCACGTTCGGATGAGATTTTGTGGTCAGTGTGTTTGAGAAAAATATTTCACAATAGTTGCAGGGTTCCCATATCCAACCTTGTGCGGGTTAAAATGCCACTTAAGGTACGCCCATAAAAAGTAATATCTTGCACCCTCAAGTAGGCGATATTCCATGTTAAATTTATTCATCATATAAATCATGATGCTCATGATAATGCGGAAGATGAAGTGGAGGATAATAAGGTCGATGATGATGATGATGTAATGAAGGAGGAAATTATTATGTTGAGGAGGAAAATGTTATCATCATCATCATCATCATCATATTTTTGATCATCATCATAGTTATCATCATCATATGTATCATCATCATGTTTATAATCATTATGTTTATAATCATAATGTTTATCAGTTTATCATCATCATATTGATCATCATCATTTTTATCATCATCATGTTTATAATCATGATGTTTATCATCATATTTATCATCATCATATTTATCATCATCATATTGATCATCATCATACTTGTCATCATCATATTTACAATCATCATATTTATCATCATCATATTTAATATCATATTTATCATGTGTATCATATTTATCATATGTATTTTACATATTTATCATATCTATCATATTTATAATCTTTATCATATTTATCATCACCACCACCATCATCATCATCATCGCCATCATCATCATCATCATATTATATTATATTATTTCTCTATGTATATATATATATATGTGTGTGTGTGCATATAATATCATATTTCAATCATGATGCATCCCATTGAATTCCCATGGAAATCAAGCCACCTGTCGCGCACCTGAGGAGGCGGCCTTGGGTGGCAATCTCATGGAGCTTCTGCATACGCACTCGGAGGCCGGGGTCCCGAAAGAACTCCCGAGCCGAGGCCCAAAAAAGATTCAACAGAAAAGGAAGGTGCCTGGCTCGGAAACAAAAACGATGATTGATAGTTCATGCAGCTAATTTTTGATAGTTTAGCTGGTTGAGCTTTGTTAGTTCATTGTCAATATAGCTGGTTATCTCCTGATCCTACCAAGGTCCTCATTATACCTTATCAAATGGGTTTCAGGGAACCATACGAATGGTTAGCATCGACTATCATTGAATCAATTTCCCAATTTTCCCATTCAAAGCTTACTTATCAATCACCAAATGCTACAGTAATTAGATAATATAACCATCAATAATCATTAATCCGTTAAATATTAGCCATTAATCCTCATTAAATCAACATTAGTAATCATGAATCTGTCAATAACCATGAGCTCATGTCTTGGTTGCATCTCCATGATATACCAATTATATTCCCATAAACTGGCTGTTTTTCCTACCTGCATTGTCCCAATCATCACATCCTAGCCAATCATCAATAACCAATAACATCCAATAACCATGAGTGAAGAACCATTAGCATCCATTAACCATTAATAGCATTTAATAGCCATTAACCTAATGATCAACAATAAATCCATGGTCCACCCATGATCCATCCATTGATTGCCACGGCACGCAGGTTTTTTTGGAGGACCGTCCCCGCGGCTCCGCGTGTGCCTTCTACGTGGCCTGCCTCGTAGCGGCGCTGGAGCATCTACACGAGCGCTGCATCGTGCACCGCCGCTGGGCACCGTGCACGGGCCGTTGAACGGGGCTGTTTCGGGCGTAAAAGTTGGGGAAGACCATGAGAAAAATGGGGCAAACCTTGGGAAGAGTGGAGGAACCCCTTGTGAAAATCGCGGAAAAGTGAGGAACACTCAGGGAAAATTGGGGTTGAACCAATCGAACCTTGGGTTCATGTAGTGAACAATGGTCAGCTTGTAGAGTGCATTCATTGGTGCATGGATTGAAGTATAAAATATGTTCATAATTGTTTATATTTATATATATATATGTTTATATATATATATTATAACATAGTATAGTATAATATATGTAATATTAGGTTATTAATATATATATATATATATTAATAGTATATATTCACATAATTTATGTATTAATTGACATGGTATTACATGTTCTGTTCATAACCCATGCTGATCATTTTTGGTTTCGGCAAATCATCGGATTCGTCTCCTTTTGGTGACCCCCAGCATAGATAGGTTTTTTAAATCGATAATGACGCCATATTAAGCCTTGATTATCAATAACCACTAATCATGTTTTTTTTAATAATCGTTAACCTCCTTGATTAGTGGTTGTTGGTGCTTCAGAATCCTCAGAATAACTGAGCAAGCAGCTTACTGCATTCCGTTTCAAAATGTTAAAGCGCTCCCAGTGCGAAAACTGCGACGCAGTGCCCAGGAGATATCAAGCCAGAAAATGCGATGTTGGATGAGTTACTTGGGTGAAAAGAAAACGGGGCCTTGGGTAAAAGTTAGTTTAGCTACAGGTGATGCCACATAGTTGGCGAAATTGGTTGATAAAAAAACAGAACTAAGATTCAGTCATGGTGTAGATATCGATATAACCAGAATTATTTTAGGTTATCAATCAACTTACAACTAGAGGGCACCACCTTGTAATTTCTAGTAACCCCCCAGACAGATAGGAAAGGTTCACTTGATCACTATGTTAGATGGTGATTTTGGCACTAGACTTTTTGTGGGGTGGCTGCTATATAGCAGGTCAATGGCTCGCTACGGCTAGTTCATAGTTGTTTTTTGCTTTAAGGCTAGTGGCAACGTATCATTTGACAAGACTTGGTATGTCGCCATTACATCAATAGCCTGGTAGTGGGATCCAATGCCCCCACATTCCTGGAATGAAACTGTCAAAACAATGGTCGATGACGATAATCACGTCAACGCGTAAGATTTGTGTCAATGTGGTTTTGTTTAAACAATAATATATATATATATTTATTTATTATCATTTATATATATATATATATATACGTACCCTGGAATTCAGTGATTTGTCATCCTTTTCCCATCATTTTTAAGCATATTTTTCCCCTCAGATACACTGTTCAGATACACGAGAGCTGCTAGCTGTCAGCTTATCTCTGGACCAGTTTTACAAGGTGGTGCCCCATAGTTTGTTAAGTTGATTTATAAGTGCAATAACCGGGATTTCTGATACGTACATATAACCAGATATTGAACTAATGTAGTTAAAATAACAATCATAAACCATCCCCCAGTCATCACCATTTTGATAGGTGGTATAAACTTCCCATTCCCAGTCATGGGTGGTTTATGGCATTGTTTTACCCACATTATAGAGAAAAACATCAAAACAAACATACAAACGATTGTTGATTTGCTATTAAAGACAGTTATTCTAAATATCATTGATAGCTGGTTTAATGCTGATAATCATTATAGCACCCACATGGTATTCATGGGGGGTTGTGTTTTACCAAGGTTCACATCACCCAAAATTGGGGCACCCTTCGCCGCCTTCGCCCGAGGCAAGGCTACGTGAAGCTCTGTGACATGGGCTTCGCGCGCTTTGTTGCTGGGTTGATGTCGGAGAGGATGGGCAGCAAGGGGGAGGACATCTGGTGATATCGCCAAGATGGTTTGTTGGATATAGCCGTGATAATGCTGTGATAATGTAATTGTTGATATATGATGTGACAATGCTGTGGTATAGCCATGTAATGCCATGTAATTGTTGATTTTGTTGGATTTCCTGAGTTACTGCAAGGCAATGAAAACTATCCCGACGTAAGAAACATGTTGGGCGTCGTTCGGCCTTGGCCTTAGATGCTCAATCAACCAACTGGATGGGTACTGAAAAATCGTTGCCATGTTGCTGGAGATATGGGGGGTTCCATAGTCATGGGGGTACCCCAATAGATGGGAGGGTTTATGAAATATGGAAAACCCATGAAAATCCCAGCTAGAAATGGATGATTCAGAGAAAAAACAATACTTTTAGACTCTTTTAGGACACCTCCATATGTTATCTTAATCAGTTGCAAAAATGAATGCAACAATAAGACTGACCATTGACTGGCCATGGAGAGCTACTGGGAGATCAGTCCTCATGGGGATGGGCTCTTCCCCACTACCCTCTAGTAAACTAACAGTTTGCTATGGAACGATCCACCATTTTTAATGGGTAAATCAACTATTTCTATGGCCATTTTCAATAGCTATGTTAAATTACCAGAGGGTAGTTCTTCCTCTATGTGACTATGTGTGTACGTATGTGTGAAACTATCTCTTTTGATATGAGTTCCGTCTGTCTCCTGTACTCACACCAGGACATCCAAAGAAACGTGTGCCTCTCCTGGAAGTTATTTTTTCCCGAGCAGTTCATTGATTAAGGCGACCATGCACACTTAAAAGCCATGGATTTTCCCATCAGTATTGCATTTGTGCGCATGGTGCCCCAATAGATTGTCTTTGATCATTATTTCCCTAAACTTCCACCCATATACCATAGCGTTGTGTTGCTTGTATATCGCATAAAATCATCACTAAGATACTAATATTCCATGAATACACATGAATACAATACTTTTCCACTCAGATACTAATATCCAATAATAAGACCATCTTTTGACTGGATAATAATGGGAAATTCCTATTTGACTGGATAATAATAATGTTTTATTTAGCACCATTTTCCCATTGATTCTTCGCTGAAATGGGAAAAATCTCCCTTGCGTTGCCTGCGAGACCGGCGGAGGTGCTCAACAAGACCAACACGCTGGCGGGAACGCCCGAATACATGGCGCCGGAAGTCATTGAGTGCCCCAAAAGCTACGTGGTGTGGTAGGTGTGTTGGAGGATTTGTTCTGGTTGGTGGTGACTGGAACATTTGGATGATTTTTCCATATATTGGGAACAATAATCCCATTTGACTTTCATATTTTTCAGAGGGGTAGGTATACCACCAACACCAACCAGTGTTGATGTAGTTTATATCGGTGGTTTTAGGATGTGACTAGTTGGGCTTGGACTGGGACTGTTTTGTTTGTTGTCTTCGTTTTGTTTCTATGGATCTGTTTTTTAAAGCTGCTTGTTGGGCTGTTTATTCTTGGAGTGATGTGGTTGGCTTTAATGTGATCAATCTGTGCAGTTATCTCAGCCGGCAGTTTCACACGGGAAAAAAAATACTTTACTTCGTGTGATCCCCACCATGACATTTATACATTTTCTTACTGGCAAATCTTCTGACATTCTATCTGGCATTCTATCTGGCAAATCTTCTGGCATTCTATCTGGCAAACTTCTGGCATTTATCTGGCATACTTCTGGCATTCTATCTGGCATATCTTCTGGCATTCTATCTGGCATATCTTCTGGCATTCTATATCTTCTGGCATTCTTTCTGGCATTCTATCTGGCATATCTTCTGGCATATCTGGCATTCTATCTGGCATATTTCTGGCATATCTTCTGGCATATCTTCTGGCATTCTATCTGACATATCTTCTGGCATATATCTGGCATATCTATCTGGCATATCTTTGGCATGGCATTCTATCTGGCAAATATTCTGGCATTCTATCTGGCATTCTATCTGGCATATCTTCTGGCATATTATCTGGCATTCTATCTGGCATATCTTCTGGCATATATTCTGACATATCTTCTGGCATTCTATCTGGCATTCTATTTGGCATTCTATCTGGCATATCTTCTGGCATATCTTCTGACATTCTTTCTGACATTCTTTCTAACTTTCTTCTGCACATTCTTTGTCCCATATCTTCCTACATGAGGTCCTGCAGGGAACACTTGGCGTGGATACTCGCGGTTGAGGTCCGGCAGGGAACACTGGGCGTGGATGGTCGTGGTTGAGGTCCGGCAGGGAACACTGGGCGGGGATGGTCGTGGTTGAGGTCCGGCAGGGAACATTGGGCGTGGATGGTCGTGGTTGAGGTCCGGCAGGGAACACTGGGCGTGGATGGTCGTGGTTGAGGTCCGGCAGGGCACACTGACGTGGATGGTCGTGGTTGAGGTCCGGCAGGGCACACTGACATGGATCGCAGTGGAGCAGGAGGAGGACGAGGAGGACCAGGAGGAGGACGAGGAGGACGACGAGGAGGAGGACGACGAGGAGGAGGAGGAGGACGACGAGGAGGAAGAGGACGAGGAGGAGGAGGAGGACGAGGAGGAAGCAACTGACATAAAATCTAACAACCCTCACCTGGCAGGTGGGGAAAAAGTGTTTTGCTGTCACAATGCGAAATGGTCAAGTGACCTTGGGAAAAAAACAAAGTCCAACTTGCCTAGACTCAGACACCTGACATGTTCAGCAGTCATATTGGCCAATGAGTCAGCTGCCTTAGAGAATCCTATGGCTGGCTCCCCTTTGAACCATTCAATAGTGGGCCGTGCTGCTGTGACTTGGAAATGGATTGGTGAGTCTATCACCCCTGGAGTCGTCCCTAGCCCAGAAAATATTCATAGACCAACATTGGTATCATTGGTCTCTAAAAACAGGATACCCCTGAATGAAGCGCTTTATCATGGTGTATCCATGGTTTATTGTTTATTCTAATTTCCCATCAACATTTGGCAGAAAATAGCACGTTGGTTCCCCCAAACTCGGATACACATGGGCTTTTTGACTTACTGGTGCTAAACGTAGGGAATTTTCGGGAATGATCCATTTCATCACTAGTAAGAATCCCAGCAACCCCCAGCAACCCATCCAGCAACCCTACGTAAAACGCACCAA